TTCTTCGTTTTCTGGATGCTGCCATAAACGAGTATGTTATTTTAGACATGTAAATAATTGTTAAATCAATCATTAAAAATTAAATAAAATTGACCCAGCCTATCCTTTAATTATTCTTTTGTGAAATTTTGTTCATGCTCTTTAGATTAAAGTAAAGGTATTGTAATTGTACCAATTAATAAATAAAAGAATTATAACTTAAAGAAAATAATAGCTAGCACTGTTATTACTTAAATATAAATTTAATATCGCTTTGAAATAGTATGTCACTCAAGTAAAGTCCTTCATCTATATATGTACTACAACGTTGAAATTATGAAGTGTAACATAAACAGCCACAGATATGCATGAGCTACATTTCTATTCCCTGTGTGATATGTATATGTTTACGTTAAATACACGTACATAGACTTGTAGTAAAAATTTAACAAAAAAATCCTTACTTTAAAATAAAAATCTGCGGAAATAAATTTTTGTTAATGAACGGAGGTGTCATTCCGTTCGATCAATTGTGGTATTTGGACTGGGCATTGATAAAAGAACGCCTGATAAAAGAACATTTGTAATGTGTCTGCATTTTATCCTGCGTTGTATCCACACACACACACACACACACACACACACACATACATGCATATAATTGTACATATTTGTGCAAATAAAAGCATCCTGATTATATATATACTCGTACATTAAATATACATATATCTATATGTATAAATTAATATGTATGCAGTATAAGTATAATGCCTATAGAAGCTTTTAATGCAAATTTAAGCAGTTGTCAAGCATGGAAAGCATACACACACATATATACTTGTATGTATATATATGCGTATATTTAAGTTTATGTATATGTCATGGCCTGTATATAAGCACATATATGTATAATGCACACAATCTATGTAAATAATTGCAATAAACATATACATATGTATGCACGGGCGAGGTCTGTTCAACAAGTGTAGACATCCAGCAGAAATCATAATTTGTTATCTTTAAGCATTACTTAAAAAGTTAGTAAGTTCATCTGCATTAAATGAGTTACTATTAATTTATTGTTTTGATACATTTAAATTTTATCACTGCAAGTTTTCAGTTATTATATCAACAAATAATTAATGTGTTATTAATTATCGACTTTGTCTATTGGTCTCCTAATCAGTAGTATCCTGTATACTATATGCTATCTTATCTATTAATAGGAATGATCTTAGTGCATATTGGCTTACTATATTATTTACCTGTCCTAAGGAATGATTAACACCACAAACTTAATTTAAGTTGAATGCTGTAGTGGGAAAGAGGTGGATGATATATGAAACTTGTGTATCTTTGATATTTTGATGGTTTATAAGGAAGTACAGTAAATCACGATTGGAAACCGATAAAGCAAATTCTAATTTATGTACAAATGATAATAATGATTAATTAAAAAAAATATTTTATTGAGTTGCTGATATGTGCATTAAAATCTGAATGGAGGACTCTTTTTAGAGGCTTTTGAGAACTCATTTTAGGGATTCTATCGAATAGTTAGTTTGGTGAGTAGGAAGAATTTTTGTAAAATCGTACAAAGATTAATATTAATTCATGTTGAATTCACTTCTTAATTGACTATCTAAAGCACTCACATTACTTGCTTCTAAGGCACTTTAAAAGCTCTCCTCGTATGCTGTACAGTGCGTGTGTACATATGGACAGATGAAGTTCGACATGCGTGTGTGCGCTTGCATAACCACATTACAAAGCACATACATACATACCTACTCGTACCTACGCATGTGTTTCTATATGTATACAAGTACGGATGTGGACTGGCAGACAGACCTACAGCATACCTACAGTATGCACATATGTAAATTTGAATAGGTATGTCCGTGTGCTGTTCATGCGGGTGCAGCAATATTGGAATTGTATTAGTATGCCTTTTGTTCATTACAGCAAATGTGTACATAACTACATACATACGTACCTATGCTTACACACGCGGACGACAGAACATTAAATAAATTTGCAGGAAAATGCACACAAAGCACATATGTACATACATACATACATAGATATGTACATGTTTGTGTATATGCGTACTGGTATGTTGGAATACTCTTTCGATCTAGTACGATGCCTTGATGTTGACCGAGGACGTCTTTGTTGCAGGATGCAGGTCTAGCCACAGCTTTCAGAAGACGTGCGACATGCAAATATTCAAACATATGCCTGAGCATGTACTGTACATATGTATATGTGTTTATGTTCTCTAATTGTTGGCCTTGCATGTGTGTGTTGTGCTTTGTCTCCCCCCTTCTCCCTGCTCAAGCATATCGATAGAGAAACAAATAGAAACCATAGTTTTAATTCAATTTTACATATTTAATTGTTTATTTCCGTTTTCATGCTTGCTCAAGTTCTTGCTTTACGCTACAACAAAAATATCAATACATAAAAGGTATAACTTAAAGCTACACATACACAGTTGGTGAATGATGCTAAACTATATACATACATATGCAATATGCAAATACATTAGTAAATACATATGTATATTGAAGGTATGGTTCCAAAGAAATGACCATCCATTAAAGGTGGTTGGGGGGGTTGGGCATTGAGTTCTTCTGGAATGCCGGCTTAACGTATTCGATATCCTGCTGACTCTCTTTTTTCAACATAATTATACATACATATGTAGGTGTAGAAAGCATAAAATAAGGCATATAAATATTGCAGTTTTTAACTCAATTCAAAATGTCCGTTGAAATGGCGGGTTGTAAATTAGAATTAGAACTTCGCTACAAAGGATTTGATAATTTCTCTTAAAATATATTTAACATGATTATTTTAGTTTCATGGTTTGTCTTTATTTATGAAAATCATATTATTGATGTAATTGTTTTTTGCATTAAATTTATTTATTTTTGTTTTTGTTTTCCTTCTCTTTCGTTTTTGTTTAAATACATATACATTTTATATCACAATAGAAAAAAGAATGAATTAAGTTATTCTTTTTAATCCGTATGCTTTTGTTGTTGTTGTTTTTTTCTTCTTTTTTGTATTCTTCTCTTGTATGCATGTTAGAACTTACTTATAAATTAAACAATAAAAAATTTACAGAATTTTCATTAACATTTTCATTATATTGTATTAGATTGCTATGAATTTGTCAAGCAAAAAACAAATTGTATAAGAGTTGTTGGTTTCTTGTTGTTGCTATGTTACACTTTTAATGACGTATGCATTACGTATGTAAGTATGTATGTATGTATTTGACTAATTGTTGCTTGACAAATGCTAAACTAAATATAAATTTTGCTTTAAGTGTCTAATATTAACATGGTTTAATAGTCTAAATTAAACGACATAACTAACTACGCTGCACTAAACAATTTCAGAAAAAGACGAACAAATTAAAGAATCACAAAAACTTAACAAAAACATGTTTACACACATACATATGTATTTATAGAGGGTGTTTTTTCTTACTTTGAGAGGTACGAAATTTTTTACTGAAATAAACGTGTGGAAATAATTAGATAATTACAAATGTATATTTTAAAAAGGGACAAGTTTTGGGGCAATTCAACGTTCTCATAAATAAGAGCTGTTCCTGTTTCCGACTTCCAAATTTTTCGAAATCGGTTTGGTAGAATTAGTTTATTTTGTGAGAAAATGCGTTCATACAATGATGTTAAGAGAAATTTGCGAACACCTCCGTTTCTACAAGTAGGAAAACGAGACCCAATCAATTCCGAAAAGCTTGATCGAAATTGGAAATGGGAACAGGCCTGCATATAGTATTTCGAAGACGTCACATTTTTGATTATGCAGAATTGGTGGTTAATTACAAGCTTCTAAGATCAAAATATGCATTGTGTGCCCTCAGTAAGGTGTTTTAGATTTTCGAACAAATATTTCAACATGTCTTTTAAAATTTCAGTTCTCTCAAATAAATGAAAACAACAACACCCTATATCTAGCAACAAAAGGCAGCGCAAACGAACGTTGGAGTAGCGACAAAAACAAAGAGCAAACTGTATACATAAATAGTTATGTACATACGTACGTATGTATGTATGTACATTGTACAACAACAAAATAACACACGCACGTAGGTATGGTTTGTTTTGTTGTTGCTGTTGTTGTTAGTGCCACACAGCCACGCTGTTGCTGGTCTGTGGAGGCCGCTGGCTTTTGTTGTTGCCGTTGCTGTAGCCGAAGCGTGAATTAAAATAAACTATTTAAATTTATTTGCATCTGTTTAAACGCTGCAGCTTGAGCGACCAAGGCGGCAACAGCGACGGCGACATCGACGTCGGCGGCTATGACGACAACAATGGCGGCTTGGCCTGCATTACACAAACACGCACACATACCACCTATACAAATGTTCATACTCGTATATGTATAGGCATAAGAACAAGTGTGTGTATTTGTGTGTGTGTGTGCTTTGCTCACCCCGCACACCTTATGCGCAAAAGCACGACGCTTTATCGCGCGTCTCTATCGCCATGCACTAGAGGTGGACACGGACTGCCTTTTTTCAGCCTGGCACTACCAATTTTTTGAAACACGCACTACGCTCTTAAGACAAAATTTGCTTGATTTTACCGAAGTTATTGCATTTAAAAAGTAGATGTGAGAAGTTTGTATTTTTTCAAACACTAAAAATATCACAAATACATTGAAATTGTATACAAATACATATGTATATGTGCACAGAATATTTTATCGAATCATTTTCAAAATTTCCCATTCAACAGATTTTTTGGTGATTCTTTTCGCTTAATCGTGAATGTCTTTTCTTGCCTTTTTGAATTGATTTCGAAAATAAAAAAAAAAATCACGATCCAGGCCCACCTCTACCATGCACTTTGTCGCTGCAGTGTTGATTTTTCTCTCTCGCCATTGCCGTGTTTTCTGCTTTTTTCTCCTCACTTTTTTTATCGTTGCTGCGTGCGTGTAAGCCGACGCGCCGCTCCTGCCCCTCATCGCCCCCGCCCAAGCTTTGAAACCTGCTGCACAAGCTCCATGACGTCGCCGTCGCCGTTGCCGTCGCTGCGTCGCCTGTGCGAGCACTGTGTTTGTCTGACTATCTACGCTTGTGTGTGTGTGTGTGTGTATGTTTCATTGTTTGCATTTTGTTGTTGGCGTTATTTCGTTGTTTTTTGTTTTTGTTGTCTGCCTTTGTTGCTTCTCTACTTCGTACGAAAAAAATTTAGTACAGCGTATGGTATGGCAAACGAAAGCTATGAGTTTTCAGTGTATCTTGTTTTACTTTTAGTTGTATCTTTACTGCTGCCTGCCTGCCTGCCTGTCCGACTGCCTGCCATTTTGCTGGAAATTCTGCCCTGTGTATATATGTATGCGTGCGTGTGTGTGTTCGTGCGTGTGTAATTACGGGTTGTTGTTGTAGCCGTCCCTTCGAGCGCGTCTCAGGGTTTGTCTGCATTGTGCGGCCTGCTACGACGAATGTCGAGGCAAAAGCACGCAGGTAGAACGAATGCGGCTCTGGCTCTGCCTCTGCCTCTGCTCGTGAGGCCAACCAAAGTCAGCTAAAGTCAGCCAATACACGCACGCACGCACACACACAGACAGACACACTGACAAACAGTTGTGGTATTTTTGGCAGGCATCTGAATCTTAACTGCTACTATATAGGAGTACTGTCGCGTTTTAGGAACCGCCTAGGACCCCTGACCAGGGGCGGCAGCATTGTTGAGCGCAGCTGCCGCCGCTGCCGCTGCACAGGCATTGCAGTCATGGTGGACGCATCATCTTACCAACCAGAGTCCGAGGTTGAGTTTCTGCAGCTTGGGCAACTTCATGATGATGTCTATGCCCTTGGAGGAGAGTTGTGTGCAGCCATAGAGATCGATGGTCTTTAGATTCGTCAGATCCTCGGCTAGCGTCTGCAAGCCTTTATCCGTTATCCGGCTGCACTGACCAATGTTGAGGTTCTCCAGTTCATGCAGCGCCTTGGCGATCTTTAGCATGCCCTGATCCGTAATCTGGCACTGGTTGAGGCTGAGCGATCGCAGTCGGTAGAGGCCTTGGGCGATGTGCGTCAGTGCCTGGTCGCTGATTTTGTCACAGAAGCTGACATCCAGGGAGGAGATGCCACTGCCTCCCTCCGTTAGATAGGCCATTCCAATGTCGGAGATGTTGTCACAGGAGCGCAGGTTAAGTTGTTCCAGCTTGGGCATGCGCGCTAGGTGCTTCAGACCGCTGTCCGTGACGGAGACGCAGAAGCTCAGGTTGATGGATTTTAGTGATGTCAGACCCTGTGCTATATGACCGAGCGCCTCGTCGCTAAGTCGTTGGCAATCTTGCAGACCCAGGAACTCTAGCTCCAGATTTCCCTCGGCCGTTTCACGACTGAAACCAGCTAGATGGCCAATACCTTGGTCGCTAATGTGCCAGCAGGAACGCAGATTCAGATGTCGAAGCTTCTTCAAGCCCCACGCGATGAGCAGCAGGCCTGTGTTGGTGATGTTGCAGCAGCCGCCCAATTCCAAGGTCTCCAGATTCTTCAGGTGCTGCGCTATGCGGCCCAGACTCGTATCCGTGATCTGTTTGCAGAGCGAGAGATCGAGCGTCTTCAGATTTGGCAAGTCGACGGAAAAGGCGTGTCCGAGATTCATGTCTGCCACATTGAAGCAGCCGCTGAGATTTAGCGAGGTAAGTGCTGGGACACCTAGCACCAGATCTTTGAGGGAGCGACGCAGTGATAGAATCTGTACCTTCTTAATACCACGACGCACCAGACAGTTGAAGAGGCTGGGACTGGAACGCTTCAGATGCAGTTTTGCTTCGACGCCCTTCCAAACGCTCTTAGCATAAGCGGCATCTCTCCAGGCACTGCATACCTGCGCCGCACGTCCCAGATCCCGCACCGGCAGGTGCTCGAAGATCATCTCAAGTATTTCGGGGAAGAGATTACTGATGTGCGTTCCCTCGATGGGAGGCGGACTCTCGGGCGTGGCGGGTCTGTGCTGATGATGATGGTGGTGGTGATGATGATGCTGTGCATGGGCGGCGGCAGCTGCTGCCGCGGCTGCTGCATGCTGCAGGTAGAGGGCGGGCGGCAGCGTCTGCAGCTGTGGTCTATGATGCAGGGCGTAGGGTGTGAAGCGCAGCAGGTGGTGTGCGCTGCGTGTGAGGCCGGGCAGTTCAGTCTGTTGGTATAGATCATCCATGCTCCATGCGGCTGCTGCCAGCTGTGTGGCCGTAGGCAGCACTGCAGCTCCTCCGGAGCCTGCCAAACCACCGCCGCCACCTCCTCCGCCACTGCCACCTCCATGATAGCTGGTGAGCGCGGCTGCTGTCTGTAGAGATATTGTTGTCTGTTGATGGAAGGGCAGTATCTCTGTGTTGGTCGCCATGCTGCTGCTCCTCTTTTGATTTACTATGATGGGCTTGGGGGCCTTGGAAGTCTAAGTTTGCTACGATTTATCACAACACTCTTGTTCTTTCGCTCCAGAAATGTAAATCACTGTTTTGTTATTTAGTTTTATATGCGTCGCAGCATTTTCTATATGCGTTTTGGATTCAAGTTTCCTACACAAAATCACACACTACTGAGGGCTGGATAGGTATAGACTATGACTATATGTATGTATTTTTGTATTTTCGATGCACTTGATTTAAATTGTATGCGCATAGGCAAGGAATTTAAGCGCCTTTTCTTTAATATCTGAACTTGATGGACAATGGCGTTCACTCAAAAATATTTGCTGTTGTCTTTAATAGAACGCGAACGAGCGCAGCACAGATCCGAACCGGGCGACAGTGTTTCAGAAACTAAACTTTAAATGCAAGATACGTTGCTTATACGCGCTCGCTCTCAGCTCACACAAATACAAAAATGGCTGGCTGCCTGCCCATGTGCGTGTGTGTGTGCATGTGTGAGTGCAAGTCTCTTGCAGCTGTATTCAGCAATGCTCAGAAGTTGGGAGGGCAGGTAGTCGCGTTGCTCTCAAGTGCTGAATTGAGATTTGCTTTATGCGCGTGTGTGTGTGTGTGTTTGACGCTGTTTTCAGCAAGTGAGAGTCAAAAAGGCTAGATCTGAAATTGAATCAAGCTAGAAATATCTAAAATAGTTATTATGCACATAAGTTAAATTAACATTGCCACTAATTAGAACGACTCCCAGGTTTGTGCCATATCTTTGGTGTAAGGAAAGTCTATTAGAAGAATTTCATGATTATTTTACGACTTACGAAGTTAGCAATTAATACAACAAAACAACCTTCAACAGTCTCTTGCAGCCTTTTCCTCTGGGTTATACCAACAACAAATAAACATAGATGTAGGTGACAGAAATGAGTTGGTTCGGACTTACAAGTAAGTAAATATTAATAAGTATATGCAGATATCTAATACGCTTTCATGAATCTTAATATAACTTGCTGCTTCCAGAAATATAAACTTCTTCCACAATTGGTATTTGAAAAGTGCCAGAGCTGGCGGGAAAATAGCTTGATTGGCAGCACTGGTGTGTTGTTGTGAGAGCAGCTGAAGAAGAGAGCGGACACCTTAGTAACTTACTAGCTCACTAGCAACTGACTAGCCTTAGTTGTTGGCTAAAAGCACGTCCTATGGCTTAAAGTTCTTGCATTGTTTTTTTCTAGAGCTCATTGCAATCCGTTTGGTAGAGCATTGGCTGAAATTGCGTGAGTGATGAAACCAAAGCATTCCTAAATAACTTTAAAGGGGCTAACAGCAGCGGAAGGTACCTGTCTGGCTTTGAATCTACTCCCATGTATACTACATACATGCATATGTACGTATGTATATGTGTGTATGTTATTTTTGAGAGTGTATGGCCGTAGTGATCGTCAATATCTGAGCACCGCAATAGCGTCTCTACCTGCGTGCCACAGCAATCAACGATCCCCGTTTCCAAGAAAATATTAACGATATCTCAAAAACGTTGCCGCACACACACACACACACACATACACACTCCGTTGCATGCATACATAGGCCGCTCTAGAGATTTACAAAGCCGTACACAACGCATTGTTATTGATACTAGGAATCCGATGCACACACATGTTGGTAAAAACTATCCAGTTTCTATGCACATGGATATACATACATACATACATACATATGTATGTTTGATGCATTTTCCTCGACGACCCTTAAAAAAGGAAAAACTACGTCGCACTTAGGCGAAACGCTGGCTTAAAAAAGGAAAAACGCAACAGCTACCTGCTCGGCAGCGTACGTATTCCAGATTTGAACAAGGGGGAACGGTAAAAAGAAAAATGCCTACTTTGATTCTTTGCACATGACTTAGCCTTTGCCCATATAATCACACACCCATACCCGAATACAAACTACATACATATGCACATATATCTCTGTATATCGTACAGTTGTTGGTTATCCTGGCAAGGCGTGTGTGTGCGTTTGTGTGCTTCTACCTGTTAAACTAGTTTGGCCCTTCAAGGGCGAGGTTAAGAAAGAAGAGAGTCGAGCCCAGTTCCACACAATGGTGTGCATTTTGGAAGCGGACCTGTCAAGGCATCGCCTCGCCGCTGACGAAGAAAAGCGACAACGAAAATAATCTTTTCGCCGAAACTGTGAAAGAAACCCATACCTTTGTACATCCACAAATACAAGTAGTGCTGTAGATAATAATCGATTAGTTTTTGTTCGAGTTACTCTCGCGCTGTGATCATCATTAGAGCTACGACTACACTGTTATTATTCTGCGGGTGCCGGTGATAATATTGTTGCTGTTTCTGATGATTCTCCAGTAAGACTACGTATGAAATGTGGGCGACACAACAGTTTCCTGCAATACCCTGAACAATTAGGGCGATATAGTTTTATGCTCTTTTAAACTTTTACTCGGATACTATCGAAACTACTATATTGCAGTCATTAACTTCAAATTTACAATATGTGCCACATGTGTATCTTACAATATCCAGAAGGTGTACGAAATGGATTATTTTTGCTGAAAATATTACATCTTTAATTTTGAGGAACAGTTTCTAACAGTTTCTTGAGCAGAAACTATTTCGCAAGACTAGAAATGAGGAAAATATTGTTGCATATAAAGTTTGCACATTTGAGTTTTAGGCTTACAGCACTCTAAAAATCGAAATAATACCTCCAGAGTATGAAAATTCAGTTGTACATTATTCATTTTTATTATCGTCCAATTTGTTGAGTCTGCTTTACTAGGAAATTAGTAAACGAAAAAGTTGATTGGTTTTTTCTATAGATAATAGACCTATGTGGGGTTTAGCAAGAGGTATGAAAAAAGCTTGAATGAAGGTTAGATTAATTATATTACTTTTAAAACATAGCAATTAAAGATAGCCCTAGAAAAAACTAAGTATAAAATAGAACTGATTAATTTTTTTTTTTTGAACGAACTAAAAGTTCTAAAGTTCCTAATTGTTAATTCGGGATTGATGAGGCTGTTTTATGTTTCGAGAGGCATCATATTCTTTTATACATACAATGCTACATGTAGACCCAATATTTCTGGATGTATTTCAAACCTAGCTGGCAATCTAAGCTTAGCTTAGCTTACTCATTTAATTATGTTTGCCTATAGTACAGGGCCATTAAACTGTACAACAAACTTTGGATTAATATGTTTTATTGACAGCTGAATTAAGTTGATTACTCATGTATCGGATAGCCTACTATTGAATATATTCTCCATATGTACCTTGTATCTCACGACTGATTTACGTTCATTATATGTATATCGAGGAAGTAGACGCTATTCGCTCTTATCCCTCTGCCTTATCTTCAGGCCTTAATGTAGAGTTGTGGATCTCTGGCGTGTCCTTGGGTAGAAGCTGCTTGGCCAAGCGCTGAAGGGGTAGTTCGAATAACAGCAGACTAAGAGCTGCAACTCCGATAGTGAGTAGAACTATGCCAATAAGGTCGATGCCTGAAGCTAACTCACTGAACTGGGTGGGGACACCGCCATAGCTGGCAAATATGACAATGGGGGCGAGCAGGTATATGCCAAAGGAAAACTTTTCGAACAATCGCCACAGCCTGGCATTGAGGAGGGTGCGGAGGAGTCCGCCGTGACCGCAGCTACAGAGCACAATGACCAGGCCGGCGGTAATGGAGAAGACGAATTTGCCCAGAGACATGATGGCGGCGACCACAGGTGCGGGTGTTTGACGCCAATAGGTCATGAAGCTTGTGGCCAAGCCCACGCAGCAGGCGAAAAACCAAAAAGTTCGGCGCCACAACGAGGTTCCCTTGGCTTGTAGACGCTTTCCATGCGTGTGAAGCAGCCAGCCCCCAAAGCCACCAGCCAAGTAAGGGATTATCCGCGTCCAGGGCTTTGCGTACAATTCATTTAACGTACTGTAGGTGCTATCCGGGCTGTGTACATAAAAAAATGCAGGCTACTGAAAGGGTTCGCTACCGACACCAACAACTTACTGAAAGCTCAGCTCATGGCGGCTGTGACTGAGCCACGAAAGTGCCACAAATCCCAGCATTAATGCCACATAGAGCAGCTGCACTACATACGGATGCTTTGCATAGATATATAGCAGAAGTAGGCATAGAAGGAAGTACTGCATCTCACAGGCTAGATACCAGGTCCAGGAGCTGCACATTTCATCGAGCCTGAACAAGTTCTGTATGTACAACAAGTTGTGCCACCAACTGCTGTGAGAACAGAAAAACTCTAATTGTCAGATTAAGCGATGTTGCAACAATAACCAAATTAACATGCATTTATTGGCGATTATTGGATAACATAACGCCCGTATCTTACTTCTTGCAGTAGATGCTGCTATATCGCCCCAGACGGAAGGGTGTGAAGGCATTGAGCGCGTTGTGCAGAATATCTGAAAGAATTATGGTAAGCACCAGCATAGGCGTCAAGCTGTGATTAAATGCGAGAGCTATTAAGTCCCTTCCACAATTTGGCGCCCCCTGTGATTACCGCAAGTAACGACGAGCCACTGCCTTCCCAAATCGCTTTGAATTCTCCCAGATGCCATTTCTTCGAATCAGCTCCATGTCAGCCGCATTGCTCAGGAACTGATAGACCATCAAAAAGCCGCTACAAAAGGGCTTAGGCTAAGTAGTTGGTCTTCTAACTGTTCGAAGCGGACTTACCTAATCACAAAGAATAGATCCACGTGAAAGCATGCCTGGAGGAGCGGCTGCAGCGCAAAGTTCTCCAGCTTGGCAAACATTAGCGGTGTGTTGGTCAATGCATAGATGGAGTAAAAGTACACATGGAAAACTGTGATCCAGAGACAAACCATGCAACGCAAGCCGGCAACAGCCCCGACAAAGCTGCAGTCTCCCTCGCTTCTATTTGGCCGCGAACTAAAGACACGACTGAAGTTGGTCCTCAAGCGAAAGCACTTTAGCAAGGACATCTGTTTTTCTGCAGGACCAATTGGGGACTTAGCAGACCGCAGCTCAGCCAAAACAGTGAGCGAAATGATAATCAGCGCCAGTAAGCTGTAAGATTAATGATCAGCTACAAAAACACCCAGAGTATGATTTCCAAATATACAAATGCTAACACAACTAATCAAAAGTATTGTAACTGATTTATCCCCACATTACTAAGTTCTTCACCAAGGTGAGTTTCAATTTCAGTTTTCAAAATAAGTTGGACCTAATTTTCGTAAAACCACTTTAACGCTTTCTCAATCCGTAACCACTTTTGAAGTTTGTTGACCTGGTGAGCGATTTAGTAAGACAAACAGACTTTTAATATACAAATGCACATACATACATACATGTGTATGCAAATTATAGTGGTGTTCACAATTCTAAATCAGTACGCATTTATTAAAAATCGCTATGAAGGCGTAAAAAATAATTCTGTATATTGTATACGCCTGGTCATTATTATAACTTTTATCTCGCACGTACTAGATATTATTATGTAGTACATACATATATCTTATTGAAACACTATAGCTACGATTGTGGATCTGTCTAACTGACCATTCCTTCGTTCGTCAGTGAAGTACCATTAAAGTGTAATTGCTGACATGTGTATGAATCACTGAAAGTCTTCACTGAAAATCTGTTGAATCTGTATGAATATGTATTGGACGAGTGTTCCGAGAATGTTTGACAAAAAAGTTACTAAAGTACTTATGCCAATTGGTGCACATCCATCCCCTTCCAAGTGGTACTTACATGAATATCTGGCTGCTTGTTTCCCGCAAAATCTGTAAACTGACACGAGGCTGCTTCGCCTCGACCGTTACCATCTCAAGTGCAAAATTTCTTTGCAGCTCGAAGACGTTTCGCGCGAAAAACAAATCGGCATAGTGGGACAGTGCTGTAAGATTACACGACGCCGGAAGACACAGGCCTAGGCTTATGTAGCGCTGCCAAATAGTTGGAAACTCAGAAGGAATGCCTGGCCACACAATACCGAGCATGCTCACCTCGAATGGCAACTTCAAGTCGATGTAGTATGGCGTCGTGAAATTCATATAGAGAACGGAGAAGCGTACAGACATGGGACTCGTAGTGTTGAAATAAAACTTGGTTCGGTGCAGTGGCGAGAAGGTGATGCTATAGGGGTCGTTAAGCTCATTGCACATGGCAGGTGGGCTAAACCAAAAATAGTTACCCCATCCAAAGGAGCTTCCCGCAGAGCCAAATGAGTCGATTACTGTATTAAGATACAGACAATACTTTATCCATTCAGATGTTATACGACTATGTCTCTGAAGTACATCCGTGCCATACCTTTTGTGCTCCAAAAACGACGTTCCGCTATAGCGGACATGAATGCTTGCAATTGTAGACCACATTCTGAATTGTGCTCCAACGAGATACCAACTCTGGCTATTCCCACAAGAAAATTGTGGCGCTCTAACTGCTCCATTTGTATATATTTATCAGCAACTAACGACAGACCTCCTGGAATTATAAGCATCACCAGTAGCCCCACTCCCAATAATGACGCCACCAAACTCATTACGTTAGACACTCATCGAACGATCAAACGAAACTGAAAGTGGGTAATAGGGCTGTGCCAACTTTATACGTAATTAATGAAAAATTGGGTATTTCGATTTTATGCGAAAATATGTACATTAGTAACTTAAATATTTATGTCCACAGCAATCCATCTGTGATTGAACTACTAAAATAAGTTATAAAGTCAAAGTCGAAATTTATAACATAAATTATCAGTAAAATTTTATTGAAAAACCTTTGAATGGGCATCATCAAGGAACCGTAAAGAAATGGTTTTTCTGGCCCGGTTCCTCTCGAAAACGCTGTGCCTGTGGGAAGTTGGAAAGTTTTCCATCTCCCTTTTGACGGGCCTGAATAATCAGAAACATTTTCATTTGCAGAAAATGAAATACATTTATCCAGTTGCTTTCCAATATTTGCAATTTGGTGCGAAATTGGGTGAATATCCAGAACATATTTTTCTATCCCAAACATCTCAGTTAAAATATTCACTAAACTCTAAATTCCCATCAAAGATAAAGAAACGTATATTTTTCAATGCGACTGACTACAAAATTGTTAATATTTGCAATTAAGGTTTGCAAATTATTAATATGTTCATTCATCTCGAATATCAATTAAATATGAAGTTTAGGGAAAGTTTCTCAAATCGCTTACATAGAAGTAGGCAGGTCGGCCAAAATAACACCAATAGAAATCTAGGGTGCTTTTAGGTTAGAGCATTCAATCGAAATATATGGGAAGTGTTGGATATTTTGGTGTGGACTTTGGCATTGGTTGGAGGGTGCAGTGAACGTTAGGCTCCTCATACAGCTTCAATGAGCGAGATTTCACTCGAACGACAAATTTTCTTTGCCTTCAACGTCTGTGTTTGCCTTCGACTGCACACAAACTCTGAAAATAAGTCAACAGACAAACTTGTATCTGGGCTGTTATTACTTGTACCAAATAGATGGAAAGAAAGATACGTGGAAATAAGCGACAAGATGTATGTACATATGTACTATACTCGTATATGTAAAATGTTCCTTTATTATTTATGCAATTTAAATACTAATTATGTATAGTATATGTGTATGTTATTATATAGTTAAGTAGATGTACTTGTATGTCAGTTTTGAAAAAGTTTCGTTTACATATGGCATACTAAAAATGAATGTTCGTTTAGTTGCATTTTTCTCTTAAAATTCGTTTACGCTATGACTTTAAAATACATACATAATTATGGTCTAATAATTAATTAAAACTCAAACCCCACTGTTGCTTCATTGCGGGGGGAGGGGAGTTCAACCTCAGTAGGTTACTAAAGGGTATATATGTATATGTACATGCATGACCGATCAGGCAGGACACGCAAGGAAGTGGCTGGTGTATATGCTAAAGCATTTTTGATTTTTCTTTTATAATTCTTCAATTTAATACATGCGTTGTTCTATGTGCTATATGCTATAATTTTTATATACTTATATAGGGGGTTTCATTTTTAATGTATGTATGTATATGTTATTGAAATTTTCGTTGAATTAAGTCCGAATATTTTTATGTGTTATACCCCAACGCCTTTGGGCATCGAACATTCCGATAGCTGGCATACGAAATGCATTCCAAATGTTCAGTTTGTTTCACAATACATAGGAATATACATAGCCCTATATAGGCAAGGCTACGTATATACCTATATATAGTATGTATACTATATGATTAGCTCCCTCTGCACACACCCGGAGCATACAAGTACTGCGTATCTGATAATTCGCATTTCTAATGTCGTATGTGCCTAGTCTAAATTATTCTATGTGTGGAGGTGTGTGTGTGTGTGTGTGCTAACCCAATATTTTAATATGCGGTTTCCCTACAAACATTTTTTCTTGTTAGGTAAAATGTTATAAAACAAAATTTTTAAAATACTTTAATGGGGTTATATCACAGGTACATTTTAGACTTTTTCAAATGCAAGCTTGTAAAAATGTATGTAAGTTTGTTTGTATGTATGTAATGGAACCCTACAGGACTGGTGAGGATGTGGCTGGAAATTCTTCACTGGTAATTTCGTTTCTTGGCCTAAATACGTATTTGGTGTAGGGCACGACCTTATTGTATTACTAGGAATATCTGCTGATTTAAATGCGTGATTCACGTTTTTTTTTTTTTTTTAAATTCAAATGTGTGTTTTACTAGGATTTTTTTTGTTGTGTTTTTGTTTTTATAGAAAAGCACTAACCATTAAACATTGCAACTGCCGGTCATTTCTTCTTCTAGAGTATACGAATTAAGTTAAATTCAATTCTGACCACCAATATGAAAATAAAGAACAGGAAACAAAAACATTTAACCAAGCGTCTATGACTAGCTGAGGGCAATTAGTAGATACAACCGCATTTTCCATTTTCCAAGTTGTACGCTTGAGTACAGGTTACACTTTTCTTTCATTGAAAAAAACAAGCTTAGGCGAAAAGTAGATTTTTACAACAATCTGCAATCGTTTTACAAGATAGGGCAGTCCGGATCTTTTGAATTAATCTGTACATATGTATGTGTTATGTATGGCCTGCGAAGTAAATTCTATTGAGTATGTATATATATATAAATGTCGGAAACTGCCCTAGTCTTGAGGTAAGTCAAGTAATTAGTCGTAGCGTTTTATACAGCACTTACTTAAGTACATAAAGGGTTGCTTTTGAGATGTGATGTTATGTGATTTGTAGTCTCTACCTTAACTACTCAATTCGATTTGATTCGATTCCATTCTATAGTATATAAAACTCGTAGATACTAGAGAAACAATGCTCCGATAATTCAGATTTGCAAATTGATTGTAGCCATAATTTGTGTCGTTGTTATAATATCAGTTCTGCTGCTGCTGCTATGAGTACGTATTCGATATTGTAAATAGTATGTGCTATTTATTTGTTAAATATACTTGTATATTGCGCAGAAACTTTGCATTTGTCTAAGCAGCGATTTGCATCTCGCCCCCTCGCTAAGTTCGATATGAATGAAAGGTTGGACTAGTAGCTACTCTACCTTGCTTCTATTCCGATTATGATGCCTGCCTAATTGTTATTTTTGTTAGTCATTGCAGTGAGGCCCGGCGCCAACGGATCGCCTGCCTCTGCGTAGAGGCAAGATCCGTCGCTGCAGGAGCAGGTATCGCCTTCACGGGAGCTATTGCAACAGTCACTGGTATAGTTCGCTCTCTCATCACTGGGGTGTACTGCGTAGTCCTCTGGTATATTATCGTTCTCGGCACAAGGCACGACGTTCATCATGTGGTTGGCTGCGGCCACTCGTCGTTGGCCCGTGCGCTTGCAATTGTGCTCAGAGCTACGTGCGTGTCCTGGTGCTTTGCTGTGGGCGTGGGAAGCGCGGGAATTGTCCGAGCATTCGGAGGAGCATTGATAGATTTGATGATTGGAAGCTGCATTTGGGATTTCACCGTGCACTGGCTGGTACCAAGCCTCCGAGGGCGGTTGCATGGGCGAGGCAAGTGCATCACAACTGTTGCAGGCTCTACATATGAAGAGAACAATGGAAATGAGTACACAACCATGTTGGATTAGACAGCAAGGGTGCTTACCTATTGGCCGAACAACGCCCAGAGTTCATACCACCGGACTGATACTCGCTGACCGCATGGCGTTGTGTGGGAAAATGGATATGTATGTTGCGAACGGCCATTTCGTTGCCGCTGGCCACTGTGTTGCCATAGTAGGGTGGCAGCGGTGGCGGATGTTGGCTGGTGGGCGTGATTTGGTAACGATTCTGTGAGCCACCCACACCCGACAACGGGTTGCTGTACAAGTTCTCCGGAGGACAACCGACACCGCATTGGGGCGATACTCCCCAAGCAGAGAAGCCGCCAGAGGAACTGCTGTGAACGGAGGCGTTTAAAATACTAAAGTAAGTTTGAAAATTATGATGTGTAAAGGTACAGGTACTTCTAAAATAGCTGTATTGAGCTCACCTTTGATTCGTGGAAATACCCGATCCTCCGCTCTTTGAGCTTTTGCGTGAAGATTGCGGCGAGCCTTGTGCATAGCCGTAGGTCGATGACAATGGTGGCGGATGTTCCGGTGGTGGGGGCAAGATTTCTGACCAATTGAATGTTTCTAAAACACAGCGAGATTATCAAATTAAAGTAAGTTGGGTTTTGGCTTTGATGTTGCAACAAAAGGTAAATTAAGGTAGGCACTGCTACTTATTATAACTTAATCATTTTTCGGTTAGAATTGGAAATTTGGTAGACTTGATTCCTTACCAGCCGGATATTGCAGATAATTTGATTTGGTGCCAACAGCTCCTGCTATGGCGCCCTGAGCAGTATATGCATCAGAGTACGGGGAATGTGTGCCCGAGTCCTTGTCGGCACTCAGAGATGTGGCTTTTGTGCACGTTTCGGATGAAGATGTGCCAATAATCATGGTTGTGGCATATGGTGTGGGATTGTCGGGACTCTGAAAGAAGCAAAAAAAGATATACATACATACAAGTATATAAGAATTAGCATTATGTTATCTTTAGTGAACAATCATATTTATTTTACCTTTCTGCAGTTGTAAAACGTAGTCAGGTTGCGCGTATCAACCTCGGCATAGTCTGTGCCATTATCCGAGGTATAATTGGACTGACTATTCACGTGCGACAGAAGCTTGGATTCACTCAAGCCGGAGTCTTTGTCAGTGTCTGCAGTGCGCCAGCCACGATCTATCCAAAGGCTCTCCTTGCTGTTGATGTTCAGTGCAGTAATTTCATTCGCACTAACAACTAAATGACAAAAGCAATATAAATGGTGCATCAATTAATTAGGAATTGCTTTTATTTACCACTAAGGTGGCCCAGTTGCTTTGTCATCTGATGTCGCCGCTTAAAGTAGACCATGGCTGTGGCCGTTGAGACAACAACAACCAGCAGTACTATGATGACCAGCCCCATTAGCCAAGTGCCATGCAGGAAATTCGTGGTTTTGCGCTGCGTTGGGGGATTGGTAGGATCGTGATTAACCATACCATTGGTCTGATATGTAAAATCATTGCCCTCATGGCGTCCATCGTGTGTGCCGCTTGGGTGGGCACGTGGAGGGTGCACATGATGCGACGGATCCATGAACAGAGAGATCTGAGCAAGAGGTATTGTGTTAAACGGGTTAAGTAGGTTTTAAAGCTTCTACTTACGGGTTTCGAGTAGGGACCGTCACCGGCCTTTGTGAAGGAGTTCAAACGAACACTATAAATAGCACCGGTTGTCAGATTATTCAGTAGCACCGATGTGGTGGTGGCGTTAAGTGTCATATTTGCCAGAACCTTCATTGTGCTGCCAGCGCTGACCTGTAATCGAAATATGGATTTTATTCTTTTTACCGCGAGTTATATTCGAATGGTGTATTACCTCAATTTTGTATCCATACAAGTTGCCGTTGTGGTGCTGAGGTGGAGGCTGTGTCCAACGCACCCAACCGGCTGTCAAATTATACATGCCTATCTGTATATTATCCGGCGGGGCAGAAGGAACTAAATGCAACAAAAAATATAATTGTACAAAATATTTCGGAGATTATTTGAACAGTACTTACCATCCTCATAGGTTATAGCGATCTTCGAATTGCTTGGCTGTCCTTCAATCGTTTCATAGAAGGGTGCTATAAAGAATTCGTATTTCGTGTATTTCTTCAGATTGGCGACAACAAACGACTCGGCAGATGCTTCGTGCACAGTAACCATAGAATATTGGACGGTGTTGGAGCTTATATCCCGATAGCGTATATGCAGGCCCTGCAAAAATGATTCTCTTTTAGTAGCGGCGTACTTCACAACTTCAGAATTGTGCTTACCTCAATATATTTTTCAGTAGCGCTCACATGCAACATCCAATCCAAGCGCACAGCACTGGCATTTATGGGAGTAGCATCAATGAGCTCCACAATCTAATATTAAAACAGAACATTAGTTTTAGAGAACGGGAATAGGGATTTCGCTGATGATACCTTGCTGGACAAAAGGGAACGAGCTGACGAAAGCTCATTGTCTGGCGCAGCATTGAAATCTTCTCCAAGCGTTTTTATGGCATTCGATAGACCCGAGGGTACAGAAATACCCTGCGAGTTTTCGGCTCGTACCAAAAATATATACGAAGTGGCGGGCGTGAGGGAAGATATCTAGAAAAACGTTTACTTTTTATTACTGGAAATTATACAATGATTCACTAAAACTTACTGTAACTTGAGTGTCGGGCACTCGATGGGCGGCCACAATCCAACCAGTTTGTGCATCGGGGCTAAAGTATTCCACAGTGTAGCTGCAAACAGTTCAGTTGAGTATTTAAGCTCGACTAAGATGTGAGTCTAATCTTACCCTATGATGGGGCCCACAGCTCCTGGCTTCTCCTGACTTTTCACCCAACGCAAGGATATGCTATTTTGACTCACGTTGAGCACCTTTGGTGTGCCAGGTGGCGCCGGATATGTGCTTGGATCAGCCACACGGTGCACTGTTGTGGCGCTGCTTTTCTCCACCTGCAAGTTAAATGGATTTTCAAAGTGAAGGGCCAGTTAGAAAAGGAAGAGTTGCTTTCCAACTTACCGCCAAACTTGCTGACCAGGATGTTTCGCCTCGTTCGGAAGATGCAGTGCAGGTGTATATGCCGACGTCACTTAGTTGAAGATCTAAATGGGAATACTTATGATGGTTACTGTGCCTGTATTTAGAAAGGTATTATTTGTACCCACCATCAATGCGTAGGGAGCTGCCCTGCACTATAGAATGGCGATTGCCAGTTTGTACGGCATAGCCACCATGGAACCACTTGACTCGTGGCGTAGGAGTGCCAGTGGCACGACAGGGTAAGGTGGCGACTGACCCCTTGGACAGTGTTTGATTTGCGGGTCCAATTTGTATAATCGGTGGTGGTCTGTCGTCCACTGCACTGACCTATTGCACAGTAGTTAGAAAGTATGTAATGGTAGCTGAAACTCAGGCAATATGGAGAACTCACTTGTAAATAGACGCGTATGGTAGACGAATCCACAATGCTGAAGGTGGAGCACACATAGAAGCCTTCATCGTCCTTTTGAACTTCATTTATCTGCAGGGTGCCTTCGGGTGTCACCTGCAAGCGTCCATGCGAGGTGTTCGGAAACATGAGCGTGGACACACCCTCTTTCGCCCAAAACACAGATGGTGTAGGATTTCCAGTGGCTACGCAAGGGAATTGAGCGGCGCCATTAAGGCCTACTTTCTTGTTCTGTGGCTTCCTGGTGAAGTTTGGTGGTGCTATTTAAAAGAAAGAAAAAAAATAGTTTTCCAATTAGTTTCAATAATTATATACAGTCCGCTTGCCGCTTCCATTTCGATGCAATTGGATAGATTGATAAACTTGGCAATCTGAATACCTCAATCTTTATTTGTTTAAAAGCTTATCAAGTTCGATTCCACATTGTTTTGTCGAATTCGGTAAAGGGAATGATGTAAAAATTGAATTATTTACCATAGACAGTGAGTGTGGCTCTGGCGCTTATCTGGCCGACATTATTGTGCGCCTCGCACACGTATGTGCCCTCGTCGTTGGGTGTTATGTTTGTCAGTTCCAGGCTTTTCTCGTCGTGTAGAATGCGGGCGCGAGAGACTGGTATGTTGCCTTCCTCCTTTTTCCAGAGTATTTTCGGTGGCGGATCACCACCGACGGAACAGTGAAAGGTAGCTGTTTGTCCATACAACATGATTTGGTCCTTTGGCTCCTTCATAAAGTACGGTTTGACTGCGGGTGGAAAGTGGAAGGGTTTGAAAAATGCCGTTGATAAAGGCTGGACTTTCTACATACCCTGCACAATAAGCTTGGCGTAGCTGGACTCGCGTGTTCCCACTAGGTTCTGGGCAATGCACTTGTAGTTGCCCTCGTCAATGGGCTCTACATTGCTGATCAGCAAGTTGCCGCCATCAACTATGCGGGTGCGAGAGTTGGTGCCGAAAGACTTGGCTTTTAAGTCGTCGAGCGGCACACCATCCTAAATGTTATAAAACATATGCACACGTTTAATTGGGGCTATTGAGTATATGAGACAAGTACTTGTATGACAAGTCCGCTTACCTTTACCCAGATCAGTGTAGGCTCTGGTATGCCTTTGGGAGGCCCACATTCAATCAAAGCCGTCTCGCCTTTGGCTACCCGCGTATCTTTCGGCTCCACGCGAAAATCTTCACGCAACACTAGCAAGGCAGACAACAGCAACAACCAAGTGTTAGTTGGAAAACATTTTCACAATTATATGCATGCGTGTGTGTGTGTGTGTGTGTGCGTGTGTAAGTGTGGGCAGACAAGTTATTTGGCTTACCAGCTATTTGGAGTATGGCATGTCGACTAACGGCTTTGCCCACATGGTTTTTGGCCACGCACCAGTATTCGCCACTATCCTGCTCCTTCTTGCTCTGCATGGTGCGATAAAAGAACAATGCGCCATCCCTAAAGAGCACGCGATGTGATTTCTTTTCACTCGTATTGACCAGCTCCCCATCCTGCAAAATGAATTTAGCACTCTGATTAGCAAATTGCGACTAAGCTGCCTAACGAACGGACAACCATACCTTGTACCATTCAATGCTGGGTTCTGGTTTGCCCTCAACTTTGCAGTTAAGCGTCGCAGGTTCATTTTTCTTAACAACCAAGTCTGTGGGATGCTCGATGATGCGAGGCGATTGGTACTGACCTGTAAATGCAAAAGCAACAACGCAAATGAGCTACAAATCCGCGTATAACTTATAAACAATGGGTATATAGTATATATATTCACATATACTTGTATATGTATGTGTAGTATTTGAGTATATTTAAATATAATTATGTAGTGGATGCAGTGAGGGACTTACCTGCTGTTCCCGGTAGCGCTGTGAGACTCAATGCTATGAGTATAGGCGCTAGCTGGACAGTGTTGATGGTGCTGAGCTGCTTGCACATTTTTTGTTTGTTTATGTTTAATGCTGTATGAGAGTTAGTGCTCGGGGCGACCAATGATGTCAATGCACTGATGCTGGATGTATTTATTTATATAGCGTTGTTTGAAAAGGTGGCTATCATTTTAGCGTTTGCTGGCTATGCACAATGAAATGACAAAGAGTGTGGCAGCTGTTAGTTTTCATTTTTTTTTCTTTTTTTTTTTTCTTTTTTTGATGACCAAGATGTCTATACAAAGAAGGCTTTTTACATTTACAAGAGCTCGCTTGTTGCTACGCACAAGTGCGGGTGAGCACGGGTGGGGCATATATTATTACATTGATTGTTATTTATTTTTTACAAAAATTAATCAGTTATATAGATACAAACCTTCTGACGTGATTGTCCGCAATGCAGATAGCTATACGTTTTTAAACTATGTACATATGTATATGTACGTATCTTTATCTTCATTCCGTGAATTATTCATTAAATTTCCATGCACTCTGGTGCATAGAAGGCGTTCGTTCGACAATACATATAGACAGACAGATAGACAGACAGTCAGACATACAGGCATATGCACAGATAAGCACAACCAATAAAATATATGTGTCGTTTTTTGTCTATACTTTTTCCATTAATTTTATTTCTGTATTTATCACTCTTTGTGTTTATCTCTTGCCATAAAAAGAGTCGAGTTCTCAAGTCGAGGGCGACTACGACGGCCCAATCGAATTTTGATAGTTTTTTCTCACTTTCTACGCCTTAAGATTTTTCACTTCTGATCTATTTATTTTTTGAGCTGCGACAAAAAGTGAACAGATACGGATACGGATCAAACCATAGTTCATTTTCTCTTCATTTCCTTTTATTTTTTGTCCTTGGTATTATTTTGGTTGCGCTTTCGGGGTTGTTTCTCAGCTCGGCCACATTTTCATTTTCCAAATGAGTTTTCCTTTTGGTAATTTTACAAGAACATGCTGCTGCTGCTTGTTGTTGTATCTATAACAGTGCGTAGCGTACATTCACACATACACATTTGTATTTGACAGATACATTTACACCCCGAGCACGGTCTGCATTTATTTCATTCAATACACGGTTTTAAGAGTCTCTGCATATTGTATTTGTCACTTTTATTGCACAGAGTAGTCTTAACTTATTAAATATTCGATTCGTTTTTTAATTTCTATTCATTTTTATCACATTTACACACATTGGAAAACTGGCAATAGGACGTGGGATGTGCGACTCGTCGGGTCTGTGGAAAACTAAGCTGAGAAATGTCTGCTACGCTGAAATGGAACACGGCTGAAAAAAATACTAACACTGAAGTGCAAACAATTTTTTGATGGTCTGGCAGGGCCGTTGTCGTCCTAAGGCGCTTAAACGAAATTAAAATCAAGCGTTGCCAGAAATCGTTTTCTGACGAACTGGAAAGTCGTTTTAATATTTATTGTAAGAATTCTATGTTGTTATTCCTTATTGAAGTAATACTTTCAACGCTTTGGTATTCTTTCGGTAATCAATATTTTGTATTCTTTTTGTGATTCAAAGCGCTTTGCTATATAGCAGATTTAAATTAATTGCAGAATTACCAAATTTACTATACTTGTAGATATACGATTTGATAATTCAGTGTTGGAGCTGTTTTGTTTTAATTTGACCAGAATACAGAAACACTTTTTTGTAAGAATAAACTTATGTACAGGGGAAAAAATGCATGCACATCTTTTTTAGTTGCATATTACCTAGAAAATTAAAAACGTTTCGAGTACTTTTGTTTTATTTTCCTTCAGTCTTCCGTTCCCTTGGCATATCTGTTATTTCGATTTACGTGTATGTACAAGTCTTGGGAACGGGGTCTAGACTTTGAAAACTTCTGACTGGCATAGTGCTCGTGAAGGAGGGTGTGCAGATATCCATCGAACCTCGGCTTCGGTTGTTTCAACACTCCCGAATTGACATTTGAATAGGACCAAGGACAGTGCATGCCAGCATAGCAGTGCGGCTTTTCATCAGGAACGCGGCAGGGACACAATCCAACACAATTTTTCAGAGGCGTCTTTAAATACTCGCCCAAAGGTGTGGTTATGGTCTGTTTGCGATTCTTCACCGAGCACATTAGTTTCAACCACGCCATATGGCTTATGGCGCATTTTAGCTGAGGCGTGGCAGTACGTCGCCCATGGATTGCCCAGCCACTACCTAGCTGGTAATTTTTAAAGATGGAGTACGGCGCGGCACGCTGCATAGTCTTCGAATCGAGGGTCCCGGTAAATAAATCGGAGGCTCTACCTAACCCAAGCATGTTAGGTGCGCTAAATGCAAAACGTTTTAAAATATTCCAGGACTTATGCATTTTATTTTAATTTTCTTACAACTGAAATTTTGATAGACGCATAACCAAATGCTCAAATTATTTATTTAGAGTTACTGGTTTGACATTAACTTCATTTCAGAATCGACCTTCTGACTTGAACGCTCACCAATTGCGGCTGACTTTTTAGGATATCGGGTATTGGTACAACCTTAGAAGTTTTTGCCTCCCATGCCCGTACATGGAAACGGGGCCCCATCCCACGTCTATCCGCAGCCATGGCGCTCTTTATCTGTTTGGGCCGCAGCTGTAGTTGCTGGACGCGATCCACCACCATGCTTTTCGGTCGCTTGGATATATAGTCGTTGACGTGACTGTTAGAGCCGTTGCTTATGTTCAGGTTAACCAGGTGCTCCTGCAACTCCAGTTTTAAGCGAGCATTGGTGGCTTCCAGCTTCTTCTTTTGCTGCTTCAGGCAAGCCACATCCACGGCCACATTATTGACACGTCGCCAAAAGGTTTCCATTTTGGGAAGAAGTTCCACTTCGCTCTAAAAGGGGACAAGGACACTTAAAGAAAGACTTTGATTTGAGGGTATCTACCTTTAAAGGATCGGGAGTGGCTGCTCCATCATTAACCTCACGAATCTCAATAATTTCGCGTGTTAATTGTGGCAGTAGAAACATCTTTTCCCGCTGCGTTTCCATTTTGCCGCAAACACCAGCCAGTTGCAGAATGGTTTCGCCCTTGGACACGATGTCCTTGAGCGTCTGCAGAGCAAACAACCGATTAATCTTAAATTGTTTGTGAACATGCTCATCAACAACTGACCTCGATGGCATTGTAGCTTTCCACTGACATTTCCTTGAAGCGTTTTCTCTCTGTGCCCAGCTCCTTTTCCACACAATCGCGCAACTCTTTTAAACGGTCGCTTAATTGTTGCTTAATGCTCTGTCTCTGCTCTATCTCGCGCTCCTGCTTGCCAGCGAACTCCTCCGTGACCAATTTCAAGTTGGCCAACTGTCCAAGCAAATTGTCAATCTCACAAGTCTGGCTGCTTATTTGGGCGGCATTTTCTTCGTCGCGCTCCTTTAGATCCACATACTCGGCGTAGAAGCCCTCGATGTGCTTTACGTAGCCGGCCAACACCGATTGATACTCCTGCCACAAGCCCTCCAGCTTGGCTTCCCCCTTGCTAGTGATCTTCTCCAAAAGCAGCTGCATCTGTTGTTCAAAGTGCACGCAAGAGTTGCATTATTATTGGCAATTAGGGTCGCTGTCGCATTATGTGTCAATCACAAGTGAAGTTTCAATTGCGCTGGCTATCAAAATAATTATGGGGGCGACTATAAATTAGCCACAAAGCGCAGCAGTTCTCAACAGGCCGAACAATGTTCATTCGGATGAGACTCGTTTGGATTGTGTCTTTGCTACTCATCGCTGGGGCATGGAGCTTAAAGTGCCACAGCCAGGATAGCTCCACCGATGCCGAGCTGAAGAGGATTGTTCGCAGTTGCATGCACCGCCTCGGCAGTGGCAGTGGCAGTAGCGGCGGCAACGATGAGGCCAACTATAATGGACGCGACTGCGATGGTGGATCGCAATGCCAACGGTTTGGCAATCAGAGGCACAACATGGATCAGTACTATGGCTTGGATGAGGGCAGCTATCGTGGCAATAGACGCGACATGACAAACTATGGACAGCGGGACAACTACAGACTACGGCGTAGTGTAAAACGTCCCGAAATGAGCAACAAGAATAATAATAACAACAATAACAACAACAACAACAACAACAACAGTAGCGAGGCCGGACAGTGTTTGTCGTACTGTTTCTTCGAGGAACTAAATATAGTGAGCAGCGACTAATTAATTTGTAAGAATAGTCAAGTATATACAAGTATGAATGTATTTTCAGGTAGATGGCAACGGTTTTCCAGACAGGCGCAAACTAAGCTATATGCTGACCAAGGATATACGGGAGCGCGAGCTTCGAAACTTTTATATGGACACGGTGCAGCAGTGCTTCCGGTATGTGGACAATTATCGCCACAACAAGTGTGCCCAGTCCCGAGAGCTAATCAAATGCATGACGGAGTATGCAAAGGCCCAGTGCGATGATTGGGAGGAGTATAAAAATATGTTATTTAATTAGCACTGCATACATATGTACGTACACCACTCTTTAGGTCCTCGACGCGTTCTAGAAAGCGCTCGTGGTTGTCTTTTATAGCACGTTCGGTGGTCTCCTCCACTTGATAGAACACACACTCTAGCTCCTCTTGCCGGTCCGCATGCATGGCTTTGAAGACAGCAAAGTCCTGCTCCCATTCCTTGAGCACCGCCTGCTTGTCTTCCTCATAGCTCTGTGTGAAGAACTCAATGCGGCTTTTGTAGGTATCTACGGTATACATAAATATATATATTTTGTGGCTATATACATAATAACATAAATGTGGACTCACCAATTATTTTGCTGATTTTTTCCATATGCGATTGCTGCAGATTGGCGTACATATCCTCGTTGGTGCTAATGTCGCCAATAAGTCTTTGTATAACTTGATCCTTTCGCTTGAGTGCCTCCTTTGAGAATTGCTCCACCTCAATGATTTCCCGTCGTAGATCCTGAATCTTTACTTGTCGCAGCACCGAGCGCCATTCTTGATTAATTTTGGCAATGTTTAAACGACAGAAGGCATCTTCGCGTTTGAGTTTGTTCTGTGGAAGGCGGTAGGGTCTTACTTGTAGTTAGATAAGTATTTGCTTGGACAATTCCATCTGATTATACCTTCATGTATAGTGAGATCAATTGCATTTTACGTCGACGAGTCTCCTCCTCCATATCTGCACGCATCTGCAGGTATCGAGCTCTTTCCTCCTCCGACATTTTGGCCAACTTGTTTCCTTTGCCCTTCTTGCCCATTCTTAAATAATTTTTTATAAATAATTTCAAATTAAATTAAGTAGCTCAAAGAGATTGCAATTTGCTTTTGTGAACTTTGAACAAACGAATTTTGTGTCTATAACTAACAAGCTGTCATGACTACCATTGCTTTTGTGGCAACCACTCAACGCTTAAACAATTGCGTTGCCATGATAATAGGGAAAGTTCCATGTTTTGATGCTAAGTACTACGCCAATGCCAACAAATGGAATGATATCAATGTTGATATTTTGAAATTTAGTCAAACATGCAGAAATTATTGTCGTCATTATTTAATTTACAAATCCCATAAACTCCCTCCATTAATGAACAGTTTAATGGCCCAAAATGTGGGATATATAAAACGGCTCTGGCCACAACACACGAGATAATCAACAATTTATTCAGTAAAAATGTTTGCTGCTTGTCTCTTGCTAATACTTCTGGTGGTAAATATGGGCAGATGTACTATACATCTTACAATGTATAAATATATGTGGGGAAATTAACAACCTTCCCTTTTGAAAGCCCCAGGTGTACACCGTTCGCGTGCATTGCCGCCACATGGAGCGTATACATGAGGATCATATTCATTATTGCTGCAAGCATCCCGACGGCCACAATGACGTTAGCGAGAGTTGCGCCAAAAAAACAAATTACCGCCTGCCTGGTCCAAATGAGGAGGACATTATAGACAATACTGTGGATCAGGTTATGGGTAGCACTTGCTTCGGCGAATGCGTCTTCAATCATTATAAATTTTTAAAGAACAACACCTTGGATATGGAAGCCGTCATCCATCATTATAAGACTGTCCACAAAGAAGATCCTGAGTATGAGACTGAAATGTTGCAGGCATTCGATAAATGCCATAGCAAATGTATGTATTCCGAAACATAGGACTAGACTAAGTGCGTTTAATATGATATTACAAGTATGTACTCGTATGTTATTTGCAGCGGAAGATGCCACCGCAATGTTTTTAGAATTGCCAATAATCCGTGCTTTCTCATCGTCCACCCACTGCAATCCCAAGCCCAGCATCATACTCTCTTGTGTCATATACAACTTCTTTCATAATTGCCCCAGAAATCGCTGGTCAAACTCTACGGAATGCGTGGAAACTCTGGCTTTTGCTAAAAAGTGCAAAGATGTCCTTACAACGATGTAAATAAAAACTAAAATGCCTGAAAATACATACTTTTATGTATATCCTCGCAACTAAATAGTTAAATAGCACAGCACTATTCCAAATACGTGGAATATGTGGAAGACATAAATTGAATGTACAGATTTAGGTAAATTGTGGAAATACAATATTTGGAAAGTTCATATTCTTATTCATCCAAATGGTATTTCGAAAAGAAAGTTTGAGGAAAGTTTCCTGATCGTTAGAAATAACATAACCATTGGCGACATTTTTTTAAAAAAAACAACCTTTCAAAATTGAAAATTTTAAAATTTTGTTTCATCATCGCACTGACTTAGATTATTATGCACCTTCCATGAATTGATGAACGACTGGGTCAGGTAAATACCAGAAATATGGCCGTACTGCCAAGGGTCTAGTGGAATTGTGCAGCTGATCTGTGGACTTTGATAGCTATTAAAATCACATCGATGTAGTAGGAAGATATAGTATATGTACATATATGTGAATCCCTCAGGGAACAGCTGCTGAAAAAGGTTTCTTTATTTTTTGAGAATCACTGAGCACTGAGTTTGCTTGATAGATCATTTTTGTTTTCTCTTTACCTTCCTTTCCTTTCCTGCTACATTGTGAAATTTTTATCATCCTTTATTAGATATTGCAATTTTCTTGTATAAACAAATAAACGAAACCAAAAATGTTTTTCTAAGACCAAAATTTTGTTAATAATATTGCCTCTAATAATATTGCATAGAAAATTAATGTTTTATTGATTGTTAAAATATGTTGTCGTTTTTACAATGTGGCCAGAGCATCTTTGCAGCTCTTACTGAATTCTAAAGTGTCCTGACATTCCTTACTCTTGGACCAACGATCTGCCGGACAGTTATGGAAGAATTGTCGTATAACGCAAGCCCAGATGACGCTCGCCTTGGGCTCACAGAAATTCTTAGACAATGAGTGGAACATGGGATTTGAAAGAAATTGCGCTGTGCCTTCCTCATCTGAAAATAGAGTCAGTTATACATTATTGCTTTGCCAAAATAGTTCACCTAGACAGATAACGCACTCTTGCCGTGACAGTGGTCGAAGGCGCTGATCATTTCATTGACATATTCGGGATCATCTGGGTGCCTCTCCTTGTAGTATTTCTTCACAGCTTCCATGTCTAGTTTGTCATCGTTAATGAATTTGAGAGCCTTCATGACGCAATGGCCAAAACATGTGCCCGCAATAATATGGTCAGGAGTCAAGTCAACAATGGCCTCCTCGCTGGGATTGGGCAGTGGGAAGCCAGTTTTGTTGGAGCATTCCTCCATTATCTCATTGTGGCCTTCCGGATGTTTGCAGCAGTGATGGATGTGATCCTCATTAACAGATTCGGGCTTCTCGCAATCAATTTTAATGGCACCAACGTACTGCATACAAAATATTAAACATTGTTCTAACTTTTAAATGGATATTCTGGAAGGTAGAAACTTACCCAGGCCAGGTATGCCAGTGTTATAACGAATACTGCTTTCATGATGCAAAAACTCGATTGATCTTGTTTCGTGAAACTGGAAGCTATATAAAGCAATTTAAAAACAACGGTACTTGCAAAGGGAAATGGCCCAATCATAATGAATACATTAAATTAAAATATGAAGTGAGAAGTTAATGAACTGTAATGGGAACAATAGTTGTTTAATTAGTTTTTAGTCTGTACTCATTAAAGCTCATTCGTTCCAATAAATTTAACAAATAGAAATGCTTCAATATATAATTGTAATATTATTAGAATGATGATATTTATGGTTTTGTATTTAAAGTCGTGCAAGAACTGACCATATGGCATTACACCAAATCAGCCAGCCGGAAATGTTCGCACTAAGATTTTATTTGACAAGCATTTTACTGATTCTTGGGATCACCGTCACGTCCATTCTTAACGTGTGTGCTGATGACCCCGAGGAAGTAGATCAAGAGGTAGTTGTTAATACGACTTTGGCCACACCTACCTCACCTGGGGAGTTCAATGAGGAGACGTGCAGTAAAGAGGTAAGCGGAACTTGCCACAAATACTTTTCATGCCCAGCTCAATAAGCTAAAATTATTGCATTTAAAAAAGCATAATGGCTGTTGCAATGAGCTTTATATTGGCGAGGAGGACAGCTTGATGAAATGCTTCGCAATACACTCTGCAAAAATGCCACCACCGGGGGATTCTGACACCTCGAAGGCATTGAAATTTCTTTCGGTTTGTTGGTCAGCTCACACGCATTTCGGTTTCAGTAAGTAATCTGGGGTCCCATTAGTGTTTTGTAGAGTGCATTTATAAGCAGAAGAAATACATTGGAAAGAACGACAGCATCAACATGAAGATGGTGAAGAACGATGCTGAAAAAATGTACGCAGGCCGGCCCAAGGAAAAGGAATACTACATCAAAATGTACGATTTCTGCAGAAAGGATGGTTAGTGGTGTCTACACTTATAACGCAGTAAAAGTTTTCCTTATCACAATTATATATTTCTTACAGCGGTGGGCAGTCTCAACATAATAAAGAACACTCCAAGTGGGAAGGCGATGTTCAAGGACGCTTGCAGACCTTACTTGCTTATGGTATTTTTGTGCCAAGCGGACTATCATAAGAAGCACGATTGTCCGTACTTTCGCTGGGAGGGCAATAGGAAGGATGGCACCGAAAAGATGTGTGAGGCGGCCAAGGAGAAATGTTATGCAGTAGATGGAATAGTAGTACCTAAAAGTTTGAGCTTTTTATAGTAATTTCTGATTTTAAAATCAAAAACAGCACGAATTCATAAAATACATATTGAGTTTTAATATTAGCCTGCACCTGTGGGACGGCAAATGTACGAGGCTATGCACATCACTTAGAAATTCCAATGGAGTCCGACTATGTAGTGCGGTTTGCCCAAATTGATGATTTTGGATCTATTATTCAGTTACTGCAGTCACCAGACATTAAGTGGTTCGGCAATATCCGTCCAAAGTACAATGCCAAAGACAATATTTTTAAAACTTATCAAACACATCGGTTGGTTGTCCTAAAGAATGAGGCGAGTACCGGAGTCATAGCTTATGCCGAGGTCCGGGACTATCCACCTCTCGGCGCGCTACCCAACGATGCTTGGCTTAAATGGATGAACTATAGATATTGGTAAGAAAATTGTCGTTTAGAATTCGACCAAGTTAATTGATGCTTCCAACATACTATTCTATAGCTTAACCTTTACCGTTAATACTTTAAACACGCTCTTCCTAAATTTTGGAGCCTACAAAAGCGACCATCCACTCACGATAAGGGCCATTTTAAAGGAAGTTTTCTATACCGAGAACAAGGTTCTATATCTTATGACGGTTAAAATGCCAAAGACGCCACAGCACAAGTATTACTATGAAAGTTTTTCGGATTTGAAGCCCTACGCTAGAGTGCTCTATCCACGTGAATTCGATCTCGAAAACAACCCAGTCACACAATCTCTATATGTTGTTTATCGGTACGATATACTACCAAAAATAAACTACAGAAAGGCTCTGTAAGTGCCAGTTACTTGTAAAGCAGCTACGAACTGATTCACATAAACGCTCATGCCTTCCACTAGAGCTGAGGACAATGACGACATTATCGAAATACAAGAAGCGGAGCTACCCGAGATCCGAGCTGAGCTTGGGGATTATTATATAGCTGAAGAGCTGATGCGACAAGACGAGGCCGCGCACAAGACATTTATAATTGTTGCCGAAGTCATTGAAAATACCGAACATACTGGAGTATATTTTTTATTAACACCCAATATTTACAGATTGAAAACATAAGTAAAGAATTCCAGACTGGTGGATTTATCTGGCTTTCAACGGACATTGACATAAAATATTTCGTCAAGAATTACGAAGTCGAACACTTTGGTAATTTGGTCAATTTCACTGAGACCGAGCCCTATGCTCTAGACCACTTTATCGTCTCGTAAGTAGCTCAATTTAATCTCTGTTTGGAGTAAAATATTGTCCTATCTCGCTTTCAGAACTAGCCAACCAAAAGCCGAGATCAGTCTGTTCACCTTGGAAGCACTTGATGATCTGCATGCTACGACCATTTTAGGCGGCTTACATAGGAATGACAGTGGGATCAGGTAGCTAGTTACTTCCCTCCTCTTACCCCTGCCCCTAATTCATACCTTAATGATTGGTTTGTTCGAAAAAGCAAATCTCATAGTATAAGCCTCAAAGCAGAGATTCAACTCCCACATCATTATAGATTCCGAAATGATGGTCATTAAGGGGGTTTTGGAATCTAAGCTTTGAAATAACAGCGGGCTAATTAAATACCTATTTGCTCCAATAGTCAACCGGCTATCAAATAGTTTATTACAGTTTATTCCTTGTTTATAGAATCTCCCCCTAATAGTATTGAAATTGTAACAATTTACTATTCATTTTCCATTTCTTGACGCAACAGTGTGGCGAGTCTTGGAAAAGTGAAGGTCAGTTCTTTGGCCGGCATGGTTGTCTGTGATGATAAGTATTATGTGCGGGAAGGCATATTCATCAAATTCTACCACATAGTCGATCGTAAGTTCCACAATTATTCTCAGAGTATATTTGGTTTCACATTTCATTTACAGATCTTCTCAGTAATGGCTATTACCTGAACGAGGATGTAAAAGTCATCGATTTCTGTTACAATGTGGCGCCCGATCTTTCCATACTAGAGGATTCTGCCAATGTATTCATGCTGAAATATATCGGTATTCACTCGGATTACCCGGTGAAGCGTTTGTTTAATTTTCTGATTTGCGCATTTTGCGCTTTCCCTGAACGCGATTACTGCATAATGACTTTACCAAAAGGCGGTACCTCTGTGCGTAGTCATGCGGAGGTGCTTAAATATTTTATGGTAAGTCATCAAATGCAATTAATGTATTAAATAACATAATATATATTGTTTAAAAACAATAGCCTGTGGCCCAACGACCCAGCGAAGTTACCAATTTGGATCAGCTGTATATAACACATCGGAGTATTATTCACGGAGATGTCAGGTAGGCCATATCTATAACTATGTTTACTTACGTGTATTCCCACACATTTTATAATGTACTTCGTAGTGTGTATCGCATTGAACCCACTGATGTCCAAATGATACAGAAGTTTGCCTTAGATGGGTACTCACCAGAAATAAACTCGGTCGGAAGTAGTACGTCATATGCATCGAAAATTAATGAATATGGCTATGTTGAGCGGGAGTATAAACTTCTAAATCAGATTATGAACAGTGTCCTGTATCATCACCATAGCGAGTTCTCCATTTGGACTATTCGTTGTGGCGACTCCACAAAACCGGCCAGCGAGAATACACTGATTGGATTTGTGGTGTTGAAGTTATTCAGGAACCGTCACCAGCTATATCACCATTATCATGTGCCCAAATACGACACTCACCAGAGTCACGAGTGCGCCGAGATTATAACGCTGAGGCTGCATCCGTTGTTCAGGATTTGGTCGGACATTATATTTCGGGACTTGGCATCCAAAACCAACTATCATGATTTCTTTTATATCTCATCCAGACGAGTGAGTAGAATAATTTGAAAGGCCCCAAATAGACGCTACATACGCATCCACAGAACACAACCTTTTCGAACGAGCTAAAGACATACATGATGCTCGTTGAGCCGAATCCGAAGAAGAAGTGTTCGGTTCCGTGCAGTGCGGACGAATGCGATAAAATGCCTCTGTCTAAAATCAAATTGCCGCAGCATAACTTTTACACAGACCATTTAATATTGTTTCGCCACAAGTTGAAGCCTTCAAAATGGTTTGGTAACACAAATAAGTTGGTCATGATTGGTTTTACGGAACACACGAAAGCATTTTTGCGTCAATTGGCATTCCAATGGGACTCCAAAGAGTAAGTCTCCTAGCCCTTAATGTCCTAAATGCTGCACAGTCTTTTCTAGTCATAAGAACTCGGAGACTTTTACTTGCCTAACTCGAATTCAAGTCACTGTGATTTCAATGCCGGGCTTGGTTGAGGCTGAATACGACAATATGTTTCGTTGTCCCTTTTGCAAGGATATGTACAACTGTTACTTGAACTACCAGAATAGCTCCTGCTATATTCGAGATGTCATATTACGGATGGATCTACGTTTGTGGGTGCATTTTGTTCCTGGGCATGTGATCTTTATTGACAAGTAAATTATTATACCATTTGATTAGAAAGAAAATTGCAATCGATTTTTCTACCTTTCACCAGAGAAAAGAAATTCGTGAGACTCCGGAACTCTTGCGAGATTTATTACGACACTCTGATAATGACGTGCCACAAAAACTATTCGCTGAACGTTGATAGTCCGGTTGATTATAAAGGACGGCTTCCTTCAAATTACGTTGAAGTAAATTTTCGTATCGATAAGTTCCTCTTGTTTTACAAATGTCGCGTACTTCTGGAAGACATGCAGAACTCTTTTATAATACTAATTTATGGCAATGACTTACAAACCTATGAATGTATTCAGTTTCTGACCACACATGGCATTTCCTCCAAACGCATTATACTCGCGATGCCTCATGAAGTTACTGGAGTTGATGCGGAGGACAAATTGAGAAGTCCATACAAAGATAAGAACATACAATACATACTGGAGGACATGGTCAGGGATTCTGGTGTTACCGTTTACAACAATCTCAATTTTGTGGAATGGACTCATCATATTTCAGGGCACTTTATAATGGAAGTTGTATTCGAAAGTTTTCCGAGTCACGATCGATTCAACATTGACTGCGACATATTCATCTCGTTTGCTACTTGCGGACACATTGGCTATTTTTCAAAACCATGTTCGTATTTTCCTATCATCTAAATAGAGTAGTATAGTAATCAATTTGTATACCCTACAAGTATAACCAAAGGCAATGTCCACCGTTTGTCCGTTCGCTTGATTGTTCGTATGAACTTAAAAAAAACTTTTGAGCTACATATAGCTGCTAGGGACACCAAATTTGGCGTATATTCTTTAGCTGATCAATTTTACAAGTAGTGCAAACTACACATAGTCTCCATATTTTAAATTGCTGTAATATAAGCAAACGGTGCAAGGATAAATTTTAGTAGCCCCCCTTTTTTTTGAGTCGATATTTCAGCCCATTTTTGAATTTATGGGTTTTTCCTAACGTTATATTCTGAAGTTCTAACAAAATCATTGCACTGTTTTGGATATTTTCATTATATACATACATACGTGTAGATTGATAGAAATCTATCGTCATATATTTGATTTATATTGCTATTTTTTGTAAGTCTTTTTAATTTTATGATTCGATGAGGCGCGATTCTAATGCTCTACTATATTATATCTAATATATTATAAAGGGATAGTTGCGTCCGACATCGAAATGCACAACGGCTGCATAGTAGTGGATGAGAACTTCAGAACAAATGATCCAAATATTTATGCGGTTGGCAGACACATTGAAATAAGGGGAAAACCCAATTACCAGTATAAGTATACAAGTGAGCGGGAAACAGCACGGAAGGTGATGAACAAGAGAACTTCCTCGACATAAGAAATACATATTTACCATTATTTGTTTCATAGCTAATGCAAATACTAAAGCTTGGATTTTGTGAAAAGCGAGTGGAGCACAAATTTTCGGAGCCCCTTTACTTCCAAGCACAACTACCATTCAATTACTACATAACCAAGGTGACCATGCCCCGACGCTACTTATCAACCCAACTATCAACCGATATGAGCTGTTCCCTAACTACCTATTCGAAGAAAAATTTTTGTCGCGTAACTTTGTCCCGAAATTCGATTGTAGAGGAAATTGTTGTCATAACAAATGATGTGAGTACAGATTTCAATTGATGGGACTTAAAGGGTATTTTTTATATTAATCTTATAGGATACAAGACTAGATCATTTGGAGCACTTCGTTGGTAGAGTATTAATTGGTGACTGAATTAAATGGGTGTAGTGAATTGTTTTTTTTTAATTAGGTAAACATGAGTCCCTGTTGAATAACCTAAAGGCGCGTTATGCAGCAGGTGCCCTTAAATGTTTTCTAAAATTCTTTAAAGAGCCTTGGACGGAGCTGATAATGCACGAGGACTTTGAGGATTTGCAAGTTCAAAATTACAATATGTTGAGACCGACTGTGCTGGCGCACCAGATCGTAAGTTAATGCTACCATAGAAAGGATTTGCGACATACTATAATCAGGAAACTATTCACAGAAAACGGTCAAAGATATAACCGATCACGAATTCTTTAAAATGAATAAAGGCAATTTGGAGGAAGGTCTACTCAATTTTCTGCGGAAGCGACGTACAGATTTTCATCATCCATTCGCTTTGCCAGAGGATTACTTAGATATGTTCCAAACGGAATAAAACCACACGCATGTGTATTTAGCCTTGCATTTTGTAAACTTTTCTATATACTTGTAAATGAAATAAAAATGAAATCATAGTAGCCATCGCCCGAATACTAATTACGAGTGTATGTGCTGAAAATTCGTGTATGCTGTATTTTTAAAACGATTTGAGAATAATGGCTCGTCAATATGAAATACGTACAGTCAATTGTTTGGACGAGAAATTGGTCGAGAAACTATTTAATAACCCACATGCCAAATATTTTGGCGCTAAAAAAGTCGGGCCTATATCACAAATATTTATAGACTACCAAACTCATAGAATGGTGACCTACGACCCCGCCCAGCCAACTGAGCTATTGGCCTATAGCGAGTTCTGCACATATCCAGATATAAGCGTTCTTCGTAGCGATAATTGGATACGCTGGTTGAACGTTCGTTTTTGGTAAGCAATATACTTGTATTATAATTCGCGGGATACTCTAATGTTTTAATGTTCTATTCAGTGTGGATTTGCCAATCACATTGATGAATACGATGTTTTTCAACTACAACATATATAATCTGGATCATCCGGAAACCTTAAAGTTTGTGATGTCGGAACTTTTCTATCGTGAGCATAGGATTACTTATATGATCACAGTCAAGCCCCCCAATTACAACTCGATTGATAAACTGAAACTAGATTATAGTTTAATTGAGAACTACGGAAAATCATATTACTCTACCCAATATAGCTTACCAACCTGTAACAAATATTCATCAGTTATTATAGTCCAGCGAGCAGATGTTTTCCCCGCAATTACCTTCAGAAAAGCCCTGTGAGTTGAGTAAGGAATGTTATATTAAGATAACCTTGAGAAATATTTGTCCATTGGTTTTAGGCCAGAAGACAACGATGACGTGCTCGAAATGATTGACTATGAAGAGCCAGACTTGCGCATAGAGCACGGAGATTTCTATATAGCCGAGGTTCTCATGGGCACAGACGAAAGCATAGAGCAGGATAAAATAATAGTTGGAGAAGTACTTAAATGTTTCTTATTTGTATCCTTCTTTTGTTCTTCATGTCCATTGTGATTTTGTTTTAAAAAAAATATTCTTTCATTCAGCAAGTTATAGAAGGAAGCTCAGATACGACGAATATTGGTCTCATGTGGCTAACGGAGGAAATCGATATTCCAAAGTTGATTCAAAACTACGATCTGGAGCGTATGGGGAATCTATTAACGTTTACGCCCGCAGCTGAACACGAAGTGGTTCAAATGACTGTCAAGTAAGGTTATGGGAAAGCTCAGTAGAATTTATATTTATACTAGCATTTCAACTAAGTTCAACAGAACAGAAGGCGTACTACAAGCTCTTTACAGAGATAGCGCTGGACAACCTGACAGCAAGGACGATCCTTGGAGGATTAATGAACGATACCAGCATTGCGAGGTGCATATAATTACTTCATCGTACTGTCAACTGTCATTGAATAATGTTCTTGTTTTTGCTCTTCAGTGTCACCAGTTCCTGTAAGATGCGGATAATATCGGAGGAAGGCAAGATAAAGGGAGAAAAGAAAACCTATTATGAGCGGGAGTTTGTCTTTCTGAAATTTCGGTATATATATGAAGGTACAATTTTAATTTAAGTTTTCATGATGAAGTACTCATATCATTTCATTTCATAACATCCGTAGCTTTGCGAAAGCGCGATCACTATTTGGAGAATCGTAAAAGGATAATAGATGTTGTTTTCGACACTCCAAAGGATAGAACGAACAATGAAAGCCAAAACCTAAAGAAAGCGAGCAACGCATTTCTGTTGAAAAGGTTTAATTTGCATCCCTCGAAGTCGGTTGATTGCATCTATTATTTTCTTAATGCCATGTTCAGTGCATATCCGGAGCATGACTTTGGGGTCGTATCCATATCCCCATGTACCACGATAAGCAACAGTTTGCGAAAGCTCTTGAAATACTTTACGGTTCGTGGACAGTGCTTCATAATGAATTAACAATTACAACTAATTAAGTTATAGCGCGTCGCTCATCGACCCGCCGACGATATGCCAGATGAGGTATTTGTTACCCATCGGAGTTCACTTTGTGGCGACCTCAGTATACTTCCCATGACGGAGGATGACGAATACCACATTAATAAGCTTATCGATCGCAATATCAGTCGGCAAACTGTCGAAACTTTATTGAGTGTGGCTCCGGAAGCGGCGCCTCATAACGATGAACTTATCATTTTAAAAAACAAAATATTAGATTGTATACTGGCGGACTACTTACAGAATCCCCAGACCGAGTTTCAAATCTTGACCATAAGATGTGGGAAGCCCGTTCAACCAGGAGAAGACACTACGATAGTGGGCTTCATTGTTTTGCGGTAAAATTTTAAAATGCGCTGGAAAACTACATTTAATTAAAAATACACACTCCCATATTCGACAGATCATTTCGAGACTATAACTCGATACGCAACCAATACATATTGGCGCCAGATGAGTACCACCTGGCCCATGCCCGGGGAGAGATTGTAATGCTAAAGCTGCATCCATTTTTTCACATGTGGTCTGACGAAATCCTTCGCTCAGTTGCATTAAAGACGGGCTACTTGGAACTGTACTACCTATTCCCATTAAAGGTAAGAGCTATGCCATTGCCAGCTGCCACTTATACTTGTATTGAAAATCGTTTTCAGTTATTGTCACTACCCAATGACCTAATCATAAATATGATGCCAGTCGAGCCCCGACGATACAAAAGGAATTGGTTCATTGACTCCCAGGACAGTAGATACTACAAACGTCACAGCGCGTATGTCCCATTTCCTAAAGTCAACTGCGTCACTGATCGCTTATCAGTATTCCACTATAATCTGCTGCCAACGAAATTTATGGGTAATACCAATACTTTGGTTATTGTGGGCTTCTCGAACGTGTGCAAAGCATTTTTGCGACTCATGGTTTTTAGTTGGAATACGACAGAGTACGCATCCTTTTTATCTCCTTTACGAACTGAACTCCGAGCTCTATACTTATGTCAAACTTTGTAGCTTAAGGTTTACAAAGACCAATAATTGCGTGCCACGCCTTGACATTACCTGCATCGTTATGGATGGCATTTTGGAAGCGGAGTATGATAATGAGTTCCAGTGCCGATATTGTCAGGACAAGACGAAGTGTTTTATTTACAACTCCAATTATTCTGCCTTCGTCCGGGATGCCACTCTCCGGATGGACCTACGCAATTGGATACATTTTGTGCCCGGCAGGCTGGAGAGTATTGATCGGTGTGTCGCCTAGATCGACATATACGTACATCGCCTATTTAATTATCATATTTTACAGAAAATCGAAAGTGGTTACGCTCGAGAACACCTGTACAATATATTACGATAAGCTGCTCATAATGTGCGATCTGACCTATAGCGTCACGGGGAAAGTAGCTGGCGGTCGCATATTCCCGCACAATTATGCACATATCAATCGCCAACTGGATAAGATCATACTATACCATAAGATACAAGAGCTGCGCGATAACGAGATGGCCAAGAGGATATTACTGATCTATGGGCACGACCTGGCAGTCTTCGAGTGTATTGACTTCCTTTTAAAGCACGGGAATACAGCGAAAGATATTGTCGTTGTTTTTCCGCGTTTTAGTGAACAGTCCGATTACCTCAATATTCCCACCATCGATAAAAACCTCTTTGACATTCTTGTCGACCAAGTGAAGGATCTTGGCATTAAAACTTATGAATCGTCGCAATTTGTTGATTGGACGCTTTATCAAGATGAAGACTTTATTTCCAAGGTTACTTTCAAGAAGTTACCCAGGGGTCCTTTATTCTCGGTTTCATGCGATCTTTTCATAAATTTTACAACTGTATTCCTTGATCATACTCTGGAAAAAGGTACGACTCTACCACTTCGCCATTAAGCTTCCTTAATTATCTAAACATTCGAGTATATCCAAATGTAGCGTTCATTAAGTGTGGCATTGAAGTGAATAATGGTCATATCTTGGTGGATGAGGACTTTCGTACTAACGATGAGCATATATATGCGGCTGGAAAGTTTATACAAATACGAAATGATCCGAATTATCAATATAAGCATACGAGCGCAAGGGAAACTGCTGAAAAGGTATACTCCATACCATAAATGTAATTCAGAAAACTCATCCGGCTCAAACTTTTTGTTCAAAAACTTTCAGCTAATGCACGCACTTCAACTTGATCAGGAGAAGGCGTTTGTGGAGCGCAGATACATGAGACCCTGTTTTTTTGTGGCACTGTTGCCCATGGACTATATGGTGACAAAAATTACGATGCCCAAACGCTATTTGGGAGGACAGCTCTCAAATGAATTCACGGAGGTCATGACCACGTACGAAGATGGTGAATTTTGTCGGGTGCGCTTGAATCGAAAACAAGTGGTTGAGGAAATCGTGTGTGTGACTAAGGTTAAGAAAATGGAGAAAATCTTGTATCTTGTATTTTACGATGATAATACTTTCATTTTCTGGTCCTTGCACTTCATCAGGCCAATCGAACATTGTTTTTTCTGGAGCCATTCTGTGGTAAGCACGAATCGCTTCTTAACAACCTAAAGGCGCGTTGGCAAATGGGTTGGATCAAAAGTTTTTTGAAGTTTTTCGAAGAGCCCTGGACAGAGCTTATCATGCACGAACGTTTTGAAGAGTTACAAACAAAGAATCGCACTGCTCTACAATCGTTGCTTGCGAAAAGTAAAGCTAATGTAATGTGTTGGCCTTAGTTCTAGAGATATTTTTAATTCTATATAAATTTCATTGAAGGTTAACGATAAGGACAAGAACTCGACAAATACTGACTTCGAGGAGGAGCGGAAGCAGGTCTTGGAATTTTATTTAGTCACTTATTTGCGAAAATACCGAAAAGATTTTGTACATGAGTTTGCGTTGCCGGAAGATTTTGAGTTTTCCAAATAACATTTTTAATTTATTTATTTATTTTATTTTTTTTTTAAAGAAAACTAAACATGTTTTAGATAATGGACAAGTTTATTCAAAATTTTCGTAAAAATAAAACAAACATCACTCACTTTTTGTATAAAGTAGTTGCTGTACGTCAGCGGGCTTACCATTAATTTTTCGTTGTTAGTAAATATTGCATTATATCGTTTAACTTCTGATTCGGCGGCAAACATTGCCCGGATTTGTTTGTTAAAGAGGCGTACAGACTGCCCGGCGCGGAGGTGCGCGATGTTGTCGGCCTCTTAGTGGGCCTTGTACGCCACCTGGTAGTATAATGATGTGATGGTTGGTCTGGTCTCATATGCCCTGCAAATACCTTCGTAACTCCTCCTCAGTGTCGAAGATCATAACGGGGAACGGCGAACCGGGTACGAATTCCCCAGCCCACTTGACTTCGACGCGATAGTCCCCAGGTTCTGTTGGATCATACTGGTGGGCATATGGAGGGAAAATATGAGCAACTACGATGTTCTTTAATCCGATTAAATACAATACCTTGCAAAGAATTGTACGATCTTTCTGGCTCTCCCGTTGCATCTCCACCCGAAAGGCACCTTTGGGTCCGCGCACTCGAACCGTCAGCTGTCCAGCTCCTGCGCCGCGTGTATCGCAGATAAAGCGCGACTGAAAAGTTGCCAGCACGCCATGCTCAATGCCAGGGCCGTAAACACGCACCTGTGGAATAAATAACACTCCTATTATGAATTTGGTGCTACTTTTGAGCTTCACTCGCAATTTACTCACCTTGCTGGCATCTGGCGCACCCGCCACTTTGAGCGCAAAGGGAGAGCCTGGCACGTTCTGACCGCCATACTTAATGGTTAGCAAATGCCGACCCGGTTCTTGAGGCTTTATGTTTAGTGTGAAGGTGGCATCGCCATGATCGTAGAGCTCGCAGTAAGCCACTTTTCGTACGCCGGCACAGTGCGCGGTTAGTTCTCCTGGACCGGCACGCCGCGTGTCTATCCACGATTTGATGTCCTTGCCCACAATGCCATGGCGCAGACCCTCGCCCGAGCAAATCACCTTTGATGCGTCCATAGATGAGCCCACGGCCACAGTTAAGGGACAGCCCTTCACCAGGCGACCGTTCCACTTCACCGAAAGTGTCAGAGTTCCTGTCGTGGACTTTTGTGGCGTGTAAGAGGCTAGCCAAATATTTTCGCTAGGCCGAGGCTGTGCAAGGCTCACGGGCAATGCTGTGCTATCCTGGTGTATAAGAATGACTTCCGGACGGCCGGCAGGGGCATTCGATGCATCAATTGTGAAGTGTGCTGCTTCGCCGGCCTGAGCAGCGGCCAGCCCACGACCCATGAGCACAACCTTGTCGGCAGCTAGTTGTCCTGTGACAAAGGCGCTACGCGGGCATTGTGTTATGGTGAGGCCACTCCAGCTTAGGTCCAGATCGTGCTCGCCGGCTGCCAAGTTCTCGCCGCTAATGTTAAGGCACATTTTGTTGTCTGGCAGCGTCTCCACGGGGATCTCGATTCCGTCAATGCTGCAAACAAGTTTTCCCGGCCCAGCGTTCTCCACATCAAACATAATTCGCGCCGGCAAAATGAGGCGACCATCGTGATCCACCAGAGTGCCCCAGCCGCCCACAGGCACCACCTTTGTCGACTCCACACACGAAACATGCCATGGCGAACCAGGCAAGCTGCCTCGATTAGGACAGCTAGCGCGTATCTCGTATCTGCCCACCGACAAGATGACATATGAAATGCGCCATTCGTTGTTGCCCAAAGCCTGTCAAGAGTGCCAACAAAGCATTGTAAGGGGCATACAATTGAAATTAGAGCAAACATACCTTAATTTTAGGTTCGATGCGCTCGCCGAACTCATCAAGTCGTTCAATTTGCACATTTGGTGCAACTGGACAGTAAACCACAAAGGAGGCCTCCTTGTTGCGATGGCAGACTTCCAGCCCACAGCCAGATGCTCGTGCGTCATTACGCATACCACTTGAGGAGGCTGTGAAGGTGAGCGGGGAGCTCGAAATTGTTTCGCCGCCGTACATTAGCGTCAACTTGTAATTGCCCGGCTGTGAGGGCACAAACTCAACGTTGTATATGCCCTCCGACTGTTCGCTAATTAGCACAGGCACATTTTGGTTTGTCGGTGAAATGGCGAAGGCATCTAGCTCTGCTATGCCGGCGTTATCTGTGCGTACAGTAAAGCAGTTCGTACTGTGCAAGGCCAGTGGTGCTTTACTTACACCATGAACACTAACCTTGCTGCTGTCGAAGGCTTCACAGATGAACGGACTGCCAGGTAGTGGCTTCGACTGATGGAGTACCTCTGAAACGAATGCAGACATCATTTTTGGATTAGTCTGAGTCAGATATGTTTCCAAGTCAACTTGACTTACCTATTATACATTGACCCGGCTTGTTTATGGTAAACTCAGCTTGTAAGGTACCATTCTTAGTTTGATAACAGCGCACTGGCAGTGCCTGGCCACCTGGACCCGAGACCACAACGTCAAACTCTCGAGCCGGTCGCTTCACAGTGTCTATAGCGAACGAAGTGGTTTTCCCCACTCGGGCCTGGTACAGCCCTAATCCGCTGACGCTTATCTCCTTGCCGGCACTGGCTGGGTGAACATTAATCTCGAGCGGCTTAAGCGATATGGGTACATCGTTGAACAGGATGGTGATCTTGTGCGGCGCGACACGGGTTGGTTGGTAAATGATCTCGTAGATGCCGGTTTTGCTAGGACCGCGAATGGTGTGTGGCACTTCGGTGGCTCCACAGCGTACCAAAGCCGCCAAATCTCCTTGTCCAGCTTCGTTAAGTGATACTGCAATGGTGGCAGGTCGATGGCATAAAGCCTCACCGACTTCGGTGATCTTAACGAGCGTGGGGTCGAAAACGGCGAGGGTACGGGAGCCAATATGTTGACGCGTTTCGCGATCAATGAAACGTACTGTGTAGTTACCGGTCATATGCATGCGGAACTCTGCAGTCTGCCGGTTGATGGTGTAAGGCACGGACTTTTGATCTGGTCCCATGATCTCCACAATCTGATCATCCGAGGGAAAGTCGATTGCCGCCAAGCTACCGATCTGGATGTGTTGGGTGTTCTGCTGTATATCTACGCGGAACGGACTGCCGTCGACGGACACCTCGTTGAAGGTTATATTGACATAATGCGGCTCTGTGGTCTGGGGCACAAAAGTGACATCGTAGAGGCCACGGGCACAGGCTACCACTTCTGCCTTCACTGTGCTTGTGTCTGTCGAGACTACCAGTTCTAGCGTGCCTTCCCCGGCGCCAGCCGCATCCACACTAAATGTCACAGGCATTCCCAAAATGGCCGGACCGTACTGCTGGTCCAAGCCACTGATACTAACGCGTGACACATCGAAGACGTTACAAGAAAAAGGCGATCCATTAATGTGCTGATCATTGGCAGTAATGCTGATCAGATGACGTCCCACCGTTGTGGGTCTGAAGGAGGCGCTATAGCTGCCAGCATCATGCTGACTCAGTTGACAGTGTTCGTTGTCGCCGGAAGGCGATGTTACAAATATTTGCGGTTCCACACCCTCAAAGCCCTCCAACTCGAATGTGTTGTCCACCTTAACTGCGGCCTGCTTCAGTGCCTCTCCTAGGGCCATAGCTCGTGGCAGATTAACGGATGCGGCTGCAATGTGGCAACTGAAAGGGGATCCTGGTACCGGATGGCCATTGAAGCGCACCGATAGCGAGTGCGAGGCTGCTTCTGTGGGCTTGAAGTTGACTTTGAAGCGAGCATTGCCCTCGGACTGGACAAAGTTGGGCACATTCTTGCCATTGACGGCGACGATAATCTCTAGATTACCGGCGCCAGCCTGGGATGCATTGATGCCAAAGCTAACGCTTTTGTTCACCACACCCGGTCGGATGTCCGTGACTATGACCTTCTCCGCTGAGTAAGCCTTCAATAGGAAAGGACTACCTTCAACGTGGCCGCCGCTCGGCAGTCGCACCTCGACGGAATGATCGCCCACTTCGACAGGCTCGAATTTTACATTGTAGCTCATCCCGGTGGGCAACGGATCGATTTTGACGGGCACACTTCGTCTGGCTGGGCCGAGCACCTATAAGGATGAAGGGATGACCATTATGAGCAGACTTAAATAATTTAGAAGTCCAGATTCTTTGGTTTGTAGCAATTTTCCATGAGTGGATGGAGGATTCCCAAAAGTGTATGGAAAATATACGGACTATTCGAATCTGGATTCTCGGATAAGAATTGCAACGTCTAGTGTAACCAATGTGGACCTACCTCGACCGTGGGCTTTGTGTCCGACTCAACAACAAACTCAAACAGTCTGCCTACGCTGACCTTGTCCATTGTTTCCGGTGACTGAATGCGGGCTGCTGCCGCCACACGACACGTGAAGGGGGAACCGGGCACATCCTGGCTGTTGAATCGCAGCTCGACCGTGTGACTCTCTGCCTCCCGTGGCGTGAAGCTGATGGCGTAGGTATGTTGTCCCTGTGCTTGTGCCGAGGTGGGCACGCGGCCACCATTGACGGTTACCTCAAGATTGCCGGGACCTGCCTGAGAAGTCTCGACCAGGAAGGTGACCGGCTTGCCCACAGTGCCGCTGCTCACATTTTTTACTTTAATGGCACCAACATCGTAGACCTGCGATGCATAGTTTTTGTTCGAGTATATACTTGTATGTATTACAAAAGCCCATTATTCGGGTGCGCTTAAGCTTTCACTTACCTTGGCCGCATATGGACTGCCGGCCGTGGCCAAACCATTGACCGTGACATTGACGCGATGTTCGCCAACGACGCGCGGCACGAACTCGGCTTTGAAAACGCCTTCCGCTGACTGGTGGACTTGGGCTGGCACTGACTGGCCGGCGGGTCCTGATTAACCCATTTTCATTGTAGTTATTTCGGTTTAGTTATTTTAATAGCGATTTATTATTTTCGTTTTAATTGTTGTTTTTTTAAGTTTCGAACGCGACCGGAAACGATTGCGGAATATTTGTTGGTTGGTTGTTTTGTCGAAATACAAGAATTGAGCATTGTGTTGGGTCATGTTTGTGTGTATGGTTAGTGGTTTCGATTTCGATATTTCGCATAAGTGGTAAAAAATTTTGAAAAATTGTTCACTCGATTAGTAATGACATAAATAAATTATAAGGGAAAGTAAAAGTATGGAAGTAGTCAAAAAAATTTAGCACTATTTTAGTTGAAAATAAAATTTAGTTTTGGGGTGCTGTTAGTTTTGTCATCAAAGTGCGGGATAGGGTTAGCATACTTATAGATTACATATATACATATGCATACATGTACGATAGGAAATCAAAGAGGATTATCCAAACGATTTATAGACAATATCCTGCTCATATACGGAACTTAATGCATCCCTGCGACCCCATCCATGAGTCCTTAATCGGTGCCCATCCTTTAAAACCCATTTGATTTCTTTGCAGAAGTTCTAAGCTATTGCTTTTGTATTTTATTTGTAAGGCTTTCGTCAATTAATTAAACAAACAGCGGTCTTCAGTTCTTAAACTATGCCAACTGCAAAGGTATTAGTAAATATTTGGTTAATAATATTTTGAGTATAAGTACTTTGTAATTCACTTTGTAGTTACACTGAAAAGGTAATTGTTATCTTGTCATTTCTGTTTAATGGACTGTTAGAGAAATACGTGTACACGTACATAAGAGTACATACATACAAGTATGTACACAATATGTTTTTGTTTTTGATTTTTGTTTTCAAGAGCTAGTTAAGAAATGTAAGTACAGAGCGGGAATCTCATATACTTATGTACAAGTATATAAAAATAGGTGTAAGTATATGCAATATTTATATGTCTAGTACAAAAGATTTCGCCGTCCTGAAATATAATACAGATATAAAAGTGAGTTTAACACATTATTACAACAACAGAAAACAACAAAAGTACAAACAATTTACATATAAAAATACGCACATAAAACTACATACATAGACACACAATCGCTCACACATAATAAAAATGCCATGATGTAGAATATTTATAAATATACGGGTATGTTCATTTTGCTATTCCCGCAAGCTTTAGCAGACATTTTTATATATCTTTGCTTGTGATTTCTGTGTAATAGGTGAGGAAGCACTATGAACTTCATTCATTTAAATCCATATTAATATTCACTGACTTGTTAAATGGCAAAAGCTATTCCCGAATATCTATATAGTACTAGGTGGGTGGTTCCAAATAATTTCTTCGTTGTACTTGTATAACCTTTCACAGGTGCTTTGTCCATTAGTAGAACTTATTAGCTATACGACACGAATCTACTTATCTTTAAGCTAACCAAATGAAAGTGTTCGGCAGAGTCGTCTTTAGTCCTTTAAACTACGAAATTTAATATTTGAAGCATGAATGAATTCTATTTAGAAACGAATTTAAAAACATTTTTGGAGCTTTTTTTATAAATCATACAGACGCCATAAATGTGTTTGAACAGAAACGGGCTTTAAGTGAATAATTCTGACGATTTCTTAAGGTATGCTCATTGTATAGGCTAGCTTAGGTTAAAGACTATAACTGACCATGAACTAAAACATCTAATAATTGTTACCCTATTGGGTAGCCTATTGGGATCACCCCAGACTGGGTGATCTGACCCTTGATTTGTTTGTTTTATGCTGATGGTGAGTTGAAGTTATCTTACATTATTTTACAATATCCCACAGAATCACCTGACTCCATCTTTTAATTGATATTTGCGGTTGGTTTCATTTTATATTCCAAACAGAGCCTTCACAGTGAAATATACAATCCGAAAAAGGAAGAAAGGCAGTGACCTCAAATATGCAGCTCGACAAACATACTATATACGACATAGTCTGTCCTAGTTAATAAATTAACAGTTCACTTTAAAATTAGGGAGTCAGACATGCCTGTGAAAGTTGCCACGACAGTCCTGATCCAAACAAATTGTAGTCCAGTTGTAGATACTGACTTAAATAAGTATGTGGATATGTATATACAATTAAATGACACCATGTAGCATGTCCTTTAAGAGAAATGCGTGTGAATGTGCGTGCATGTGTGTATGTTTGTCTGAAAGTCGTGTGGCATGTCACGTGTGAAGGAAGTGCAATGTGTGTGTGTGTGTGTGTACAAACAAATATAGACAAGGTCCAATCAAGTGACGAATGCAATTGAGAGAGGAACAGATAGACAAATAAATAAATAAACAAACACTTATGGGCCATTAATGAACGAGCATGTATTCTGCACTCAATAAATGCAAATCGAATTAAACACATACAGGCAATGAGAGGGGAGGAACGCTCAAGATGGCGAGCTGGTGTGATTAGTCGGGACGCTCTTGTGGCCGGGCCACTTACATACCTTCAACATTGACCTCAATATCTTCCAAGCGGCCGCCTGTGTGATTGATAACAAAAGAGTTGGTCTGATGTACTGGGCCAGGGCCGCCGAGCGACACCTGAGGCCCCGCCACGCCACCACTGATGCTGACCGTAATCGGGCAACCGGGTACGGGCATTTTGTTGAAGGATACGTTGATGGTGTGCTCGCACGACTCCGTCGGCACAAAAGAAACGGAAAACCTGCAACAAACAGAACAGTTAGTTTTAAGTTACACAAGTACTAGATTCGTATACTTGTACTGGTAGAAGAAGTACAAGAGCTAATAAGTTTACGATTACTTAGCAGTTTTCAAGTGAAATCTTAGAACTGGCTTTCAACTATTTCTTCAGATGCAATACATATAAATTATAGAAAACAGCTTCAAGGCAGATAAAGAGGATTGTTTTAAGCAACAGATTATTTTAGTTGTTTAACTTTTACATTGAATTAGTCGCCTATAGTGACTGATAGATCTTATCCGACCGATTAATTTATAAGTGCTCCTAAACCTGTTTTCCTTCCTTCCTTTTGATTTGGTGATTTAGTTTGTGTAAATCTCCATCTAAATTACATAACTGACCTATTTATCTACTTAAATGTAAAATTTCGACTCACCTTGCACTGCCCTGCGGATGCACCTGCGTTGGTATATTCTGACCCTTGGCCGAAATCGTTATCTCAAGATTGCCTTCACCGGCGTCGCCCGCATCCACTGTAAACTGGACGGGACGACCCATTGTGCCGCGCGAAACGCTGCCAACAACCACCTTCGTAGCATCGTAGGACTTGGCCAAAAACGGCGTGCCTTGTACCGGGAAGCCGTTATACTCCACGTTGATGGAATGGCCACCCACATTGGTGGGCGTGAACTCAGCCGTAAAGCCCGCGTGTATGTCTCCAGTGACGCGTACGGGCAGCTCTCCATGTGGGCCACGTACGCTTACGGCCAGTTCGGCGGCGCCACCGCCACTAACACTTATGTGGAAGGACGAGGGGCGATTCACCGGTATCAGCTCCAGATTTGTCAGATTCAGCATAACGCGCGATGTGTCGGCCACAGCACAGACGAAGGGGCAGCCGCGCACCGTCTCGCCATTAAACTTGATATCTATCAGATGCGACTTGGCCTGTTCGGGTGTGAAGGAAACCAAACAGCGTCCGCCGCCTACCACTTGCACGTGATTGGGCACCTCTCCCTCGTTTATCGATATCTCCAGCTGCCCCTCGCCAGCCGCACTAGCATCCACTCGAAATTGGCACGGTTGACCGACAACTCCGCCATTCACCTCGGTCACCTGTATCAGGCTGGCGTCGTAGACCTTTGCTATCAAAGGGCCGCCAGCAATCTTCGTGCCATTTATGGACGCATCAATGATGTGCGTGCCCACTTCCGTGGGAACGAACTCAATGCGTGCAGCACCATTTGCCGCCTCATGGGTGACTCTGGCATTCAGCTTCGACTTGTTTGGGGTCAAAACTGTTGCCACGCACTCGCCTTTGCTCAGGCTTTGTCCAGGAGGCGGCAGTATCTCAAAAACCGCCGGCGTATTGGCGGGTACAAGGCGTGTCGATTCGCCGAGCGCGGTTAGGCCGGGTGACGACATGATTTCAGCGTGCCACGGTGAACCTGCAAATGGTATGGAAAAGGACATGTAATTAGCAAACGATACTCATTTAATGCAGAAATGAAGAAAGGACAACTTTTCGAGGCAGTTCTAATTAACAACCCATCAAACCTACTTACTAATTTATTAAGTTTAATTACTAAATGACTTTTTTAAATCTTTTCCAAAAGTAAGTTTCACTTTCTCCTTGACCTTTGTAGAGGCACTTACATATTTTCTTTAAGATTTCTGTATTTAGTACCAACAATAAAGAATTTCAATATATAGTACGAGTATTATCTTTGGTGTGCCATAAGAAAACAAGTTGTCTCAGCCGTTGCTCCAATCACTATCAAAATTGAGCTACATGTCAAATTTGTAAACAATTCCGGATGTCTATTCAATAGTATACCGGAAACATTTCAGCAATAAAGCCTAACATTGGTATGCATGTTGGAAGTAAAATTATTCAAATCAGCTTAAAAGAAGTTCACAATTAAGGATCTACAAGTAGTCGGAAATTGCTTAATACAATATGCGATTGTAGTACAGAGAAATCTACGAAATGATTTAAGCAATGATGCAAAAATGAATAAATACATTCTTATAAGGGGTTTTCTTATTAATCATATTTTAAACAAAGCTTGTTCCATATCCGGAGTCTGCATTGTGTCGAAATTGGTCCAGAGACATAGTAAGTAAGGGCTTTCAAAAAGATCTACATAAAATGTGCTTCACAAAAATATAGGATTTAAATGGAGTTATTTCATTGCCTTGGAAAACCAATCCACAAACTTCAGACTGCGATCCGAGGTGTAACTACAAAATCTCCATTAAATTTTTAAATATTTTGGAGAATATTACGAAAAATAAATGCAATTTCGAAGTAACATCAAACTTTGATTTTTTGATGGCTTTTTGAATTCTTGGTATAATTGCTTCGCAGGTTGTGAAATCAAAACCTAATACTCTAGCATTACTTTTAGGTATAGACTATAGCATCAGTAACTTGGTATAACTCGAAGCTTGCGATTTGACTAGTCATGGTTGTTGTTGTTGTTGTTGTTATTTTTTAGCTTGCAACATACTTGTAGGAGTACTTGCACATTGGGCAATTGCCACGGCAATCTGCGACGGTTGGTTGCCTTTGTAGCATGAGCATCGTGAGCATCGTTAGCATAGTTAAGTGGAGCAGACCTCAAAGCATATCTGTTGGATACGAATACTTCGGGATAAATGTCTGTGTGCAGCGTTCATTTTGTTGCTATTGTCATTACCGCCGTTGTTCTTGTGTGACAAGTGCTTTGACAATTATGTTAATCATGTTGTAGTAATTTTTGTTCGTTGTTTACACACACTAAATACCCAAATACACTACAATATGAGTGTGTGTAGAAATCGAGCTTAAAGCTTTTAAAATTGGTTTGCGATGGTGCCACCATTCAGTTGAACATCAGTCGTAAATCGGATTTATGTTGTTCATCTGCACTTATGGTTGTTCATATGTACTATACAAGTATGTATGTATTTTTCCCATTTTTTCTCTTTCGTTCGACCACTTTGACGAGTATTTATCGTTTTGCAATGCCTGTCTGCATTGCAACTTTTTAAGTCGATAATAAAATGTATTTTTTATTTCAAACTTTCCCGCGTGCATTTCTCTTTTTGCAATGCTTGCACTTTTCCTTTTTAACATTTAGCGTCATAGTGTTGAAGTTGTTCATTGCTCTAAATGGCTTTCCATGAAAATTGCCGCAACGGTCAGTCGGTTCAATGGAAATAGCCATTGTTGCATTGTCTGCTATTCTTTTTTCTTGCTCAATGCAATACTTGATGTCTCGTGCAAATGTGTGTCTGTACTTTAGATTTAGATAGATAGATTTATTGATCGGTGACATACTTGTACATATGTATCTGCCAAAAAACTTGTCATATTTTTAAAGCTTAACTGATTTAATTATTTAAACCTCTCTGTTTTAGTAAGAGGATTTAGGTTTTGGCAAATAATCTGGATTCAAATACAAAAATAAAATAGTACGCTTAAGTGATGTGTATGCTTTCCCGGACGGACAGAGGAGCATCTTTAGCATTGAGTTTTGTTAGCAATTAAGATGCTGCACTAGTACGAGTTTTCGCTATTACTTTACTTCAATCAACATTTGCTGACAGATGTTTTGCCCAACTCAAATGGCAGTTAACGTTAATTGTTGGAAGAGAAAACATAACTCAGCAATGCTTACCAAATGAGTTTAAACAATAAGAGAACGCCGGCAAAATATAATTATAAAATACAAAAAAAAACCAGTCAAACATGTATTTGTGTTCGTAACTCTTTGGGGCATGTAAATGAGAATCGGAAACAACGGAAATAAAATGCCGTTAGACAGCCGCACTGCCAGTTAATTTTGCGGTACCGTCTCTTTTCAATGAATTTCTCGGCACAGAATTTTATAACAAGAAATTATACATTCCTCTTGCAGAGGTTCCCCAAGAAAACGAATTGGAAAAGGCTTTGCCACTTGTCGTGTAAATTGATTTTGAAAAGTTGATGAAATATTTGTGTATTAAAAAAGATAAATGTGATGGAAAGGAAAAACAGTTTAACACTTCCTGCAAAGAGACGATTAGGTCGAAAAGAATATTTATGATAATTCACTGCAATCTTCTCTGATGAATCCACAAATACTTGGGAATCTGCGAACGCGGAAACAACAAATCTAATTTGATTAAAATTTGCATTGATTTCTACTTCCTATGCTTTTGAAAGCTGTCTCTTTCACTTTCCTGAAATATTTCATGAAACCCAGATTTACTCAACGACCTGTTTATAATAATTTAAGCTCGTTAAGCCGTTTCGGCTAAGCGGTAATGGCCGAGAATCAGTTAGTTAACCCATACACACACAGATGACCAAATGAATGCAAACGATGTGCTTGCTCTCACCGGTTTGTCGGCTCGACTGATAATCACAGATGGTTGCTATTTTTACTGTTAACTGTTACTTGCGTCATTGGCAACTGGAATGTGTGAGGCACAAGGAACTAGTTCTTGTAATGGCTTCTACAACCAATACACGATTTGTGAGTATACTATAAACCAAATGGTTACAATGCTATGGATGTAGCCGTTAGATTGGGATGTCAACAACCGCGCAGTTTCCATACATAATTAATAGATGCCTGCATTCAGATCTTTATAGACAAATACAAAAAAACAAGAGGGAACTTTACAGTCGATCAGGTCCGACAGTGAGATACCCTGTACCCAATCAAACTTCCGGGCTGAGTTGCATGCATCCATGAAGAGGAGCAAACCCCTCCTGCAGTTTGTAGGCGAACTGAAACTAATAGCTTTTCTTAAAATTGTCCGATTTGAATGAAGTTTGAAACAAAAGTAGATAATTGTATATACAAGTAAATAAGGTGTGCAAAGATTGGTTTTGAATGCTCTCGAAATGTGAAGAGGGGAATCAAAACCTACAGAGTTCAAAATTAATTAATGAATAAATAAAAGCATTACGTTTTTGTTAGACAGGCGAGACTGGCGCTGGAGGCTTTTGTTATTGCTGGCTTATGGTGTTGGCAGCGTGGCGTTTAAGTTGAAGGTTGAGTTGTGGGCGGGGCAGTGCAAAGCAAACGGCAAACGGCAAACGAAGAACTGAAAACGCGCAGACCAACTCTCTTTTGATTCGAATCACATGAAAACACAGAGCTACGGCACGCCTGAACTCGTACACTTGAAATAGTTGGGGTGATTATTATTTTGATTGTGATTTATTTTTATTGCTTTCTTTGCTTTTATTCGATGTTAAATGCTGCTGCTAATTATTTCAACAAAACAACCAAAACACTTGAGACATTTAAAATATTTTTGCAGAAACTGCAATCAAAGCACTCGGCGCGCACGTTTCTTTCGCGTTTGTCATTTATTTTGTGTTTATTTTCTTTTTTCTTTTTTTTGTTAATTACTGTTGATAGTACACCAACACAAGAATTTTGACGTGTCGCCGCGCAGTTCAATTTTACACGGCATACGCGTGATTGTTTATTTTTCTTTTTTCTTCTGCCCGTGCGGCGCGCTCCAAAAGAAAAACCAGTTTTTTGTTGGCCTATCAGTGTGCAACTGTCTCTTACATTTTTGTTAACAAGAAATGAAATGTATGCGAAACGTTACGTGGGGAGTTTCACTGCTGGCTGGAAAGGTATGTGCAGGTGCCCCAACATAAATACATACATACATACATACATATGTGCGTACATAAAATGTTGTGTGGAATGTGTGTGAATTTAAAAATGTATGCCAATATGTTGAGTGTGCCAGCGGAAATGCTTAAAAGCCGCAAGCGCGTCTTAACTTTTAAGCTATTCGCCTTTTAACGGCCTCTGTTTTGGTCGGTTGGTCGGCTAATGTTACAGGTGTGGTCATTGTTGACAAATGAAAACGAAAAGGCTGTTAAATGGTTTTCGTTAGCTTGTTGGCATGCCATTGCCACGTATACAGCACTCAATTGAGGCTCAATAAGTCAATGGTTGCCGCAACAAGGCAGCCACAAGAGGAATTCAAAATTGCACATTTCCTTCCAGCCTTAGATTCATATCTCGAATTGCCATTAACCTCAGCTACCTGAGACTATTTATTGCCTGCTCTGCCATACTCGTATACCTGTGCAACATTGCGACTACCAAGAAACCTATCTCAACGGGTTTTGGCAGGAGGAAGTACTACAAGTATAAGCAACTGTGGCAACGAGGCATGTGAGAAGCTTACAGCCCTCCGATACAATGGTATGCCTTTGTTCAGACCTTGCTCTGCAACTTGTGGCTTGAGTGCTTGAGTGCGGTGACAAAACAAAGGCATGCAACAAGTGCGCCTTGATCCACATTCAATCGAGCTCAGCCTTATGTCTTGTGAGATTGCGAGGCGAAAAGCAAACCGCAGATATCTGTTCTCCCCCTGGGTGTGAGAGCCACCTCTCACTGCAGCCACTGCAGCCACTGCGCGGCATTGTGGGATTGACGTTTAAAAACTTATGTAAGTCTCTCCTTTAACGTGCAGCAGCTTTCATTTGACTTGCTCAATAAACGCGAACTTGCCGCTTCAATTGTTGCAATTCCAAGTCGCAAGTTGCAAGAAGAAAACAAAATGGCTACCTCCTCTCGCACATCAAATAAAATTGCACGCCACACAGACAGAGCCTAGAGACATTTATCCATGTCTAGCGAAATCACAAATACATACAAATTCACACACATACACACAAACCCACTTCCACTCACATAGACATTCAGATATTTACGTTGATTTAGTTAAGTAAACTTTTTTTCACCAAACACTCCCCGGTCCCAGTCTCAACTATCTGTCCCATTGAAAATTTGTAAGCTTAAAGGTTCATTAAACTGGTTTCTCAAAGAGCGCTCCCCACACATACATACATATATATATATGTACATAAATATACATATATACATATATATAGACGCAAGCGCTGGCGACTACAAAACGTCCGCATTAGATATTAGCATATTTCTTTAGTTTAGAAATCTCTGAACATTTTTGTTTTTCGTTGGAAACGGTTTTCGGTTGACATTTCTACAAGTAGTTTGCAGGCGACTGTCGTTTTTCATAAGCTCGTTAATTCTTTTGAGTGACTTTTTGCTTTATAAACAATTATTTTCATTTTGTCAAACAATAACACAAACTTTATGCGTTTTTTGCAATATACATACAAACTCGTATGTGTGTATATATTTTTGTATTAGCATGAATTTGTCCGACCGTTCAAATATTTGCGCGCCGACGTGTCAGTTTCGTTTTAAACGCGAGCTGTGACTGCGGATCCGACTCTTACCTCGAACGCTGCAAGCCCAAAACCCGTCGTACAGGTAGTTTGATCGGAAAGAGAACACGATAGAGCGAGGGATCGCAGCATGCGAGCACAGGCGAGTGAGTACTGGCCGGTTCGCTCTTAGACGCTAAGAGCGCCGAGCTCTGAGAGTCGAGAGCGAATTCAATTCGCCGCACTGTGGTCAGAGCATACTTGAAATTTCTTCTTCCGACTCAAAGAATGTCGCTGCGTGGGCTTGAGCTTGCCTTATTGGGGTAGGACGAGAGGCCCACCCACCCGCTCAGCTGAAAATGTTTTTTCAGTCAAAATAGCCGAGAATGGTCTCATTCAAGAATATACATACATACATACATACATACATATGATATAATACCAGTTCGCTGCAATTGTAATTAAAGCTTTGCAACAATTTCGACTGATCAACATTTTACAGCGTTGGCTGCCACTTCTTGTGATGAAGTTTTTCATTTGGCTCTTAGCCTTGAGTTTATCAATCGAAATCAACTTTCGAATCCCATTTCCTAAAGGAACTTATAGGAGTACTTGTATATAAAAACCCTTTGCCTTTATTTGATTATAAATATTTCTGTATTACTATTCGTACACCATTCTACAGGTGTGCAGTTGCCTATTATATTAGGAACTTAAAGTGATTCTCTAAATTACCAAAAAATGGTATATGAAATATCTATCGCTCCTGATTTATAGCAGATTCGGAGGTATTATATTAATTCTTATGATATTGTATTTGGCCCTCCCATTAAAAGCGAAACTCACCTGGCACAGTTTCTCCATTGAATGTGATCTGCACCGTATGCGTGCCATGTTCGTGGGGCGTAAAACTCGCTATAAATCTTTGACCACCTAGGGAGCGTACGGACGATGTGACACGACCACCATTCACCAATATTTCCAGATTGCCAGAACCAGCTTTTGACCCATCGATTTCAAATTCCACAGGTCGTCCGATCGAGCCATTTGGAATATCCTGCACACGTATGGCTCTAGCACCCGTCGCATTATTGTCTATGGGACGAAATCGGGAGAGCGAACTATATCCAAAGCCGGGACTATGTCCATTCCGTTCCGTAACCACATGCTCGCTTGATTCCTTTACAGTTTTCGTATATCCGCCAGACTTGTCCGTGTACGTATTGTTCGAGTGTGACTTAACAGTGATGGCACTGGGTCTGAAAGCATATAGATAGTAATCTGTACTGAACAGTTAGGATATATCGAAGAGCTCATACTTGTAACGATCCACTTCATCCGGCGAGTCTCGTCGATAATCCGCATTCTGTTTCTGCTGCTGCTGCAGTGCAAATTTGTTGTACTGCGTGTTGCGTTGAGTCTCGTTGTCGATATCGGGTCGGCTATAGTTGAGCTCCGTGTTCAATTGCCTTTCGGTCATGTTGGCCAGCGACTCAAGGGAGTTATGCGAAAGCATGTGCTTCGTCTTGTTAATAACGTCCCAGCTGTCGCGACGCGCCGATGTCGGCTTGATGGACGAGACCCGCACATTCGAAGAGTGATCAATGCGTGGCTCCGGGGAACCATTGCGCCGCAGACGCTCGGCGGTGCCATAAAGAGAGGGACTGGCGCGCACATTAGAGTCAGTGACGTAGTTGGAAGTGGACTTGTAGGTCGACGATTTCTCCACAGTGCGTGTTGTTTCGTAGTCGGAGCGCGAGAGTCCGTTCTGCAAAGACTGTGAAGGTGTACTTTGGAATCTAGTTGCAGGTCCTGCTCTTACTTACTTTGGTCAGGGTGTTGGTGACGGGACTGCCCATTCGATGGGTTGCTGTGGTTATATAGGCGTTGTTCGGGGAATAACGTTGCACGGGCGATACCGAGGCGTGTCGCGGACTGCTGTTAATGTTGCGCGTAGAGCTCTCATATTGATTCGATGTCTTGGTGGTCAGGGGACTATGTGTTCGCACCTCACTGGATCGGGTCTGTGGAGGAGTGAGAGGGCATATTAGGAGATAGTGGTACTCGAGATAGACAGGGTATTTAGTGAGATTTCTTCTCCTTTTTCTTTTCGATATCAAGAACAAACGAACAACAAAATTTAGTTACATTCAGTGTGGGACTAGGTATTGGACTGAGCGAACCGGTCAGAGTGGAGGTGTTGCGCGCGGTCACAGTTTGCTGACGTTGTTGCTGTCTCTGCTCATAGCTGTACTCCCGATCCTGACGCGACGGTGTTAGCTTTAGGTCGCGATCGCCGCGCCTTTGGCTGTACAGCTCGTTCTCCTTGTCGTAGTAGTAATCATTTTTCGTGGAGGAGCTGTTCGATGTCTTAGAGTCTCGCCGGCCGGTGACAGTGTACAGATCGGCTGAGTTGATATACTTTATAGTGGGCGAGCTGCTCGAGGCCGGCGGAACCGGCGGTGGTGGGGGCGAGGCAGCGGACAATTTATCCTGTCGAATGCAATTTGATTGGGTGTGGGGGAAAGGGCTTTGGATTAGTATGGGTTAGCCGAACATTCAATTTTGAGTGGGTTGGTGTTGGTGTTGGTGGTGGATGTGTCTTGCTGAGGGAAGCGTTAGCACAAAATCCGCACCTCATGTGGTTAGATCACTAAATGCACCCGATGTGGGCCATATCTAGTCCTTGGTGGCGATTCACTTACCTCGCTCTCTCGCTTGTAGTACCTGGAGCTGCTATGGTAGTCTGTGGCATCCAGTTTTGGCGAATATTGCGGCGAGTAGCTGCTCGTCCGCTCCGCGGTGTTGTGCAGATCTCTTCGTGACAGAGAAGATGTGTTGCGGTAGTCATTGTGCCGCATATTCGTCGTTGAGGTGAAGTGCATCGAAGGACTCTCTGCGCGATGCTTACTATCATGCAGCGGACTGCTGCGCGTTTTTCCAGAACGTCCCTTGGACCCGTTGCCCACACGCATGATAAAAGGCGAACCCTTTACATCATAGCCATTAAAGTAGACATAGACCCGGTACTTGCCATTTTGGCGGGGCATGAAAGTCACACGATACTTGTTGTCCACTATCTTCTCCACGGAGCACACGAGCGAGTGCTTATCGTGCACGATATCCACATGCAACTCGCCCGATACGCCCACGCCACGAGCATCTACCTCAAAGGTATGAGCGCGCAGCGGCATGGCACCATCTAGACCGTGCACCGACACGCCTGATGCATCAAAGACGGCACAAGTGAAGGGACCACCCTGAATGTGCCGACCCTGATACGTAATTGCGATCTCCCAAATGCCCGCCTCGTCTGGCTTGAATATGGCACTGTGTCCCTCGTCGATCTTCTTCAGTGGACAATTGTGGGAGATGCCCGTGGGTGAGACCGCAGTGACAAGTATGTCCTCCGTTTTGGGCGCTCCCGTTGCATTCACCAGAACCTCGACCAGGCTGCCTAATGCACAAGGCGCCATACCGGGGGGTGCTACCTGAAGCAAGCGTGGCAGCACACGGAAAAAGTGTCCACCCAAACTATCGTCACCAATCTCGACCACAATCTCGTGCATTCCATAACGCTCCGGCACAAAAACACCCTCGCCTTGCGCATTCAATCGGACCGGCTGGGGTTGCCCGGATGGAGGCACAACGTAAGCTCGCACGGTGCTGAGGCTGACGTCGCGTGACAGCACATCAATACGGAAATGGGTCTGCGTGTGAAATTGAAATTAACCATTTATGTAACCTCGATGCGGGTGGAAGACACTCACCGGTTCGCCAACACGGCCGGATGTGCTCTCCATATATACGTTGACCAGGTCGGAGAGCGGAGGGCGCGGTGGCACCCACTGTAAATGGGCGGCATAGGCCATGATGCCCAAGTGCTCCACTTCCGGATTGGCCATGTCCTTCGGCGTGAGTATGGGCTGCACACCCAGCTTCGCTCCGGCATCCACGGCCTTGCGTATGTTGTTTTCATAGTGGAAGGGATCGGTGCTGAGTTTTTCCGGTGCTGGCGCCGAGCCACCCAATCCTTTAATTATTTCACAAAATACGCGACCATCGTTCCAGTCGCTCTGCAGCCCAAATAAAGGAGAGCGTTATTTCTCACATCGATTTACAATTTAATTTGCAAGCAATTAACAATTGAGTTAAAGTTTTCCAAAGATTGCAGACTTACCGTGAAATTCTTTACAGACTCCTTCACCTGCGTATTGACCCAGCGAAGTGTAGCGTTATACCCAGGACCACCTGGTTTCATGAAGTACGATAGATACGTCATGCCGGATAGCTCGTCCAACCATGGCGACGCCAGATACTCTGGCTCCAGTACCTTTGGAACACCGAACTCCCGCTGCGCTAGATTCATTGCGTTCGTGCAGTTGCGCACGCTCTGACTAGGATCGAGGCTGCGCCAGTGGGGGAATAGACCCGGCTGGCAATAGTCTAACAAGGCGGCTAGATTCACACCGCTGTTCCAGTCGGTGGTCAGGTTGGTGATCTTGCAGTCGGGCAAGGCAGCCTGCAACCAGGCCAACATCAGTTTTCGCGGCGGGAACTTGCTGCGGCCAATCTGGTAGCGTACAATCAGGGACCAGATCAGACCCAAAATAAGTTTCACATTGCCATTGACAATGTCCACGTTTCCTATATTAACCAGCTTGATGTGGTCAGCCTCTATGGACTTCAAGGCGGTGGTGGCATTCTCCAGATAGTGGTGCTGATTAGCGGGACGACGATTCCAAGAAGGTTTCAAGGGTCTCGTCTGCAGGTTCTCAACCAATGCACATAGGCAGGTGCCATCGCAGAAATCGGTGGCCCAGTCATGCACCTGCAATACCAACAATTATAGCCAGTTAGAGAGCTTTCAGACGAGCTATCTTTAGTGGCTCGCACTGTTATTATTGTTATTCGCTTTCAATGCGCGATAATTAGCTTTGTTCGCGACCTAAGAACAACAATAATATTAAGAAACTATGTCAGCAAAGTTTATTGTTGTTCTTCGTCAACCAACTCTTATAACAAGCCCAAAAATACCGACCACAATTGCGACAACAAGTAGGTGGGAACAGTAGAAGAAGTAAGACTATTTACCAAATAGCTTTACAATTTGTTACTATATAGTGAGACTAACGCAGTCTGATAAGGCTCTTTTATTACACTCAAGGGCATTTTGTGAAGTATACCCCGAAGGATAATTTAGTATCATAACTGGCACCTTTTTTGGTCTCCCATTTCCAGCCAGTATTCCATATTTGTCAAAATTCTACACCGACCTTATCAAATAATTAGTAGTAGTCTAGCTTTATTTAGGTTAATTCAGTAATTAGCAAGCAACTTTGCTTTATTTTTTTCGCATGTTTCTTCAACCAAATAAGCCAAATACTTGATTTGGTACAAGCGGCTTTAAAATACAAATAAATTAGTCTGGAAGTGCAACTTTCATTTCATTTCCACCAGCCATCTTTGAACAAACAGGCAGATATAACTGCGTGGATTGTGAAAGTCTGCATTTCAGGAAAACCCAGAATTTGAAAAATAAACTTATGGACCGTGTTGCAATTCCTAAGTACCAGTTCAAGTTCCAGCAAGGTTTCAATGATTTGAAAGTAAAATGCACGCATTTCACTCGTAAACTCGCATTTCACAAGAAAATAAAAACCAGTCGGAATCATTCTGGTTTTACTTTTAAAGAAGTACTTGAAAGCGAAAACTAGCTCGATATTTAGTCGCTCGTATGCTCGTATGCCCCGGAATTCTCTTTACTTTATTGCAAAACAGAAAATCCTCTATCTTAATGTTGGGTATAATACGCACAGACACTGTTGGCCCACATTACCGCAAATTGAAGGTGAACTGAGCTGCCCTAATGGATGGGGAAGTGGCTAAGTTATTAGCTAGCTGTATTCGTCGTAGTAGTAATCTAGTCGAAGTCCCACTACTTTACAAACTTTGCTAACCGGTGGTGCGCCATTCACACGATCTCGTCTGCATGTCTTTAGCTAAGAGGGGTATGTATGTATGTGTGTTCGCTTGCTGGGCTTTCTCCGGCCGTGCTGGGCCATTCCGAGCCGAGCTCGCCAATCGTGTAAAGTTTTACAATTGGAAATGAAGCTTTTCATCTTGAGCCGTCAGCGACAGCAGCCCAAGCAGCCCAAGCTTGCCAACCATCCAGACAATCGCATGTCTGTTGCTGTTTGTCCCACAGATACTCGTATATAAATATATATACACATATATTACTGTAGTATATAGTAGCTGACATAAATATTAAGCGCATATTTTGTCTGTTGCTGCGACTTCCCACCCATTGTATGGGGCGTTACTGCCTTTTGTTTGTCTTGCTTATTTTTTTTCTAACGAGCATGCCGCACATTCATAGGCGTCTGTTTTGGTCATGTATGAGCTATAACCTTTAAAATATCAAGTCGAATTCCTTGTCTTGATACGTATTGCTGCGAGTGACGTTTATGTGACGCGACACACAATGCTGAATCCATTTGGAGTCGAAAAGATTGGGTGTGCCTATTGCCAATGGAGGGACTGCTAAACTATTTAACTCAGTAACCCAAATGATTCCATTAGTAGGTCTGTAAATAGTTGATGAAAGCAGCAGGGGAAGAGCTCGAAATAAATTTTAAAAAAGGCTAGACCTAGTACTTATTATAAATGGGAAAAATATAATATATATATATACTATATATTCAACACAGCAAGCTATCTACAAGAATGCAGAAAATTTTTAGTAAAATATTCATTTCATTCATTTTATAAATGAAAACTGTAAAACAAAGGTTCCACTAGTTTTTCGAATGACTTAGTCAATGAACCCCTTTTCGAAGCCCCTTTTCCCACATTTGAAGTTCGAATTTCCGAACACTTTCCCTCGAATTTCCAAACCAAGGTAGCTAAATTAATTTGAATGTATCTGAATAGCTATTAAGCCAGAATAGTTTTTACAAAGTGATTTATTAAATACGCTAATTAATTAAATCTTTCGCTTTTATTTTGTTAATTTGCAAGATTTCTATAAGTTTGAAAAACGTATATACTTGTATATTTTTGTTGAGTGTCGGACTCACCACTTACCTAAGTGGCTCAAAAAATGTTGTCATGAGTTCAGCTGCTACTGCTACTATTGTTGTGCGTTTGAACTGCCAGATGACCTTGGCATTCAGCGGCCCAAATACGGCCTGTTGATGCGTGTGGCTCGGATTAGTTGTGGGGATGTGGGAAAAATTTTAAAACGCACAGCAATGAAAACATTGTACGGCTTTCAACAAAAAAATGACAAATTAAACGCCTGAAACTATATATACCATATTCTAGATTATATCGTAACTGGTCAATGCCTAAAATCATCATTGAGCTTGTGTTCAAGATCGATGTGTTCGCCACTGGGTACTAATATGGATATTATAAGCATTTATTTGTAGACATCACAAGATATACTACTACATATCGAATGTTCCCCAAATATTTACATTCGATAAGTACGTACATATATAAATTTATACAAGTTGGTAATGTATTTCGTTAAGTCTGTAACCACCAATTAACCACCATCATATGCTAATTAAAAGCCAGCTAAGAAGATCTTGCCAAAAGCAATTTGCAGCCTCACATAAAATGATATATTTCATATTCATTGAGAAATATTCTTACAGAATTGAATAAGAATGACTCCAATTTTTTTTTATTGCCCATATTGTTAAATATTCTCATTACTAAGTGATGTGGAAAAAGATAGATCGCCGTTGTTGGCCTTATATACATACATATATTGTGTTCATAAATCAGAGTAAAGATATGTTTTATTCAATGTAATCAAATAATAAACAGTCACTAATGCAAGAAATGTGTAAGTAAACATTAAAAATATTTCGTATAAGATGTTAAGATGTTAATGGACAAAGTTTGTAGTACATCGAAAAAACAAGGCTGTGATCTTTTGGTAATTCAATTGTTTACATTGAGGCGACGAAGTTTATATTCATAAATTAATAGTGTCAAATTGACCAAATAGAGATCAACTTGATATTGAACTGATTTTTTTTATAAATACATATTTTTCCGTTGTGCAAAGAGCAACAGCAGGGGCGATCGCTTTAAGTGTGGGATGTGGGCGTTAAGTATACGCCGGTTTGCACATACTGAGTGTCCCATGAATTTTATTGACGCCTGTGGGCGAATTATACATATGTATATATGCGTGATTAATAGCCTTTTAGGGCAGCAGTAGATTGGCGGAAGCTAAGCCGGAAATGAAGTGTACAAGCCAAGGTGCAGAATGTACAGAATGGCAATTGGATACTGACTATGCAGCAGTATTGCAAAAAAATCAGCTCGGACGTGCCGACTTGCTTTATTTGACACATTTCAAGCGTGGCGAAGTTGGCATATATTACACGATATCAATAGATAGAATGGCCTGATCCGAGAGACAAGCTTGCAATGTGTGCGCGCTCTTTATAGAAAAGTATGTGAAAACAATTTATTTCTAGGCCCTGCTTCAAGCGACGGCACATGCGAGTACTATGTACATACCAGCATATCTAATTAATCGTTTTATTCATTCAATCGATTGATTGGCTGATTCAAAACGAGGTATCTATTGCTGCTGTTGCGCTTGAGTGGCTCGCCCACTCATTGTCGTACTCACCTGCATGCCCGTCTCCCGCAAATGCTCGTTGACCCAATTGCGAAATGTGTTCGCCTGTATCTCGACCCAGAGGTCCTCGTTGCCGCGTATGTTCATGCCCTTGGCGGCCGTGCCTTCGGGACTGCGTGCCACCAAACCGGCATGTGTTATCTTTTGGGTTTCGGTGCTGCCATCGGCGTTATGTTTCAAAAGGCCAGCATGCGTCACTTTGGCGCCCTTTATATCTTTGACGTCCATTTTGTTGCCCGCCTCACTTCACTTTTGCACTCGATATATTCGTTGGCTCAAATTAATTCACTTTCTGTGGGCAAATGTTTCATATTTACGGCAGAAAACTTCATCGAAAGAAAATAAAATCGTTTCAATTACTTATTTATTCATTTCATTTAAACAACAATTAGTTTTTTTCGCGCCATTTAAGTTTCTTTATATTTATATTTATTAATGTTCGGCGCGACAACGCAAGTGCACGCGGCGACTGCTCAAAGCAAACTGATTCGAAACGCGCACTGCGCATGCGTCCATGTTGCTGTTGTTGTTTTTTTTTGTTTTTTGACCACAACAAACATGCTAAAAATCGGTGACGTCATGCAGGCAAAGGCAAAGCTGAAAGCTCTCTGGAAAGCGATAAGCAAGGCGAACAGGGGAAGGGAAGCAGCGGCGGCAGGCAGACAGAATGTGGTGGGCATGCGAATCTGAATCTGGCTTTAAAAACTGGTTTTGTCAGTTTCGCTTTAGACGAAAAAAAAGAAAACAAACCAAAACGAAACGATTGTAAATTGTAAAATACCAGCAACAACAACAACAACAACCACAACAGCAACAACAAAAAAGTGAGCCTGAAAAAAATCACTTAGTTTGGAATTTTGAGCCAACGTCGCTGTCGTCGCAATTTTTTCGCCGCAGCGAGCAATGTACAGGTATGTGTGTGTGTGTGTGGGCAGCAGAGCAAAAGTGTGTGGGGATGTGTTTCTATGCATATGTGTGAGTGTTGTGTGTGAGTGGTGTGTGTGAGTGTTGTGTGTGTGTGTGCGTGTAGGAAACTGTAAGTCTTTCAGGCAACAACAAATAACGACAAGCGCGACTTTAGAAGGCCGTCAAGGTGGCGGCGCATTATCCGAACTGTGGGATCGTGGCATTGTAACTCATATAGCATTTGTAACAATGCCGTTAATTATGTGCCTACTATTACTACCCACACACACACACACACACACATACACACGCATAGAGGCAGGTGCCATTTCACTTGTTGTGCAGTTTTCTCATTTCTTTCACAAACAAAAAACTTCAATTGTCTGCGGCAATCAACAGTGCAATAAACATGAAAATGAGTTCTTCAATCAATTTGTAGGTATTATTTTAAAATTATAAAGACCACACGTGTATACATGACCTTAGCTAGATTCAATTAACTAAAATGTATTTTTGTTTTATTATTCCCATTCGTATTGTTCATTTATACAGCATTTGAAATGCGCTTTTAGGTTTTTGATTTAATGGATTGGAAGTTTGTTGCCAGTTCTTTGTGTCGCTCATTTTTGAAGGCTTCGCCACATTTGCATTTTGGCACAAGTCTGTGAGGCGTTAATAATGCAAAGCTACAAGTATGTATAAGTATGGGAAGTCCGGTTGCGGCACACATACATATGTTTACATATGTTATAGAAATTTATGCATCTACTATAAATCATTCAGTTTTCAGTTTTGTTGCAAGCCCCAAAACACACTTGGACCTCATCACCATCATCACCTGCTCTGCTCAACTGGCCAGAACGAGATTCCACTTGTGTGCGCGCATGTATTTCAAAAATGTTTATTTATTGACAAACAATTTTTTACTTGTTTACTTTTTGTTACGAGTATTGCCAAAGATGACATCATGCATCTTCGTTTGAAACACACTGAGGTATTTGCTTTGGTATATGCTCGTAGGTATAGTACTCGTAGCTTGCGATTGAAAAAGCGTTTACGACGCACTCAGTCATCGGTTGACTTAACTACAAAATGACGCCGTACAAATTGCATAAATTTCAGGCGAAATCATCCAACAGATAAATACTATACTCGTACAACATATTGTCGTCTAAACGAATTAAATGGCTTAATGGAAAGGCGTTGTAAAAGCAGCAGCAGCAGCGATCATTTTTCCTTGACTTTAACTCAACTGTGTCAGTCAGTCAGTCAGTCAGTCAGTTAGTCAGTTAGTCAGTCAGTCAGTTAGTCAGTTAGTCATCCAGTCAGTCAGGTCGTCAATTCTGTGAGTTGCCATTGACGGTTGCTGACGCGTTTTAAGGCCACTAACTGGCCGCGATTGGGAGTTGACCGAAATGACTCGTATAATGAGCTGGAAACAGACTGATGCTGATGTCACCATCATGAAGCTCCTGCAATGCTTGCAATTGACATTGGGAACAAGTAATTAGTTGCTATATTTGTGCCTTTATGAGCTGTTTTTTCACAATTCATTTGCTTGGCGTATTCAGTTTAATTGCCTTATGATATTCTTTCTCAAACATGCCTAAAGGCTGAGTGATGCTCTCAAAAATATTAAATTGTATTTTTTCTATATTTACAAATTAATTTGATTATTTTTACCGTTTTTTTACGCTTCAATTTTCAAAAGACGCAGGTCAACAGGCAGTGTTGGAATCTAATGATGAGGCTGATCTAATGGCCTTGAAACTTGATATAAATTCCTAAAAATGTTTAGTAAAACAGTCACAGAATTTCGTGAACTATTTAGCGGACAAATGTAGGACTCTATCGAAGGAAAGATTACACCAACTTGTCATACATACTTGTACGATTTAGGAGCATTTGCGTACCGAGTTTGGCGAGTCTAGTTCCCAAATTCGTCGGGATATATATAAGTAATGATCACTCATCTATATGTGTATGTATTTTAAAATGTTGCCCAAAATATTAGAATTTTAATAAATATAAATAATAATAAATAAATAATTTCAATAGTAAAGTTCCAAGTTCTTCATTACATTTTGATTTTCATATAACCCCTTTTACCCTTTGAGTATAGGGCATAGATTTTACAATTTCTGTTGTGTGTTTAGTTTTAACGCCGAACATCTTCAGTAGGTAGTTGATCGGTTGGTCAGATTTGAGCCGGCACACCCACTTTTAGGGCATACTATTGGCATTACGTAAACCCTGATCTCGGCCGACGCATGACGATGTTGGCCGAAATTTGGATTTATGCGCAGCCGTGCCCAAAATGTCACAGTGTGTTTTAGCCAAAGTCAGTGAAACTGAAATGGCCAACTGGCAAGAGTTTGGCAAAATAAAAATAAAGTGTTCCATGTGGGTGTGTTCAGCATTTTTATTTCATTGTTACACCTTATATCTGTTAAAATAATTTCTGCTGCTGTTGCTGCGCAAACAAATATATCAGCCTACACAGATCGGCACCAGATGTTGGACCGTTTGTGTTGTTGTTGTTGTTGCTGCTGCTGCCGGCATCATCACCCCCACACATGCATATTTCTGATCTTGAGTTTTAAGAATCAAGCAGTTGATCTAACGCCTTGTTCTAAGTGTGGGCGCAGCTTCAATTTTTGATGTTTGCCTATGGGCGTTGGACTTTGGATGTTCTCTGTGTTTGGCAACAGCTCTGGCTACAGTAAAAACTCAAGACCCGTAATGCTCGTACTTTGCGGAAGCGCACAAAACTGCTCATTGCCCTAAACATGACTAAAGTTGAGTTCAGACAGGCAAAATATTTGTCCCAAAACTAGCCTTGAAAACTAAATGCAATAGGTATCGTTGAAGTAAGACACTAGAGCTTTATTGCTTTTGAACGAAATAACTTCATACTTGTATTTATGACATGGCGCAGTATAGGTCGACAATTTTGTGTGCAAATTATGTTCCTGTCTGACCATATATTAATACGTGGACCAAAAATGTGTTACTATTCATATCTCATATATTTTGCCGTAGCGTTTATTGTTTTTGTTTTTCGTTTGGAAATTCTTCTACATCAATAAATTGAATTGACCCGGAAATGGACTGCATTGTTGTTTTATATTTTACTTTTTGGGACATGCCAGAAGAGGCCATTAAATGGCTAGCGAAAATCCAGAAGCACAATCTTTTCGGGCTAACATCCTTTACACTTTTATAACTGCAATGCAAATGTGTAATAGCGCTAATATCAATAGAAATTAATTTTATAGACTACCTATGTAGTATATTTACAAAATAAGTTGATTTGAAAACATGAAAATTACAAGTTTTTTGTCGCATCACTCAAAATCAATATACTGCATGAAGATGAAGCAATTTACATTATTTTGCGTTTTAACTCCTTTGAGTAATTTCAAATGCCCGCCTTAATATAACTGGCACGACTATAACCAGTCCGAAACTAATGATATAATTTAGCTCCAATGTTCACAGTATTTTTCGAAGCATTTTAAAGATTCACTTACATGTAAGTGCAACATAATTAAGTAGTCGTATGTGAGAGAAAAATGTTTTAATTATTGAGAACTGTTTTGGTCTTAATAGCGAAAGCACATTTCTCGCCACACGATTTGAGGTGCTTTTCCCAATTTTAGTTGGTGCTGTCTGGACGGCAATATTTCATGGCATTGACGAATGTCAACTCTAACATTTTGATTTCAATTGACAATAAAATCAGATATGCTGGAACATTATCTGATATCAGATGCAATGCCGAATTTGTTAGTCAGACATTAGCATACCAAATTATTTGCAAAAAATAGCTTAAGAAGAACAACTCTTTTACGGAAGAGGAGAATAGTTTTCCACATAGACTGTGAAATTGAAAACTTTGTTTAAATTCAAAACCCATAGAGAAAAACACATTTGATACAAAAAATACTGCCTGTGCGATTTCATGAGCAATTAATATTTTTTTTCTTGCCAATTAAGAAGCATAATGAACTAAAGAGACGCTTAAAAAGTTAAGTTTAGCAGCAGTGGTTGATATTTTTAGACAGCCATTTCAAAGTCAGCTCATTAGATGGCGAAAAAACATAATTCAAGAGATTTTAGCAAAGCTTCAAATGAGGAACATACACAAAACACACACACACACACAACTATCTGCAGTTAGTTTGTGCCTTCAGTCATTTGATATATGCCGTTAGTGTGAAGAAACGTCATGCGCGCCGACTTCTAATGTTTTTAATTTTTGCTCATTACGAGTACTTTGCGTTATTTTTCGTTTACGCGCCGCTAGAAATTGTTTTTAGATTTTTAGCCAGAAGTGCTGGCCCGCATCTGGTAAGGGAGTCGGATAAAACCAATCGAGCTGGTGGGTATGGGCAGCGTAGAAAAACCAGATTTTCGTTTTGTTTGCCGCTGCGAAACTTTCGGTTTTTACTTAGTATTGTGTTTTCGTATTTCGTTTTCGCTGAGCCGACTCTGGCCATTACGTAATATTTTTAGCCAGCCAGAAACTAGCAAACAGCTAACACAAATACAATGAAAATGTGTTAGCTACGCCTGTGCGTTTGTGTGTGTACACGTATTTGGCATTGCTGGCCGCAACAGGCCAAGCCATTTGATATTTATGCACGATATACATATAGTAGTTATGCAGATTCATGACAACTGTTTGGTATTTTCGTTTTGGCCCACACCTTTTCACACGCGCTCTTGCTGTTTGAGCACACACACAGTCCGGGGATTAGCTCACGTGTTTAGCACAAATTCCACAAAATTTAAATTAACAGCGAATTGTTTGTCTAATTGAGGCAGCGCGATGACGAAGTCAAAATTAGAGTAAAAGCGCGCCGCACGCAAGTCATCAAAAGCCATCACTATCCCCACCAACCACCAACCACCATCCAACATTCACGTTATAAGCGTGGAAAATGGAATAGGGCAGCAAAGTAAACGGCAAAAAAAAAGTATGATTACTAAAAATAATAATAAGAAGAAAAATACGGCAAATGAGAACAGCTTCGTGGGTTTTAAGTGCCAGCAACACGAACGAAGACACTCAACACTGCGGCTGTCTGTGAACAAACATTTTACTACTCATATCAATAATACGTATTATTATGAACGTAACTAGGGACGGGGTGGATGAGCAAAAAAAAAACCATAAAAAAGGGCAGGTTGATTCAATCGTGCGGTACACAAATGCCCCATATTGCATAAGCGTTTAAATAGCGAACAAAAAACTGTGTCTATCTATTTGCACATGAGAACTTTGACTCTAATTGGTCACTTTGTTTGTTTTCGTTTCAATTCTCTGTTTATTCATTTTGCCATTACACTTGTTGCGCTTTTTGTTTAAACTTTACAGCCCGTACACTTTGTTTCCGTTCACCGTGTGATCCGTACCTTAAAAGCGTACGTGATGCGCGTACGAATGTCTAACAACGACTGAAGCTCCCCGCCCATTCGCTGCTTTAAGCCAAGTTTCGAGTGCGTTTGGGCCAACATTCCAGCCAAAAGCTCACTGGAAGAAAGAGAGTGAGAGAGGGCATTGCGATCAGCATTAGTTTGTTTTGCTTTGCACTTTGCCTCACTTCTGTTTTGTTTTGGCTCTCACCTTACTCAACTTACCTGAGGAGGCGCCACATTTTGTGGCATTTCCGTTTACAAAAAGCGCTTAAAAGCATTTGTTCTCAAGTTATTATTATAGTAGAATTCTAAAGAGCAGCCCAATTACTTCGAACTATGAGTGGACGGCTTTGGTTTTGTTATTGGAATAATGTGGTTGGCGCCAGATTTTGTTGATTAGAAGTGTAATAATGCTGGAAGGAAAACTATACGAAATACACAAACAAATTCGTTTTATTTCTCAAGAATTCTTTTAGTTTTATTCAGTTTTATTTTTCTCATCAAGTTTTACCCTTTTTTATTATTATTTTTTTTTACCTATATGCTGAAATCTCAATAATATATTTCGTTTAGATTTCAGTAAACTTATGTTCTTGTTATTTTCTTTTTTCACAGTTCAGCAACACACGGCTTTAAATGTTTGCACAAGCTTGATTTTCTTCTTCTTACAAGTACTTATATTTGAAAAATTCCTTTATCTTCTTCTGTATACCCTTGCAAGGGAATATGATATTTCCAAATATTTCTGATCGTGGTAACCAAAAACGAACGTCAACGAATGACAGATAACGGACCAGTACAAGTATTTCGTATACGTGCCAAGACAGATGCTGTTTGGGATTCCGTATGGCAAGCCTAAATGAAATCTGAACAATTGTGGCCCACTTTTAATGTTGTATACGAGTAGCTGCCAACTAATAACAACTTGTTTGCAAGGGTATCCTCCTTCGGTGTACCGAGGATAGCCGTTTGTTTTTGTTTTGGTATGCATTTTATTTTTATATAATCTTAAAAATTATTTAATTAATTTTTAGTAAAAATAAAGCTATAAATCTTGTTTGTGAATTATAGTTTCATGAATAAAATTAATTAAAATTATGTAGCACATATCAAGCCTTAATTAAATTTTAACCTCTAGTCTCCCACAATATCTCTTCTTTTATTTTCTTCTCATATATATGTATATGCAACAACACAACCAAATCGATGTAGTTTATTACCTATTTTAGCTCAATAATACATACATATACTAAAACGCATGAATGTAAGCATATATATATTGATGGCTGCGTTCAAAAAGGCGTAACTAAAATATTTTCAATTAGAGAGAAACTAATTAATCATATTCTCGTCTATAAAACGAACAAAAGATAATCAATTTGGAGGCGTAGCAATACTGAAATTATGTTAGTTAGTTTTTATTGATTACTCATTAACTTATCCACATTTTTTGCGACTGTTGTAATTTCAGATTGAAATTAAATGCAAATATATTTTTGAATAGTAAGTTCTTCAGTATAAATAAGCCACGAGTGCAGTTAAACATTTCGATTAGGATGCCCCTTTTTGCTCGAAGCTACCAATATACATATACATACACATTTTTTGTGTGAATAAATAACAGTTTTTCAAAACTAGAATACAAACACAATTGAAGATGTAAATGCCAATCGATGTTACAACAAATTTGTTGCAATTGATAACATACTCGTACATTCTAGAACATGGTTGGTATTTATGTATATTTTAATTCGGCAGTTCAGTATAAAATTCTTATTATTTGACTTGTAATTGGATCTGCAGTTGAGAACGATCTTAATGTGTATTGGCACCTGCGTTAAACTAATGATATTGGTAGGAGCCTGGCATAATAAAATTGAAATGAATCTGTCTACATAGATGAGTCTAAACATCAGCGGATCATCAAATGATGTCGATTATTATTTATTGTAATTCATAACTATTTAAGACGTTTCACATTTGTGTCACTACTAAAGTGGGTAGCCTAAGTAAGTATATACCCTTTTCACTCTTTGTCTATTATATTGCTACCTGGATTTCGCATTACGTGTCACCCCAAAGCCCAAAGCCCGCTAGTAAGCAACAGAATTTGATTGGAAAACTAAATGCATACATATTTGAATAAACGAATTTTGCTAACTAAAGGAATCCGTTAATACAATACATTCAACAACTTCGTTCCCTTCAATGCCTTTGGCATTGTCGGTTTGTGATTTCGCAACGCTCTAAACTTTGTCTTTATTGAAACCCCTTTTAATTTTTATTGTAAATATATTAATGAATAGTAATTAATAAATTTGTTTACATGCGAATTACAATATGGTTCCAAAAAGTTTGTAATTAGGTCTGAATTATGTATGAATTGGAGCTATGTATGTACTTATATATTGTTGTTTCTACCTCTAATCAAGAGAGGGCCGTTTAAATTGTTCGAAATCGATGTATTACTAACAAAATGTTTTGCACAAAGCATGAAATAGGTTTCTGGGTAACTCGAAATTTTCATTTCCTTATTTCCCGAGCAATGGGTCGGTCGATCGGTCATACCACCACTATAGCAAATATATTCACATACCTATGACATACCATTTTTGATTTGTAAAAGTTAAGAGCTTAGTTACATTCATTAATTATTACAATTTGTTTTGACTTTGACTTTTGGTGTGTCGACACAGAACAATATTTAAATATTTGGTCTTCTCCGTACACGTCTAATCGTAATTGTACGTTTAAATTTAATACTAAATTCTCGCATAAGCCTTTATGTGACACCCTTCTTATGGGCTTTGAATTGGAATCGAGCTGAGAACACCTACGGGTTGGCCACTTGGCAGCCTATTAACCCATAGACGACTGCGTTTAGTTCTTCAGCATTTGCTTAGCTCTGCAAATCTGCAAGCTAAACTAACTACAGTATATTTAGGCCTTTAAAGTTTCTCAGACATTACAATATACATACAAGTATGTATACATAGTGGTACAATATGTATACATATTGCAATAAAAGTTGTTGACAGTTTTCTACACTTTTATTGTTATTGGGCTTGAGTTTTGTTTTTTCATCATTTATATTGAATTGTTTTTGTTTTAGGCTTTCTACAATTTTAGTGTTTGTGGTGTATGCTCTGGCAGTTCTTTTCGAATAGTACAAATATTACGCAAGTATTTTTTAGTTGTCCATAAATGGTTTATATATTATTTTCAATTTTAAAGTAAATCGGTTTCCATATACACATCTAGTAAATTTGTTATTATTAATTACATACAATTACAAGTACAATTAATAAATACATACATAAGAATTAAATTTTTATTAGTAGCAATATTTTTCGCCTCTTACACTTACCCACTACTATATATAGTCTAGAATAGGTTTCCCTTTTGCTTGTATTGTTAAATGTTTACACTATTTTTTGGTTTTTGTTACTCCGAAGTATTTACATTTAGTTTTGTCTTTTGTTTTTGCTTTATCTAAGATCCTAGCGCAATTTCATATTTATCCTTAGCTATCGTCTAGTTTATTTGAACGATTACAATTTTGTTAAGTCAATAAAATCGAATAAATATGTATGCGTGTATGTATATAGTTTCGTTCAAACCAGCGAGTCAGTGAAACATTTAATTCCATGAAAAAGAAACTAAAGAAAATGATTCAGCCGAAATTAAGCTACCATCATACTCATATTTGAGATTCTTAATCGCAAATTGAACGCATTAAACAATTCAATAGGTTGATACCTAAAGCGGCCAATTAAAAGATATTAATTATTTTCGAAAAATGTAAAGCAGTTTCTTTTAAACGTATTGCACCCAAGTATATTACAAAACTGGGATACAAATATATTTCTATTAAAATACAAAAAAAAAAAAAAAAACATCGTTGGAGAGGGACTGCCAATCAGAAACTGTAGTAGATATATGCATTTGATGTAAAATAAATTTGAAATATTTATATCTATGAATCTTTGTTTCGTTTCTTAAAGTATTCTTTTTAGCACGCAAAGTAAGTAAGCCACAGACATTAAATTTACAATTACAAATAAATCAATGATGATAACAAATGCTCATGCTTTTCCATTTAATGAAAGCTTATCTTGAACTAAGTATTAGTACTTACTTATATATATACTATATGAATATATATGTACATACTATAACATACACGTAGCAAGAAATTCTTTGGCAGTGCCAATTGTATTAAATCTAGCATGATCTTCAATGTTCGCATATAGAATGTATTCGCACTATAGACGTATATCGAGGTATGAAAGCCCACAGCTACATGTAAGTAAAAACTATTTTAAATGGCATTGAAAGTGAATGCTAAGTATTTAACAAAATTTTGTCATAACAATTGAACAAAAAATCCGTACAGTTGTGGCCAAGATACATCCCAGATACCCCAGCTACCTATAACGAACAATATTTGGCTGAGGGCGTCTGTCGTTGCCCGCCGTTGGCGTCTGCATTCGCATCTGGCGGAACTATGTGGCCCATAACTTGTGCGGGGGACTGAGGGTAGCGATGTTGATGTTGGTGTTGATGCACCTTCCAGGGTTGCGTTGTTTGTGTGGCATGGTTGGTGGGGCGCTTGAACCCCTGCGGGTTTGCAGTTGATGGCGCGCCTCTTGCGTTGTCCTTTCTGTCCTTACTAGCAGCTGCTGCTCCTAGTGTTGATTATGGTGTGGGTGGCGTGGCGTCAACAGTCGGTTCGATGGAGGCCAAAAGTGTTTTTGCATATAATATAGTAAGTAAGGCAATTTTCAACCATATGCACACAAACACAGAGAGGAATACAAATTTAACAGTTAAGTGAATGCTTGAGATGCTTTGATATTTGTTATTTTGTTTTTGTTTTGCTTTGTTTTTGTTTTTGAGATAAATTGCCGATGTGCAGCCCGTACGAATGATACTGAGATTAAAAGTGACACAAGTAACAGACATATACGAACGACTATGAAACGTATGCGATATCGATAAAGTAATTATCTCATTCCGCCTTCCCATGCACGTGCTGGGCCGCGACTGCTGTTTTTTTTTTTTTGTAATTTTAATTTTTTATTATTTTTTTTGATGATGATATCTTGCAAGCCTAGGCTGAGCGAATGTCATGGAGTCATGAGTAACATGATATGTACACCATACCGATCGGCTGATGCTGATGGGGCAGCACTCTCCCGTGTTATATGATACTCTCGCGATTGCGTTCAAGCTCCTCAGTCTCGTTTTCCGGGTCCACACTGGATGTTGATGAGACGCCACATATTTGCATTTCAATTTCGGCCAGTCGGTTTTCCAGATCCCATTGCTGTTGCGACAACTTCGTATTTAGTGCTTGATTCTCGGACTCCACAGTGTGCAGTCGTTCTCGTAGTCGTTTAATTTCATCCTCCAGTGCCTCGTGTGAGCCCAGCAACGGTGTTGTGCCATCCCCCCCACCACCGACTCCCGATGTACTGGCATCGTAGCAATTAAGGTGAGAGCTTGAGTCGCATATGTGACCTGCCAACATAATCACAAGCATTACACATACGCACCTACCTATATATATATATTGAATGTATTGGATGATGAAGACGTTCACCTACCTGTGTGACTGGGCTGAGAGTGCGGACGCATCGAGTGGTGCGAGGTGGCTCGACTGCGCGGCCTTTCCTCCGAGCCATGTGCACTGGGACTCATGGAACGTGGCGAATCTGTGACACGAGCCAAGCGTTCCCCGTAGCTGAAGCCGGAGCGCGGACTTGGCGCCCGACTGTGAGTGAATTGTGGCTTTTAATAGTCAGTCAACAAAACGCTACTCAACAAATGCTCACCTGTAGCCGACGCCATGCGACGTCTGCTGTGGTGCCGGCGGTTGCGGCTGAGTGTGCTGCTGCACGTGATGCGTCATTGATGGAGCTGGTGCCGGGGTTGGAGCTGGAGCTGATGCCGATGCCGGTGGCAGCCACATATCCTCCAGTGAAGTGCGACCACAGCTCTCCACCAGACCCGGCGTCGATTGGCAGCGGCCCATGGCAACTACATTAAAGTATTTGACTGTGTTTTAAAATCAACATCGTTCACGATTCACGCAACCGAAATGGAAAACGAAAAGCAAAATAATCAATTCGTGTTATTCTGGGCCAGTCACATCGTGTCTCATAAGTGTGTACGAGTGTTTTCGTTTTTGAGATTGTAATTTTTAATGAAAAAAGCTGAACGAATTGTCGCATTCTCGCATGCTTACCTTTCTCGAGTGGCGCCTTTTTATATTTCTCCAAGCGTTTCACAGCAATCGACTCAAGGCGAACACGTGCCGCCGGATATTCCTTTAGCACATCCCACATATCCTTTTTGCTGAGAACGAAGAGGTCGCTGTAGCCAACGGAACGTACCGAGGCGGTGCGTCTATTGCCTAGACGATGCAGAGTGGTTGGGTGAGGTATTATTGAAAAGTTACAAGTGATTAATGGGTTTTCTGTGCAGTAGAATGGTTTGGTTGGCATGTGTCTGTTGTTATTGGTGGATGGAAATAAAAGAGAGATTTTAAAACTGCATGCCAAAATGAAGTGCATTATAAATGTCTATTCGACACAGGGCAGATGGGATTGCTTTAAGAATCAATTGCTTTAAATTCAATTATTATTTTTAAACTCCTCTTCAGTTATGCATGATTTGGCATGCACTTTCAAAATTGTTGATGCCACTAAAAATGCTCAATTCTGTTATATGATCTAGTATGATTATGAAAAGGAAAAGATTTGATGCGTTGTATCAACATGTGGTATACTTAATTATTACGCTTTTCAACATTGAGAACGTTTAAACTTTACGGCCAGGCAAAGCAATACAACAACGAGTCAGAGATTACTAGAAAAAGAAAATACACTTTTTTATGTGGTACAGCATGTACAGCACGTACACACAAAAAGCGAGGGGGGACATTATAGTTAGTGTGGGTAAGAGACAGATTTGTGCTAAGATAGTTCAATTTTCAATACTTCCAGTTTTCTCCAAATTCCAAATTGTTCAAACAAAAACCCAAACGCATGTGTTTTCAATTGATTTAAATTTTTAAGACTCACTGAACTAGAATGATCCACTCTAGTGAAGTACACTTGATTTCTATTTTTACTCTTCAAAACATTTTCCAAACAATGTGAAGCATGCAATATAATAAATAAAATAAAGAATTGCTGCTCAACAATGAAATTCAAAAGTATCTGTTTGCAGTCTATGTAATAGCACTCACCATACTATGTACATTGAAATAAAATAAATACAAAAAAACATGGCTTAAGCTTCACAGATGCAGCGCATCTAGGCCAATTGTTTCGATGCCGACACCAACACTGAATCCGAGGACATTGTCTAATTGAGCTATCAAAAACTTTTGCCCAGAACTGAAAGGCTTCAAAGTTCGGTCGTCAGCTCTAATTAAATTAAGTTGTAAACTGTTCGTCAAGCAAAAATTGTTTACAGCAGGCAATGTTTGAACTACTCGTAAAAGGTAGCTGCAGATAGGCAGGCAGATGCATGTATTTCACATTTAAGTTTTACCATAAGCCATTCCGACTTAATAGCACTTCATTTTGTGAATATACAATGTTTCGATGCTCTATTTGGAGTTATTTGAGCAAGGGGTAGTGCTTTCAATGTGAATTCGTCGTTCAATTTTAGATTTAAATGCATCAAATTATTATGCCATTGTACTTGTATCTGTGACATATCGCCGGGGAAGGGAAATAGCGAGAGTATAAATTATGGTTATCTATTGAGGTAACCTCTTTTTATTAGATTAGTTTATTTTAACATATCAAGCGCACATCTGTAAAATACCACTATTATCAGATACAAAATACATTGATTTTTGTTGTGGAGGGCATTGCAGCTTGGGTGGCAGACAACTCTTTAATGTATTTAATTTGCATTCGGCTTCAATAATTTGTGGTTATATGCCTAGATGTGTAGATAAGAAAAATTCAATAAAATTGTAATGCTTAGTATTATGCGGGCATGCAGGCACTTGGAATGCAAATGACAATCTAATTAAAATTCGTTGCATACTTTTGGGAGCGCGCGTGAAACCAATATGCACGAACAGAAGTTAAAGAAGAAGAAATAAAGCAATGAAAAACAATGCTAGCAAATAACAGGCGAGGCTAAAATAAAATAATAGATGCTTAAACTTGAAAGGTGTTACTAATTTGATGAGCAGAAAGAGTGCTTAGCTGCTGATTAAAAAGATGCCAGTTACTGTGGTGGTCTATTAATTAAATGGTACTTAACACAATCACAAATAGAAGTTCTCAGAATAGTGAGAAAGTGGGTGAGTAGGAAAGTATTGTATACAAAAATAGGGGACTGAGGCTGGTGATAATAATAATTAGGCAGACACGAGTGGATTGTTGTGTATAACAAAGAGAACGTGATTGCAAAAACAATCCACAGTTGCGACTACACACACTAGATAGTAGGAGTAGGTATGTGACAGTAAAACACTAAGTTAATGCATATGGCCAGGATATGGCGTACAAGTATTTTCCTTTTTTATAGAGAGGGAGAAGAGTAAACATGACATTACATATACAATATACATAGACATATACAAAGGTAGGTATGTAGTATGCTTGTGTGTTGTATATGTAGCGTAAGATAAACTGCAGTTAATATTATTGCTGTTGTTGTTGTTTAGAATATATTATGTTTAGACATACGCATACGTCGTTATTGTTCCGCCTGGCACACTAAAATGGATATTTACCCAGTTCTTTACCTGCTGTGCCCATGTTCAGTATACTAATCTCGCCAAAATAGGAACCTGCCTTCAGCGAAGCCATCACCGTTTTTCCATTGTCGGCGACCACCTGCAAACGTCCGCGATTCACGATGTACATCTCTTTTCCCACCTCGCCTGCTCCAACGGTCATTGGATTAAACCATGACGCGTAATTGCACAGTTAGGGCCCGATATCGATTTAAGTTGCCATACGTTGCGGTGGATATTGGTTTGGTATGTGGACAGTTGAATTATCGGTGAATTGTTTTGCGATGTGAAAGAGGAGACGGAAGCAAACATTTTCCAATGTGAGGCATGAAAAATGATTGACAGTACGTACCTTTGCGACAGATGTAGTCCCCCGGCGAGAAGAGTACGGGTCGCAAGCGTAAAACCAATTCGCAGAGGAAACCGGCTTCAGTATTTTGAAAAATTTCAACCCGCTTAAGTGTATCTAAATGGACGTTAATTGCTATTTCAGCCTGTATGGTAGAGTAAGAGACGGAGAAAAGTGCATTAAGAAAGCAAGTAAGTGTAAATGGCGTTCGCCACATAACAGGACGAACAGCTGAGAAGGCGGGGCTGTGTGGATGAATGGATGGATGGACGGATTAAGAGAGAAAACAAAAAAACGAAAACGAGAACATGAAACAAAATGGACAAAGCTTGTTTTTCCCTTGTGGACATTATACACACACATCTGTGAGTGAGCGCAATACCGGTATATGCTATATATACATACACTTTGCTCCCCTACACACACACACACACACACACAGACACACTCGCAAACAGTTACCTTTAATTTATCAGGAAGACAAGATACGGCACGCTCCTCATCTGAACATTTTTGCGTGAGCCACAGGTAATCGAACCATTTGATGACCTTCACCTGCAGATGATTTGGCACACGTCGCATGCGCATGTACGTCTTGACGCCGTCCAGTTTGGCTGAAAAAATAATATAAACAAATATAAACACGCTTATTAATATGTTGTGTTGCAGCTTGTGTGTGGATTTGCCTTAAATAGCAACGAGTTTCGCATACAAATGGGCCTCCAGGCAGACGGTGGTTATGATACCTTTTTTTGATGAAGCGCAAAAGAAACTGTTTGTAAGTATTTAGCAGCAGTTATTTGTTACCACATTAATAATGTATTACATATTTCTAGTTGTATTACACATAAAAATGATTTCTTGATCAGATAAATTAAAATTGTCCAGCTTCATTAAAAGTGTCACAAAAAATTTGCTGAAATTCATTTTGTAATAAGGAACTTTTGTTTATTTGTTTGGTAGGTCAATTGGAAAATTGTATAAACAGGCAATTACTCATACAGTCATTTAATTTCTTCTGTATGATACGAGTTGACATCACATATCATAGATAAGTCTTGCGATTCAGGCAAACTACATTGCATAATTGTTCTACAATGTCCCGAAACTGTTATGTTTTTATCTATTCCAATACAACAATTAAGAGCAATGGATTACTAATCCCCATAAAACTAAATATTTATAAAAGAAGAACCCTTCTATATTTTTACATTTTACATTAATTTCAGCATTGACGTATCGTAAAAGAAAATTAATCTCCAGCAAGGATGTTGAGTCAGCTAGTGTGTATGTGAGTGATTTTTTTAATATTATTTTCCGGCTGTAGTGGAAATACTTTACTTCACGTTTGTCTGTCTGTCAAAGCGCACGAATGCGCAAAGTCAACGAAGCACACGGCGTCCAATCAACCATTCGATAAGAGGAAATTAAATCTTTTGGTTTCGCCATCATTGCCTGCAAATATTGACACAATTTGTCTGCAGCCCAGCATTATAATGGATTGAAGACTTTTTGTCGGAGGACTAAGAGCTGGGGGGCTTATGTGTTTGCTCGTGTAAACATTAGAAAACCAAACTAGCAAACAAGCAAACAGATTGAAAGCAAATAAATAAGATGCGAGTCCTCACAACCACACACAACCATTTAATGCAACAGCCAATAGCCAACAGGCAGCCAGCCAAGTCAGTCCATTTGTCATTCCTCATTTCTGCAAATTCGTCATGACTGATGGCAGCACGATGTTTCAACTTCCGATTGTCACTTTGTGGTCAGACTTCGTTGTGCACCATTCAATCAGACAATGTGCCAAGCAGCCACTTTTCGATTTTCGCTGCATTTTTGTCATATCAAGCTAACAAGACTCAAAAGAGTATACGTGTACAGCGATTCTAATATGGTCATTGAGACATGTAGTCAAGGCAATAAGCAACCAATATTCAATCTCTTGCAGAATAAAAATCCCGTAGTGTTATAGTCAAATACGTCTCTCTCAACTTTCTTACATTTAATTACTCGATTAAAGCAAAGGAACAAAGGGTATAATAGACTTTTATATTTCTAATTGTATGACAAAATAGCCGCGTAACTTAATAAAAATAAAAGCTTATTGTAGGCAACAATGCCGAACCGTTGCAGTTATGGCTAAGTAACTTGATGTAACAACAAGTACCGGAAACAGTTCCCTCACCGGAAACGGTGCGGAAGAAGTGGCAGTAACAGCATGGGTCGCTGCACTGAACTGACGATGCTACAATAATATATCCAAAATAATAATAATAATAATGCTGCAGTATGTTTCTGTAATACTCTTTAGATAATTGCTGTCTTGGCATTTAACGATTTGGATGCATTGGATGCAATGACAATACACCCAAAAAGTATGCAATATTTTTTTTACTTTTCAACTTCTTTCATATTCAAATGGAGTGGAATCGTGAAAAAAGAAATAATTTGCATTTAATTACTAAATATTTCCTAATTATCGTCAAGAGTGTGAAATTATGATATTAAGTGATGTTTCAACCCCATTCAATTGATAGTCATACAATTTATGCTCAACAACTTACTATGAAATCAAATGTTTAAAATGTTTGATTTCCATTTATAAAAAATGTACCGCCACTTAAAACGTTTATTGCTATTTTTTCTTAGCGGCTTCATAATTTATACTTTTAATGGACATGTTAATTTTTTCCCATTATTAAAAGCAGCTGGCATCCCCATTTCAATTTGTTTTTATAATTGCAGTTTCAAATTTAAATATAGCAATAAAACGAGAGTAAGGTTTCAGAAGAAAGCAGAAAACCTTGAGTGTCGTCTATTTTTAACCATTGAACACATTTTCTTAGACGAAGCCCAAGACAAAAAAAAAGGAAACAAGCAAGTTTTGACCTCAATGCAAGGAACTTTGCTGGTCAGCACAAAATACCGTAAAAGTGAGCAACTTTTCTTGACACAAATAATTGTTCTGGCTTGAATGAATTCCCCGTGAGTGCTGCTCCAAATTTGTGGTCTTTTGCTGCAATTTCAATCAATATTTTGCAACAATATTTACTCTGTGGCTTAAAACAGAAACGAACCAACTGCATAAATGCCTGATTCTTTGCATTTGCCACTTTTGATTCCATTTATATCGTTTCCAAGCTAAATTTAATTTGCCCTCTGCTGTTGGCTTTTCTCGGCGTTGCCGGCAGTTTCCAGTTTGCTGATTGTGGATAGAACTGTGTTTACTTGGCTCACAGTTTCCTATTTATTTTCCATTTTATGTACTATTTCACAACAGTTGCTTGTGGCATATTTCGATTGCAATTTGTGGCGAGCGCGTTATTTGCACAAGCTTAGCATAAAACACTATCTGTAATACACCTGGGCTCTTAGTAGCGGTACTGTGGCATACTTGAATGCATTACATTTTGGCAAAGTTACGCCCAAGAAGAACGCGCACAATTCAGCCTGTTTGGTAAGAAAACTAAGAACCTCAACAAACACCACTCAGAAGTTCAAGAGCTGCGAAAGATGGTTATGATTTTGCGAACATTACGAGTATAGGCTGCACGACAAATACCGCATTTGGTCTCTGTGCATTTTGTACCCATTGTCCCGTAACGCAAGGCGCATTCCATCAATATCAAATGAGACATTTTTATACCCTTAAATAACAGACCCTAAGTGGGAAAGTCGATCTGTCTTTCTGTAAATCTAAAGAAATAAAGTTGCGTTTTGTTTTGCTATCCTTAAGGCAAAAATACAAATGTCCCTTAACGCATTTTTATACCCTTCGCTGAAAATTTTAAGGTTACATGGTTTCGGAGGGTAAGTTTGTCACACATTGAGGGAAGAATAGTGGACTACACTTTATGGTTTATTGGCAGGTATCATTTTTGTTACGATGACACAATGAAGGGTATATCAGTAAGTCGTTTCGACGCCTGACGTTAAATTCCGAATTTATATTTGCAGCTATAAATACAATGGTTAGCTAGGAGTCAACAATTAACATTAATAGTAAATATGTTCGAGCATATTAAACAACATTTGTAAATATAATTTTACGCAATATTTCAAGTCCGCAAAAATACAGCTACTATTGGCAGGCTATGTTTGAACAATAAATATTTACCATGAGCAGATAAACTTTACTTAAACAATTAACTTTAAACTTGACTTTTACTTGATATTTTGAAAAGATTTTCCAAGTGGAAGTGATACAGCCATTTAGTTACAAATGCTAAGCAATTAAACACAGTATTCGATTCGGAATAATCTTGAGTTAAGCAATTGTAAGCCTGTAGTTAAACCTTGCTTTAAAACACGAAAGACAAACTAAATGCTAACAAAACGAATAAAATTGCAAAACAAAAATACCTTCATTTCAAATGAGTAAATGAAAGAAATGGGAAATACGCTAAATAACTAAACATTAAAAAGAAATTCTAACTCGTGGATATAGTCACATAATTTTAAAGTCTAACTATCGCAGGTATAGTACTTTACAAGTATATTTTATAAAAAGCTAGAACTCTTGTATAGCTTCTTAGTACCACAAGTGAATCGGATATCTCGATCGAAAACAACTTGTGGATATGGTAGAGTGCTATAAAGTGCTCGTTAGCCATAATAGTACTCGTTACTTGGAAGAGTATTAATATATATATAAATGTATGTATATAAAATCTATGTACATCGAAGATATAAATGTGTATAATACCACACGTCCATATATGTAAAAAAGCACGTTCTAAAAATATAACGAAGGAAGGCAGCTTAATAGGTGAAAGCAAGTGCTGGCTTTCCATACAAACACACTCTCCCATTTACTCGTACATACAATATTGATTGGAATATATTCACACACCACCGCGCTCACCTCCCCATCAGCTGGCTAAGATGGATGATAAATATACCCACTTACACTGATTCTTATCTCAATCCAGTCAGGGACTAAAGTTGATTTAATTTAAAAAATTATTAAATTCTTATTTTGTGTAATACTATAATATTGAATACAAAAATGTAATTGAAGAAAAAAACTATATTAAAAATAAATCAGCCAATTGAATTTCATCCCTATTTTCATCTCGAGTTTATCTTCCCAAATGTCACGGTTAAATTTTAAGTTACGACTACGGAGGGATCATTCAGCTTCTATTTAGTAAAACAAAAAGGATAAAGGATTTACTAGTTCGGTACCAGTACAATTAACTGAAGGGTTTCTCCTATGGGGCCAACCCGAACAAAAGGACCAACACAAACACACACACACACACAAATTATAGCAGCGGCCAAGCGCAGGAAGAAGCAGGCGACCAAACGACTATCATTGCTGTTGAAGCTGCGGCTTTTGCTCTGACTTGGAAAGCGAATCCAACAACAAAGAGCAACACACACACACACACACATAAAAGAGAACGAATACACTTGAACAGTCAATGCCATGTCGGGCAAGTTAAAGTGGATAATGGACGCGAAAGGAGCAGAACCAGCAGCAGCAGAAGAAGAGTAGAAAGCAAACAAGTAAATACTTAAAGCTACATATATGCAAGTATGTAGTGAGGCATGCCTGCCCCTTGTCAGGCAATTGAGCTGAAACTTTTAAAAGAGATCTACCCATATGGATTTCGGCCCTATATGCCACAGCGTGTACATATTTAATACGTTTTAATTCGAATCAATTAACTATTTCATACACATTATTCCCCGGTTTATGAATTAGTTATGTTAATCCGAAATGATAACACTTTAAACGTAGCTTCATGACTACCGAAACACATAACAGCACATCAATATGTTGATCTATACTCGACAGACAATACTATATTTCAGAGTTTATAGATAAATAAATAAATTGGTAAAGTGAACGCACACTTCTCTCTTGGTGTTGCATTTTTATATTATGCCTTTTTAGTTTTTGATTAATAAAAATATAATTATGTATATTAAAACTAGTAGTACATTAAAGTCGTGTACGTCCGATTCTTGAACATTCTGTGCTCCGTACTAAACTTTATTGTTTCATTCCTTCATATGGCAGCCATATCATATAGAGAATGTATTTTGAAGAAACTTTGGAATATTTTGAGGAAACCCATAGCTACCAGACTTGCTTAATAATCGGTTCAATATGAGTTATATATAATAATAAAGATATATAGACTTGTTCTGTATATTCAAAAGTCGAACTGACACAACTATAATATTCTACTCGTTTTTATCTAAAAGTATGTATTTATCTACTTGTAGAATTGAATCGCCAACAGCGTTCGAAATGCCAATCGTTGAACTAACATTTTGCGACTGCGGCAACGTGTAAACAAACTATTTACTGTAACAATTAAATAATGGCGTAACGCAAACATCAGCGTATTAACATAATTTTGAATACAATTTCGCATGCACATTTTGAATGCGGCGACCGGGCCTGGGTCTGGTTCTGGTTCTGGTTGAGCCAAAACGCACTCTCGTAATGGCACTCCCCTAATGGGAAGCATTTAAACTGTGTGACATAACCGTTCGTGTGTGTAAGTTCGCCTGTGCACGAGTGTGCATAGATGTAGTTGTAAATATGTATTATACACACACACGTACGGGCATGATGTATGGCCGTGCGTTTGTGTGTGGGGCTATCAAGTTTGTGCGGTAAACTTTATGGTTGTACGTATGTCTGCACTAACAAGCCACAGCCACGCGTTTAACTAAGCATGAATGTAAATGTTTATATGTACATGTGTATATACAAGTATATATATATATATATATATATATATATATATATATATATATATATATATATATATATATATATATGTGTGTGTGTGTCCGACATTGTTGCAAAATGATTTTGAAAAACCATCAATAACTTAAATATAATGACAGTTTTCTACTTGTTGTGGCATTCTGCTCGTATCCAGACTTAGCCGTAAGTGGGACTAAGAGGATGTATAACTTAAACCATCTGCTCAAGCAGTCTGTGGAGATATGTAAATTGGATGCGCAGCTTATACACATACATACACGTACTATACATGCCCTCCTTGCGAACTCGCATACGTGTATGTGTACATAAGCATGAGCTCACATGTGAACGCTCTAATGTAATAACGTCAATCAAATTTACAACAATTTTGAAGTAACTTTTTTATATTTACATAAATATCAATTTTCTGCCAAAATCGACATGGTTGGAGTAACTTTATAACTGATCAAATTTAACAGTCACAAAATATATATACATAGCTATGCTCATACATGTCTAAATAAGCCTCAAGTAATCCGTTCATTTTTTGTATTAAGAAAACAACATTTTTTTTGCAAAATGGAACGCGGTGCATGTTAGGGTGGCATGTTAGTGTTTTATCAGAATTGTATTTCCGCTGCAAATTTTCCAATTCAAACTGCTGCACAGACTCCTGGGTGAGTGAGTTTTCGAGATACAAATGCAAGTGCTGCTTTTTACAAAAAGAGTCGATATTGCTATTCATGTTTCTCCTACACATTTGTCTTTAATTCCCCTATACATACGCAACATTTATTTAAAATTTTACAATATCTTTTGACGTGGTCGAAAGTCATGTCTAAAAAATGTTTCCTTCATATAATTATTATTATACCCTGTACCCGTAGGGTAAAAAGGGTATATTAGGTTTGTGCAAAGTATGTAACATACAGAAGGAAGCATCTCCGACCCCATAAAGTATATATATTCTGAATCAGCATGACGAGAGAAATCGATCTAGACATGTCCGTCCGTCTGTCCGTCCGTCTGTCCGTCTGGATGAACGCGAGGATCTCAGAAACTATAAAAGCTAGAATAACCAAAGTTTATTTTTTTTTTTTAATTTTCCCCCCCTTCCCCCGCTACAGAATTTCGTCAATAGCGCATTTTAAATGCTACCTAAACCAAACTTTGCACACATAATTTATAAATAAATATCTACTGTTGTTTAAAATTTTATTCAATTCTGTCAATTCTAAGAAAAGTTATTAGCGAAACAAATTCTCGCCAGTACAACCCCCACAAACTGCAGCAACAAGTTCGCTCATCTTCTTCCTCTTTTTGTTGCTGCTTTGGGCGCATATAACTTAGTGACGGAAGTTTACCTGGGTACAGGGTATTACACTGTCGGGCTTGCTCGACTGTAGCGTTCTCTCTTGTTTTTAAACCATAATTGATATAAAACTTCGAATAGTGCTATCAGTATAATGTATTTATATGGCGGACATACAAAGTTTTACAAGTATAATTAGATCTTTAAAATGATTGAAATTGCGACCTGAACTATATCATATAGCTGTCAGAGCAACCATGAATTGATCTTGGCAAGACAAACTTTTTTTTCGTAAAGCTGCTTTTAAATAGGCTTCCATGCACCGTGCTGTATTCCCAGACAGACAGAACCCAAATGGACTCACAAGTAAGCTCACAATTTTTCACTGGTATAATTTAGTTAAAAATTTCCATAGGCTTATGAAATGCCTAAACAAAAATTTAAGTTTCAAACGTAGGCTGCACTGGGTTTTTTGTCAGTGCATGTTTTTTTTATTGTTATTATTATTTAAATTTGTTTTTTTTTACCACCTTTTGTAAGGAATGGCCGCACAACTGTTGGACTCCGAAATTGCTGAACTTAAGAAAACATTCGATGTCGCCGATAAAGACGGCAATGGTACAATATCGGCGGAGGAGATGGCGATGTTAATGCGTTCCCTGGGTCTTGTTTTGACAGAGTCGGAAATTTATGATATTATCGACGATGTGGACTCTGATGGCGACCGCGAAATAAATTTTAATGAGTTTCTAACCGCAATGGCACCTAAACTCCAGAACATCGAGAGCGATGAAAATCTAAAGGCAGCCTTCGATGTATTTGATCGCGATGCCGATGGCGTATTCACATCTATGGATTTGCGGAGCATAATCACCACTGTCGGTGAGGTGGCCAGTGATGAGGATGTAAATGATCTCATCAGAGAGATGGACCTCAAAGGTAATGGTAAAATTGACTATCAAGAGTTTATAAATTATATCCGTTCGTCTACATAATGAGCATTTTGGCTGGAAACTGGCAAATTATATGTGAATTCTAAGATACGTGTATGTTGTATGTACTTTATGTCTAAAGCAGCTGTGTGTAGGTTTGAAAGAAGGCAGAATTTGCAGGGAATAAAATTTACCAAAATGAATTTGTAAAATATTTATTCTGCCGTTAGACGCTTGCTCTGTCAAAACTCGAATACCCAAGCTGAAAACCAAAAATTAATGGAGCAGCACGTTTCGTCCATTAAGTCTTACAGCTTTGCTTGCTGACTTTTTGTGCATGTGGCAAATGCTGTTCACACACACAGACATTGGCTAAGAGGAAAACACTCGGGCATACATGCAAAGTGTTGTGTAAACAAGTCAGTTACCAGTACGCATGGCCACATAAGTGTCGACGTTTAAAGTGTCGCCAACATCGCAAAAATCCCAACAATTGCAGGCGCTAAAAAAAATTTCCCAGAGCCAGCGCAAGGTGTGACAAAAAGTGGAATGTGCACGTGGATGTGTATGTCCAAGCTGCGGCGCTTCTTGAGGACACTTGCCGAAGATGAGCCAATTTAGCACCAATAGCAGGAATAGAATTTAATATAGACGTACCTTGAGTTGCCGTCGTCTAATGACAGCATAGCTTACTGTCCTCTTCACACTTTTCGCTCCCAAAGGATTATTTTTTACTCTTCCCCACTTAAGTGTACAGTTGGGGCGTACTCATTGAAAGGGTGAGTTAAAAAAAAAAAAATATATATATATATAAATTACAGACAGGTGAATGCAACACGCCGGTTGAGAACGGATTGCACTTCTCAGTTAGTTATGGCTTTTGCTGCTTCTAGCAGCGAATAAACGAGTTCATTTAGCTAATGGCTAGCACACGGTCAATGCGTTCAGAATGGACATTCGCCGCTTTTGCAGCTGCCCTTTAATGTGGATGCTCAGATATAAATGATACTGTCTCAGAGCTATTGCCAGCAAATCGGCGAAGAGGTCATACTATAGAGGAGAAAACAGTGTACCGAAAGCAAGAAACGGAACTGATGCAATACATCATTACAATTCGCAAGATTAAAAGCTGAGTGAGAAAATTTGATCAGCGCGTATTGACAGAACTTTTAAGATAAGATAAAATATAAAATAAACAAGTACATTATACAATGGACAATGTATAAAGGGGATGATAAAGTGTCAGTGTTGTTTTAGAAAGCATAATATACTACAGTTTCCAGTTTTAATTGGACGTAGTTGTATGTGGATTATTATTGTACGCAGCATTTTGTTAAAAAAATAACATGAGAAAGTCATTTTGTGATATTTCTTGTTAAACTATGAATGAAGTTCCTCCAGAATAGTATGCTTGGAATAATGTTATTTAATATGATATTTTTAAAAGAACCAAAATTGGTTGTTGTTTTTTCCTAGAGTTGCTTCAACATCCAGATTATGTATTTAAACTGATTGTCTACAGTTGTATCCTAGACTCTGTCTCATTTAAAGATATTGATATTAGGACTTACCTTGAAATTCTTTGCGCGCCGCACTGACCGACGTCACAATGTTGGCCACGTGACCGAGTACTGTGGCAAATAGCATTAGCCCGAATAATAATTGCAATATCACAAACACATATTCGCCCTTGGAGCGGGGTTTCGGCAGATCGCCGATTGTTGTTAGGGCCAGAGTACACCAATAATAGCTCTGCAGATACTGTTTGACCACATCGGCGGACTCGGAGTCGTGATAGACCCAGTTGCGTGAACCAAACCCGTTGTTTTTATGTATTATGTGGTAGAGACAGCCGTTCCAATGGAATATCACAAGCAGGTAGTGAATCAGCGCCGTTGAGCGAAACAGATTCGGATAGTTGGTGTGCCGCTCCGTGCGGTCCATAAAAGCCCAGAACCGATAGATCTTGACAAGGCGAAAGGAGCGCAGTATGGAGTTGAAGCCAATCGATAAATATAAAAAGTCCAGCGGCAGCAGGCACAGGCAGTCAATATAGAATATTGTTGAGTTCATGTAATGAGTGCGAAGCTTTAAGGCGTCTGTTTGCAGGACCCCATCCTCCAAATATCCGGTGCGAAAGTGAAAGAAAATGTCGATGAGATACAGAAAATCGGACAGATAGTCCAAGCAGAACCAGATAGCAATTGTGCGTCGATTGATCTCCTGGAACGCGAAACGGTAGATTATCACCCAAAAGTTGTAGAGGAAAGCCATTGAGACGACCATGGACCAATAATAGCACAGTCGCCCCGCTGGATCGAACACAAAGTGAAGCTTGCGCGCGGCTGTTGCAGCTCTTATTCGCTGCGAGGCAGTGCGGTGAGGCTTCTGATGATGCCCGTGTCCCGGGTGGTTATGGTGCGGTGGCCCGCCACCCGGGTTGTGTTGGTGGTGCGCGTGCGGATGGTGCGACACCGTCGATGCCGAGTGCTGTAGCTGGTATGGGTGGTGAGCCTGATGAGCAGAGGCGCTATGGTGCATCTGGTGCTGTGATGTCAGCGTGGCAGCGCTGGAGCGGGAGCGCGGGTAGCTGCCCAAAGAATATTAAATAAATAAATAATTGTGCTCACCTGGTGAGAGCTTCAATTTAAAAGTTTACTTACCGATCAGTGCCGTTGCAAAAGTTGCCACCGTACTGAGTGACGGGGTGCCCTAAAGGGGGGCCAACAGCACTGCTAGTACCCCCGACACTGACCAGTGTGTTGTCCTGCGAGCCGCGGCCCGTTGAGCGGTTCCAGGTGCCCAAGAGCGGCTGCTCGCCGCTCGCGGTTTTCAGACGTCCTCGCGACTTGTTGTGGCGTTGTTTGTTGTTCAGTAAATCCATTTCGGAGGCAGTGCTTACAGTGGCCATATGCGAGTTGGAGGCTCGTGAAACGCATGGTGTGGCTAGGGCCAGACTATCGTGCGAAGTAAAGAAACCTTGTTGCGAAACACTCTGCCCAAATTTAGGCTGGGACATGCCAAACTTTGGTCCTAGATCTGTAAAGGAAGATCACAAACATTAATCGAAACCATTTTGACTATGAATAGGGATATTTTGAGAGTAGGCAATCAAATTTAATTGAATCAGCCCATAGGCAACAGGACTTGTGGCAACTGTATGAGATGTGCAGCGCATGAAAAGGTGAGCCAAACACAAAATTGGGACACTATTTAAGTAAATATCCCACTCCAACACGCAAACAAACAGTCTTAGAGCAAGATAAAGAGAGAGAAAGAGATAGAGGGGGTGGGAGGATGAGAGAGGAAACACTCAAACAACAATGCGCCTTACCGAGAAAGCTCTGCCGATCGATTGAGAAGCGACGTAAGCTACCCAAGTCAATGAACTGCTCATCCCCCGCCATTGTTGGTGTGAGCGACAATTCGGTTGTGTGGAAGGCACCAGCCACACCACTGCCAGTACCGCTAGCTGCTGCGCTAGCACCACTCGTGCCACCCACTGTCAGATTTGTACACGTTGTGGCGCCACCCGCACTGCCGCCCATTCCGGCGCCCAAATAGCTCGCATTGCTCGCATAGAAGCTTCCATCCAGTTCGGCCATCTGCTGCTCATACGCAGTCAGCGGATTAATGGAACGCGAGCTGGGATCGCGATATAGCGGCCGCGGCGAGGGCATTAACGACGGATTTAACATGCCATTCAGTGAGAGACGCGGCTGCATTATTTCCGGGAAGCTGGCTCGAGCTTTTTGCAGCCCAGACATCTGTGTTTGGATTGCTGGTCGCGGTCTAGATGTTGATGTTGCTGTAGTTTTCGTTATTGTTGTTGCTGATGTGAATTGTGTTTGAATATTGATTTTATTTTTGTTGCTACCGCTATTGCTATTGTATATAGTATATTCGTTGCCGCTCTTCGTAGTATTTGTGCCACCAATTCTGAATTGACTACGACTGGACGCCTTCTCATGCTGCACTGGACCCGCACGACTCAACGACCGTTCATCAATATCAACAGAATCATCTGCAATAGCGCCATCATCGTCTTTTCCATCATTATCGTCGTCGGCATCTATTGCCGGAATACGACGCAAGTAAGCGATATGTGGCTTTGTCGTGGATGTGGACTTACACCGTTCAGCTTCAATAGCCGTGCATAGAATTTTAATTGAATTCATGATTGGGTTTTGATTGTTAATTATTGATTTTGTGTTTAATTTGTTAATTGGTTTTTTTTTGTTGATTTTTTTTTTTATGAGGCAGCGAAAAACAAGAAAAATGTGAGCACGTATTAATAATTGCAAAATTTCCAACAATAACATGAATGTTTATATTATGGACACTACGTACATTACGTACAACTTGGTGGTTTGTGGAGTGGTTCGCAACTATGCACACACATTTACATATATAAGCAACAACAGAGAGGGAGTGGAAGTGAGAGAGAGCGAGAGAGAGAGAGGGAGAGAGTGGAACTAACATATAGACTGGTCGGGGCGAACGAGAGCTATTTGGTGATTTTAGCTAATACCGAGTCTCGGGCATTTATAAATAACAACAACAACAACAACAACAACAGGAACAAGCTCCAAACAAAAATAGTATACTCGGTAATCTTACATATACATGGTACATATATAGATACCTATTAGGTACACGTGACTTGAGATGGTGGTGCGTGTAAGGACGTGCATTGGTGTTAGGTGAGTTTGGATTGCGAATGCCTAAGATCGGCAAACTAGTGCCAGTCAACTGACTGCTAGATGTGCTAATGCAGAATAAATGTGAACAAAACATGCAAGAAATATGTATTAATAAATTACACCATCCATTGGCACCCGTAAGGATGTAAGTGTATTTTTATTTCACTGGCTCTCTATTCCTATATTCCTCCCTCAATGATCAATAATTCAAAGTCACGCTTTTGAGCTTACATTCCCCATAGTTTCATCTATTTATTTGAAAAGGATTCAATGTTGACACGCCTAACTTCTAAAGTAAATACGCATGGGCGAAAAGAATCGAACGAAAAAAACCGGATGGCGAGGAAAGTATATTGCCAACAGACAAGCGAACAACGATTAGCACTTGGCTGCCATTTCAAGTGACTCAGCGAAGACAAAGAACACAACTAAGACATGGAATGCTATTTATTTTCATTTCTCGAACTTGGACTTAACATCCTCATATACACTTGAAAAGGGTATGCTAATTTTAAGAACGCTCTGATCTCACAACTCGAATGTGTCTCAGGATTGAAGATAAAATATATGGGTAACCTTTTTACGAACCGTTGGAACCATAGCGTACTCATATATGCAGAACCGTGGAAATTTCATATGCGTTTTTTATAAATGTATCCCACATTTTAAAAGTTATAAGATTTGCAGGCTTTTCAAATTCCGTTTCATGTTAAACGGTTAAATATGAATGGCATTAAATAAAATTATCCTAACAAATTTATTGTTTTTATTTTTATTAATATGTGATTTCTACTGCGGTTCCTAAACTTCAGAAATAGCTGACATATTTTCAGTCCTTGTAGCTACAAATAATCCACATTCTGTATGCAAATCAAATATTTGTACAAAGAATTCAACACGTCAGCATTATAGAGTATACTCAATAGTTTGTGAGGTTCTTAGCCAAAGAAAATAATGAATTATTGTATTTTATAAAAGGTTTCTATTGAGTCAACTTTAAGCAAGGGTATGCAATTTTCGGCACAACGAGGTAGTCTTTTTTTCTTATTTTATCTTGAAGCTCTTTGCCAGCTTGTGCGCCAGCCAATTGGTAATACCAACTCGTACCTATTAACCTCATTCCATGCGTTATCCATTGATTAATTGCAATACGATTTTAATTATTGCTGCCCTAGCTGCCATCACCATTGTATGTACTTGTAAGCGTTCTTGTAATTCAATTAGTACCAATGGCGAAAAACCGGTTCCGCGAGTACTGAGTTTTTAATTAATTTGCAGAGAATGTGACTTATAAAGGTTGCCCCTTAATGTACGTGTGTATAGATTAAGAGTGTATGTGGAGGTGAATATAGGACTTTTTACTTTGTCCAATGCACCTATTGCACAATACATTCTAATTAATTAACTCTTAATAGCATACACAAATCAAGCGACGTTCTATATTAAATATTCAATGCCATTTCTTAAACATACACAACAGCAGACTAGGATCAAGTGACATTCCAACGCAGACTGGGAAATAGGCGGTCCTTGTCAGTTCTGGTCCGTCTCAATGTTACCGCAATAAATTAGACTGGCTAATACATTTTTAATACCTTGCCGTGTTTCTGCGTCAGACCATGAGTGGCATTAGAAACTCGTCCTTAATGCTTTGACTGTGCACAGGTAATTTTAGAGTAAGACCTTGAAAGCCACTATATTTCAGTGTATCACAATATTAATTAATAAATGTAAGCTTTACCAAAATTAGCCCCCAAATGAAAAAACTGTTGTAATCAATCATAGACGAGTGCTGCTGGGATCATAGAATTATATTTTTAAACACACCTGCCCTTTTGAACGCACATACGTCTACGAAAAAAACTCTGCAAAAAGGTAAAATTTCTTCATAAATATTTCACTTGCAAACTGCTTTAAATAGACTATACAGACTATGTGATTACCATAAAGATGTCATAGCCAGCTGACTGTTGACCTCATAATTTGATTAATGTAGAATAATGGAACCTAAGATATCACACTCGTAATGAAATGACATATTGCCGACTCTAAGTGCCTTTTATACACATCGTTAGTAAAAGAGGATAAATCAAAATTTGCAAGTCAGAAATCAAGACAAATGGCTGATTTTATTTGTAACTTATTTGTTTAAGTTGCACAATTTAGTAAATAATACATTCATTTTTTAAGGCTAATCGCAGGTAACTTTCCTTCTGTATCTATATACATACATATGTATTATACATGTGCCGTGTGGGTGCCGACGCGACTACGCACTAATTTTGCAGAAATAATCTTGGCACTGTTTAATTTAACTAATAGTTGAGTGTCATTTATTTAAACTTTGTTTTCTTGTTGTCTTCGCCCTTTTCTTCCATGCCCCGCGCTTGTGGCACAGATTGTTGCGTCAGCCAGTTTCGGTCTGCAGCCTGAGCCTTAGATAAAAAATGAAAAATCTGCGGTTTAATGTGCGATACTTTGTCATGGCCAACCGCCCCGCCACTGTTGACGTTGCCGTTGCCCCGTTGCCGTAGCCGTAGCCGGTGCCGTAGCCGGTGCCGTAGCCGGTGCCAGTGCCCCGGAAACTTGTGGATAACTTGTTCAAAAGTTCAACAAAGCACTCGAGTTGCGGGCGCACCATGAATTGTCAATAAATTTTCTAGCTGCAAATCATCGCTGTTTCCGTTAGCCGTTGGCCGCTCGCCGTTGGCAACCGTTGTCATTGCTCTGTCAAAGCCAGAACTGGCGGTACAAGCTGGTCAGAATGTGGTGCGATCGGTTAAAATCATCAGTATATAGTATGCTTATGTATAGTATGTGCGTAACAATTATGCTCTGCAACAGCTGCGACGACCGCACCAAATGAAAATATTTGCAAAACTACGAATGGGTGGACGGAGTAGTGGAGTGGAGGACGGCCAGTGGGGCAGGCTTGGTTTCTCAAGTTAAGCAACATACTTTGACAAAACTTTTGAGCCAAAACTTAATTCAAAACTTGCTTCAGCTTGCAGACGGTTGATGCAGTTAAGGGTTGGGTGGCCTGAGCCAAAAAAAAAAAAAACACTTTAAAACTGAAATGATGGAAAAAGAAAGTCACGCAATAAAACATGAGAAAAAGCCAACACCATTTTATGAGCTTCTGGGGAAAAAGAACGTACCAGATATAAAATTCTTTAACAAAAAATAAAGAATAAGTCTATCTTTCTATTAACTATCTTTAATCTTTTTATATTAATGACAGTCTATGTAGAGGAAAAACTCATTTTAATATTTTTATTGACAAGTATTAATTTTCCAGGGAAAATACTCAAAGAAGGCAAGAAGTTGGGGGTTAAATGATTCTATACTATTCTTCTCCCCTCCGAAATTTTACCACAACGCCATCCCACTTCCACTTTTGCCCCACTCTTGAGATTTTTTAAAACTGTCAAACACAAAAATTTATTTGTATACACTTAAAATGAGACTTCAATACTTTTTTATTGTAGCGACGACCCTGCCTGCATTTCTTTTGGCTCATAGAAGTACCACAGACCTCGAAGCATACACAGGAAAAAAACATTTACCGTACAATGCCCTACATCATCGCTCCAAACGTGTCTCCACGCCATACAAGTCTGAAAAGACAGACCATCTGGCCAAGTTTTGTGTGTCTATACGTTCCCGAACACCACGAAAATACTTTGGAGACAATCATTATTGCGGCGGCAGTATCATCTCGTCCACATTTGTGCTGACTGCTGCCCACTGCACCATGGAGTAAGTATCAGGCACCGGCTTAGAATTTCTCGCTACTTACTCTTTTGTAGCAAGCGCAAGATTATGCATCGAGCTCGAGTACTACTGATAGTGGCTGGAACTCCGAACCGTCTCAAGTTCATTAAGGGTCAGTCGGTGAACGTGCCTGTGAAGAAGCTGTTTGTCCCTAAAAACTTCACCATGCACAATACCAATAACATTGCACTCATCAAACTGGCTGAGGCACTGCCCAGTGATAATCCACACATTGGTATCATCGACCTGCCCAAAGCACAGCCTGCTTTCAACATCAACTACACAGTTCTGGGTTGGGGACGGGTCTATAAGGTGAATATAGATATATTTTGATACTTGATGAATACAACTAGCTGTGATCACAAAACTGGCATGCAGGGCGGTCCACTGGCCTCCTCGATATTGCACATCGATGTGGAGTTGCTAGCACGGGAGGAGTGTGCCAAAATGCTGAAGACTTTCAAGCCCGAGATGATGTGTGCTGGTAACTTGGGCAATGACCTGGACGAGAATCCTTGTGCTGGCGATACTGGCGCTCCCATGATCTTCAACGATACTGTGTACGGTGTTGTGTCCTATCGGATTGGTTGTGGCTCCATAACACAACCATCCGTCTACACCAACGTATTTGAGCACCTGGAGTGGATTGAAGAAGTTATGTCGCGAGGAATACGTCATTTGTCAGTTTCCGTGTTCAGCTATTTGCTTTTACTTTTGACAGTTTTTCAATTCAAATTTCAGTAATAATATCTAAAAGTCCTAGTCAACTGGGCGCCAGAGCTCTAATCCCAAATACAAATAAGTCAGACCAAGTAGCAATGCATTTTTCTCAATTATTTGTGTTCTTGCAGATTCTCCTGCTACTGCCGTTGCTGATTTACTGCCACAGTGATGAGAGTGATATTATGTTTGCCAGCCTCGCACCCTTGCGACGGCAGAAGCGCATTGCAGAGGGCTATCCTACCCGTTCGAATTTGCGCACATCCGTCGTATCCTTGCGCTCGCGTGCCCCTCAAGCCTACTTCGGTGACAATCACTTTTGTTGCGGCGTTCTGTTAACCGAGCGGTTTATAGTAACAGCGGCGCAATGCTTGACATTGTGAGTAGAATACTTTTCAAAAGATCACCTAATGGCCACTTATCCTTTGCCTTCTAGGCAGAACAAGAGACTAAGGCGACCCCGGGAAATCATGATAGTAATGGGTTCTATTATGCGGCTTAATCAAACACGCAAAACGATCGTAACTCAGATCAACTACGCTGGGGTGCACATAAACTACACAATGAACAACTACAACGACATTGGATTAATCCGACTAATTTCGCCCATTCCCAAAAACCATCCACGCATAGATCTAGTGCCGGCGACGCTACAAAGTCCACCCTATGGCAGTAGATGCTTAGCCATGGGCTGGGGCCGTATTTTCAAGGTAAGGTGGTAAGCGAACTGTAGCTTCCGTCATTTGTTTTTGTATTTTTTCACTTGGCGCGCAGGATGGTCCAGTAGCTGCTACATTGGCTAGTATTGAGGTGGAGTTATATCATCCAGGAAAATGTCGAGACCTTTTGCAGTACTATAGCCCAGAAATGTTGTGCGCAGGTAATCCCGGTAACGTGGTGCCCGAAGGCCCCTGTCCGGGCGACACTGGTGGTCCACTCTTTTGCAACAACTCGCTAATTGGCGTTGTTTCGTATACAATAGGATGCAGCAAAGAGGACACACCAACCGTTTACACAGCTATCTGGCACCATTTCAATTGGCTTGAAAAACAAATCGATCGCGGTGGTCAAACAAAAAGGCACACAGAGCTTAAGCCCACATTAGTCGTAATTCTAGTTGGCTTTGTATATGTTATGTAACATTATATTAGAGTGTTTTTCCTTTCTTAATTCTATACTACATTCCATAACTTATTTTAATTTTTTGTAAATATCCAAAATAAGTTTTTTAATTATAAATTTTCACAATTTTGTGGTGAACATAAACGACCAATTAAATCTGTTATTCCAAAGCCTTATCGTTTTCAACTTTAGAAGCCATCATTGCACGATTGACAACATTCAAGATTAGAAAAATAAATTTGCAATATAACATTTAAAAAAATTACCTACCAAGCCAGAAAAAACACACGTTTACATGTATATCTAAATTTTATCTATTTTGCTCAACGAAATTTCCAAATGGGGAATTTTAGATCTCTTTTGTTTTTAGAATTACCCATTAGTTGAGAGTGTTTTTTGTTTTTATATTAAACTTTCTATTTAGTATACCAATCGATGCAGGACATTTCTTAAAGAGATTTATTCTGATATGACGCTCTTTTGTTACTTACGACTGTATATATGTATACATTCAAGTATATCTGCGCCAATTTCAGTAATGGATATAATTGTCGTTGAGACGCATGCCGCGTGCCGTAAGCAAACTCAAAATGGTGGAATTAATGGGAATAACTTCACTTAATTAAACGACGTGCAAAGAAAAGAAGGTGCAACAGCTTCGTATATCACTCATACGCCACGTTCTGCGCATGAATGAGTAATGAGGCGCATGTCATCTGCCTCAGCATTCACTTAAATAAGAAATGTGTGCCTGCGAGTCAGTGTGTCGTATTAACTTGTGTGCTTCTCCTAAAGAGTGCAAATAAATGGAAAACGACGTATTGTAGATGAAAACGGAATATAAGCGGAAAAAGTTGTGACATCAGATCCGCCATTTATATTGCAATAATCCAATCATTATCAACAATAGGAAATCCAACACTTACAGTTTTTTAGTTGAGTTTTAGTTTAAATGCTCCTCTCTGCACATAGCTGGCAAATAAAATTTGCACCAACGTATATTTAATATATTAGACACAACTATTATTGCACACATTTTTGTTTAAGTACATTGATCGAAACGTTCATATTTCCTGCTAAGATAACGACATATATATACAATTTTCAGAAGAAAAGAATATGTTAATCATATAAGCAGAAGTTTCTCATCCCAAGATGACAAAATCCTCATATTATCTGTAGTCGTGAAGACTGACACTCAAAGTTTCTAAAAATCTCTATATCTTTCTCGCCTTTAAAGTCCTAAAGGATTGACACTTTAAAGTTTATTTTCAGCGAGAGCGATTCCCGGACTGGCTAATACATTTTCTATTATTGGTTTTACAATTGTCTTATTCTTTTACACTCCTAATAGATTTTCTGCATTATCTATCTTTGATTTTAAAAACTTTTCATCAGTGGTTGTTTGAATTTGAACTTATAAGTATTTAATAAATGTATGTTGTTGATCTTAAGGGCTATGTCATGTGTATGTTTTTAAGTGTGTATGTGAGTCAAAGCCACCTTTATATTGTACAACTATTAATTTTAGGAACAAAAGTTTGCACAAACAACTGCAGAGAAGCTGAATAAAAAGCAGGACTCTCATTTGTTCGAACTAATGCTGATTACATTAACATTAAGCTTTTAAAATGCACAACCTTTTTCAACATTTACTCCAGTAGCCGGACAGACCACACGCAGCGCTGCAAAATGGCGGAACAGTTGTGGTTGGTGGTCCACATTGACATTGAGTGACAAATCCACGGAACTTCGCAGCTTGTGGCAGCCAATTACTTGTGAAGCAGCTGCTGCCTGCCCGCATTAAACTGCATCCACAAACTAAATATTCAGGTACACAGTATACATATGTATCTGTACCTAGTTTTCTCCTACGGTAATATCTCAATTACCCCTGCAATATAGAGCTAATTAGTTAGGGCTGCACTGTTCATTTTGAATGACATTTAGTGCATTACATAAATTATATTTAATTACGTCATTAAAGTACATATACTAGCATATGCCGTTTGACAAACTCATTTCTGACTTGGCAGAAATACACTTTAATGACATCTTATGCCAAGCAGGTATTAGTTTTTAACGAAAAATGAAATCTACATCTGCAACTTTAATAGAAAATACTTCACTACGCTTAAGAAATAAATATGATATTTTAGCTACTTAGTGGTTAATTTATTAATAATCGTATGTGTATATAACGAACTTTAAAGAGTAAAAGTAAGATTGCCTCTAATAAATATTTATACTCATACATGATGTTGTAGAGTTTCTGTTGCACAAAAAATCAATTCGGTATTCTACAAGGCTTTTCTCAAAACTGCCAACACAAGTAAATACCTTGGTTTTCGACTATATTCAGCTAATTTGATGCTGCTATTGTCGCTATTGCACAACTACCTTAATGATTAGACATTTCCCGAATCTGCTCTATAAAATAATCAAGATGGAAACGAACACTCAACTCATCATCCTTCGCATCCCTTGGGTATACGCTATGAAATGAGTCTTTCAGAGTTTTGGTAAAAAGTGCCCTTCTTCACTGGAGACTATCAAGTGAATGCTGCCACACCAACATCAACGTAGTAGCAAACGATGCGACTTGGCGATGAAAGCATTTAATGCACAGCAGCCAAGCTAATTCATGGCGATGCAAAGGTTTAGTTCAGCATCGTGTTTTATGTGTTGCTTTTTCTACAGATATATATGTACTATTATATATGTATGTATGTATATGTATGTACTATATATGTAGGAGCATGTAAGTCTGAGTCTCGGCCTGTCTGGCAGCCGCATGTGGCAGCCATATGAATGGCTGATGAGCATGCCACTCACTCACACACATCCACTCACACCAACACACAGATACGCACTGTCGGGATCATGTTGTTGCTGTTTTGTTTAGCGCATATTTATTTTGTAAAACCAAGGCATTTGCACTAAAGATACATGGCACTGCTTGAAGTATGCAATGACAGCTCGACATACCAACAGTACCACTTACACACCTATGTGACACTAATAGCAAGACTAGCATAACTTTCTATATACATGTATTAGGTATGTGCGCGAACAACCTCAAATAAAATATACTACGAGTAGTACACCACAAAAAGTTGAAATGTTATAACGACAATGAAACGGGTTATAAAAAAAATTACCAATTGTAAATGAGTGAAAAAATTTGATAGCTTGTAGCATCATAATTTTAAAAAATTTACATGTGATATCGCCTTCTTTCTGCTCGCATAAAATTAACAGTTTACATTCGATTAAAAAAAAAACAGATGATCAGATTCCATAATATAGAAATAAATATTATAAATGCAAAGTAAGAACAGTTTTGCTTTACATCGATCATATTATCTTGCCGGAAAATTAAATAAAATTTTAAATCTAATATGCTAAAAAGAATCATTTTATTGGTGATGTTTTTTTCACGCGCACAACTCTAGCACGTTTTTACAGGTGCATGTATACACACATATATGTACATGTTGTGGCAAATGTCAATACTGCTGCATCTAAATGTATCTGTGTGTTTGTGTGTGTACGTTTGTTTTCTCGAATGTAGTGCATTTCGTTATGAGCTTAGCAGTCTTATAAATGTTTGCATATTTGTTTGTGAGAGCATTTGCCCTCGACAGGGCAGCATCCATCCTCATTGTGAATGTTGCTACTGAGGGTATTTATTAAATATTTCCTGCTGAACTGCACTGCTATGTAACCTTTTGGAGCAACGGGTGCCTGTAAGTATTAGTATATAGCAATTGCAGACAAAGCACCTACATATGCATACATAAATATACATATACTATATATAGTATATATAAGAAGCTTGAACCGTTTTCGAGTAACTGGTAACTTCTATAATGGATTCGGGCTAAAAATATGCTGCGAGGACATTTTAAGGGCACTCCCATCATATATTTAACCGCCTGTCTATTCTATCTATATGTATATAAAGACGCACATTTGTGTGTATTTGCCAAGGACTTACAAATTAAGCTAATTTAGTTGGGAAGTAAGCACTTAGTAGCCAGTAAATGGAAAGCAAAAGGCAACAACTTCTGAGCTGTAGCTGAAAATATTAATAGCAAAACGGTAATAAGAAAAAACACATTTCAGCTTATGATTAAATATTCTTGATTTGAATGCTGTTTGGCCAATTATTGCAATTTTTGTTTATATATTTACTATATTCATGGAAATTATAAAAATATTTTTAACTGTATATGCATTTTATTTATTATACTAAATAGCCAGTTTATTTATTACATTTCTTGTTTACTCAATGACAGAAACTTCATTAAACTAAACTAGTTTTTATTTATTATTAATATTTTCTAGAAATTTGTTGATTGGTGATTAACTGTTTGCCATTCGGCGCACAAAAAGCTTAATATTTTAGATGGCTTGCATTGCTGAATTTATTATTAACGAGCAATTTGAAGCATTCATAAACATTAAATATAGAAGGCATAATCAAAATATAAAAGTCTGGATAAAATACTTTATAAAGCATAACGTATCCCACCCAGATGGGCATGTTTTTTCTCATTAGTTCTTAAATTTCCTGGTTGATTACCAATCTTTTAATAAAAACAGAATATAAAACATAAAGATTTCTACAAAGCACCTGATAAAGATTAAATTAAAAACGTTAATGACCAAAACCATAAATGTTCATACAACCACTGCAGGATTAGCAAAGGCAAAGGCAGAGGCAACAGGAGAGCCAACCACAGAGGATATACACAAAATTTTCTGCATGAGGTGTGGTGTATGACTATGCGTATGCGTAGGCAAAAGAGCAAAAGGGGATATGACAGGCATAAAGCGAAATGGCACGGAAATGTCCATTATGGCCCAGGCAAGCGTGGGGACAGTGAAAAATCGGGTCCCTGTCAAGTGCGGAAATTCGGCAGCAAGCTTCTAACGAGCATCAGCCGAAATATGTGCCAGAGTGACATATTAAATAATTTTAAGCAAAAATTATATACCATTAAGCTGGCCAAATAGAATCAACGCCTAGAGCGATAACACACAGTACAATTGTCGTGGCATAAGCAAAAGCAATAACGATGTATAAACTTATTGTTTACGACGTGCCTAGTGCGACGTCAGCGCTGTTTTTCTTATTACTCAGTTCTACAAAAGAATATATAAACAGACTTCATTTTTTTTTTGCTTTCATACACAGTCGAAAAAGAAACATCTTTAGGTTTTTCGTCTTTTAAACGCAATCGAGAATTGTAAGCGTATTCCTGCATACTATTTGGAAAACATACTTATGGTTAGATTCAGATGTGACTTTCGCAAAACATTTTGTGACACATTGCGTACATTTTTTTCGCGCTGTGTAATGAAACATGCAAGATGGGCGATAGCGTGTGGCATCAACACGCACAGTCGTCTGTCTGAAACACACACATACACGTGCACGCAGTTAACAGCAATTGTGCCAAACGGCACAGCGCTCTACACATGGCTTGTAATTTTGGCCAACACATTTGGCCAACATACATAGTTCCACAAGTGTGTGAGTCGCTTTGTGCAGGAAGCAACTTAATAAGTGACAGCCGCTGCCACAGCCTACCCTGACGTGAAGTACGTACCCCCACATACATACTTGTATGTACATATATGCTTGTACGTGACGTGATTAGGTAAAACCCTATAAGTGGCAGCCGGCATGTCAAGGGAAGGGCTTAGACTTTAATTGGCGACATCCAAAAGTCCCAAATCAATGTGACAATTGTGAAAAATGGCTCACTCTGATTTTTCATTAAGTCATGCACTAAAACATTGCTCAGTTGACTTGAGCTTTGCTTAGTTGTATAATTTCAATTATGAATAATACCAAATAATACATTAAATACATTCATTATTCAGCGACGACATTTAAGCTTGAATGTACCTAAAAAACACACAAATGTGTAAATGTAGATTAATATTAAAATTTGGTAAGCGTTTCAATTACAATCATTCAAAACTATGTGCCAGCTTGACAAAATTTATTTTTGCAATACATAAACACATGACCTATACAAGTAACTTCCCCAAGTAAAAGTATTGCAATATTTTATCTTTTATGTGTGTGTATGTAAAACGACATAATATGCTAAACATATCTTGAATCTACAATATCTTGGGATTTTAAACTTTATTATCAACACAAGGTAGTCATTCCTTGGATTTAAAGCAAAGATGGAGGCCCTGCAGCAATTACAAATTTCATTGCATACCTTCAAGGCGCAAATGAAAGAAATTCAATACGTGTATATTATTACAAGATTAGCCGATACTAGAAGACGTTCGATTTGCCACTAAATATGAAAAATATTTGTTAACATAATTTAGAAAAGGAAAATGCAGATTTTTGTGGCGTTGCCTTTTCTCATGACTTGTTATAAATTTATGCAACACATATAGATAACCACATTATTTCTAGAATAGGTACAGCAACACTAGGTGGAATAATATCCAACCACACGCTCCACGTCAAGCTTCATAAGTTGGGACAAGCACTTAGGAAATTATGTGCCCTTGGGTGTTGCACACCGCATAAAGTTCCGACAAAATCAAATTTTCTGTTATAATGCTGGAAACTAATCGCTTTTTAATCGCAAGTTAACCAATAGTTCTCGAAAGGTACTCGTATTTTATTCCTGCTACTACAATTTCCTCAGAGTTCAATTAATGCTGTTTATTTTGTATTCCAACCGTCAATTTCCTTTCCCTGTTTATAAGCTCTCAAAAATAATGTAAAATTTTAATTTCAATTAAAGAGGGAATGTTGGTTAATGTAGAATTTCTTGTCTCGATTTTTCCTATGTTTTTTTTCACATACTTAGCTGATAAATAATGTAAAGACGAACAAAATATGTAAAACACCTACCGCGTATTATATATTTATAATATACAGTACATAGTATAAAATGCGATGAACATTTGATGTTTTTATTTTTTACACCCTTATCTTGAGCAACGGCTTGGTAAAACAGGTCACCGAACACTTTTTAGCTTTAAGTTGGACAACTTTATCTACATAGAAGTAATGATTGTGTGATATATATTCTGCAATTGACTTAATTTTATTTGTTGTGCATTTAGGTAACACATTTTTTTCTACGATACTAAAGGCCTTCCATGCTGAAAATGCCGACATAAAACCTTTTATTAGAATCATTATGGTTTTCAATTACATTAAAGTGTTTGTTAATTGCATTGTTGCACGGGACATTTTGTTCGAATTAGTACGCAATTAAACGGACTTCAGCACTTAAATGCATTGCGACCACCGTGGAGGCAATGGCCAGCATTATCTGTTGGTTGAGCGACAATAAGTGCAGTAATGTACAGAACGATAAGTGGGAGAAATTAAAATATCAGAACAGTGAATGCAAATTTGCACCAGCATGATGGTATGGAACAATGTACTGTATATGTTACGGCAGCCATGCCAACTGGCAGGCACAAATACAAGCGTAGGCAGAAATGATGGCGTCTGCATGCATTTCTGTATATATCTCTGAATTGATATTTCAATCAGTTCGTGGACATGAATGAAGCTTCTTTTGGGTCGCAATTAACGTTGCCGTTGCAAATAATGATGACACATTTTTTTATTTAGCTTCGTTCATGGTATTTGAACTCATGCTGCTTAAATAAAGAAATACTGAACATATGTGTTTATCCAGATATAGATTAGTCATGTGTTTTTCCCAACGACTCGCAATTTTCTGAAGTCTTTTCAAAATTGGTGCACTATATCATATAGCTGTCATGGGGAAGCCAAAAAATCAAAGAAATCAAAAGAAAACTTATTACTAATTTAGTTTAAATTATTCATAGGAAACAAGAATGGCCTCACGAACTCAACAAGAAATGTTACTCTTGTGATCGCCCTCAGGCCCTGTAATTTTTAACACAAAATTTATATGGTATGGGATTTGAATCGTTAGATAAACTAAAACTAAAGTTTTAATAACTTTAACACGAGAGTATTATAACTTTAAACTTTAACTGAAAAGCATGTTTAGGTGCAACTATTCCTGGTGTTTTTCTATAGTCATTGTGACTGTACAATCTGCGCATACAACTGAAATAAAGGCAAAGGCCTCTTGTGCAGCAATTTCCGCCAGGGCAAGAGCAGCAATCCGGCCGAGGTCAAGTTGGAGGTGGATAGAGGCGTATTGTTGAAGCGTTCATCTAAGCCGATGCGGGCTTGTAAGGGAGTTAAATAAACCTCGAGTGAACATCAACAACAGCAACTTCAGGAAGAACAACAACAACAGCAATAACTACAACAATAAAACTGGCATGGAGAAAGGTGAAATGCAACTATGTATAATTAAAAGTTTGCAGTTGCTGACTTAAACGCAAAACAGTCGATAGACCATGCCGCCACCGCCCTCTAACTGACAATGTATGTATACTATGTACATTTTGAGAACGGAAATTGCTTTCTGCGCAACTTCCACTTGTTTTACATGATAAATTTTTTAGTATCCTCACTTCCTCACTGATGTCATTAGCCACTTGAGCTACTTGAGCCGCTACAGCAAACAGCACACAGCATACAGCACACTGCATACAAAGGCATGTACGAGTAGAAATGCTCAGGGCTTTCAAAGTACAAGCCCAACGGTATTAATGAATTAAACGCTTTTAAGCCGTAAGTCACTTGTGGTGTCATTACTAATTGATGAAATGCAAAATCAATGTTTTGGCCAAGTGCGTGACCTCTACACTAAGCTGCCGACACACGCTGCATTGGGCGCGCTCGTCGCTTAAATTAATTTTATCTGACAGTGGCGCCCGTTGCACAACTTTTTAGATGAATTATTCTAAGCACGCGGCTGTCAGGGGCCTGTTTAAGGGCAACTTTTCGACTCGACTGAACTGGACTTAATGTGGATTGTGGATTGTATAATGGCGACTGAAGAGTGGCGAGGAGCGGACTGTTGTTGCCTGTAGCGACTCAACTGTGCGCCGTGTTTGTTTTGAACAGGTCTTGGTGGCTGCTGCTACTGCTGCTGTTGCTGTTTTACTTTTCAATTCTTTTACATAATTGTATTTGCCTTTTTCTTTCTCTCCTTTCTGTGCGCAAGTTTCGCCTTACTGGTTATTTTTCATCTTTTCTGCTTGCTTTTTTTGGGCGCTGTGGCCAGCAACTTTAACTGTTAAATTGTTAAAAAATTACAAATAAATTAAATGAGTTGCGGCATGTCGAAAGGGATGAAATGCCCGAAGAGTAAACGTGGACCAGTATATATTCCCAATAATTAGTTTGTGTTGACTTTTCAATTTGATTTCGCGATGCTTTTGAAGTGACTTTCTGTATATGGAAGTCGGGCAAAAAAAAAATTGTCAACATGCTGACGACAGCAACGGACAAAAAAAGGCAGCAAAACAAAAACAAAAAAAAAGACAACCAACAACCAGGCTAAGAGTATTCACAGCTACTTGTGTAGACATATTTGCTTTGCGTAGTTGTTGTTGCCATTATGTCCATTAGTGATGGCGTCGTACAATTTAGGTCAAATGATGCTGTGCATTAATGGCCCATGGCTAAAATCCACCCAGAACGGACAAACCCATGCCGAAATATCCCAAACATTACAACGTTCGCACACATACTCTTATGCGTATGTTCGAGTATATAGTACGTACATAAGTGCACAGCTTCTTGTAAAATGCCTGAAGTCACATAAACTTGAGCAATCTATCCCGTTTGTCCGCCTCTGAGGCACAGAGAATATCAAATTTAAGCACAAATACACACATACCTTCTCCCTCTCTCTTTCTTCGTCACTGTATTCCTCTGCCATTCAGCATAATCGCATTGAATTTAATGTCAAGCGATTTCTAACTTATAGTACGAGTATATGTATGTACTATATGTATATCGCTTTATGATTTTCATGCATTTCGAAACACTTTGTTGTACTTCTGACTGGCTCTTCAGCCCGGCCATTCCTCTGGTACTATACTATACTAATAAAAGAAATACTTTTGAACTTTTCCACTCTACCATTGGCGTTTCTGCCTTCTCCCGTTCGCACATAATAAAAATTGACTTCATTTTGGTTGGTCATTTCATAATTTTTTCAGGCTTAGGCTTAACAGCAACAGCTATACACGCGCCCTGGTCGACAATCAGACAGATGGAGGATGTGAATCCGAAGTCGAAGCCCCATGACTGTACTTTAATTTAATTTCAAATTCAACAGAAATGCTGGCAAACTTCGTTCTTCAGTTTTTATTAGCTTTTATTATTTTTTCGCTTCGCTGTGAAGCACCGAAATAAACGCGCTTTAATATGCACGAGCAAACGCAGAAGACATGAACTTGTATATATGTACGACTACATATATATGCATACGTCAACAGGCGAATGTGCGCCCAGTGGCTATGTATGTGTATGTGTGTATACGCCACCCCCATGAGCAAGCATATGTACATACGTACGTATACACTCGTATGTATGCATGTATGTATGTACATATGCCGTTGTGATTGTCGCTCGCTCCGCAATTATACGTATGACCGTTGAATGTCATGTGCAATTGGTAATTTGATTGTGGTCATAATAGTTTACCGCAAACGCGCTCATGGCGGCACTATCATTGCAGCACACGCACACACACACACACACACACACACACACACACACATCCATGCAACATTTTCACTAACGCGCGCTGGAAATGAAAATGAAAATCATATCATACATGGCCACTGGCCACAGTTTGTCATGTTCGTCGTGTTCGAATTTCTTGCTGCCTCTGCGTTATATGAATGCATAGTATGTGTGTAGGTATGTGGGTGCATATGTGTGCAGTTATTTTAGCCAGAACACAAATCCGAAAATGGCTCAAAATGTCTTTTTGCGCTGCACGACCCGCGCTTCAAGCAGATAATAATCGACGCAATTTTCATCCAAATGGTCGAACGACTATAAAACTAATTTGCACCCGAATTTGTTAAATTTGTCATGAAGTTGATGATATTTTAAAAATCGATAGCAATTATATTTTTGCACTTCTCATGGTATGTTTGTTTGTATGCAAATTATGCACCAGTCCGGCCTTATTTTTTTATTGTATAAATTATTTACAATTCTTTGCCAAAAGTTTCAAGTTCTTTAGCCTAAGCATATGATAAAGTGAACCTACATATCTGCGATCCTGTAAAGCGGGCACTAACTTGTTTTAAGCATTAAATAATATTACTTTTTAAAATACTCTCACATGCGCTGCCGAATTTTCTTGACGAGTTAATAATATGCAAGTAAAATGTGCTTTTAAACGCCATATTTTTTGTATTTATGTACTCGTTTTTATATTCATGAAAATAAGAATGCAATTTATGGCCGTCAGAGCGCCTTTTGAAAAATGCGATCCAGATAATAATAACTGATTAAATTGCCAGAGTATCCAGACTAACGGAACACGTCTTTGTGCATCATCGCTTGTGTCTGGCAAGCACATTGATGCCGAGACGTGATAAGAATGCTGTACATTCCATGCAGCCCTTGATGAAAATTCCCAACGCTTTGCCACTTCATCATATCCTTCTGAAGCATATAATAACTATCAGTTGATGTTCGTTATGTACAGAAAATAGTGTTCCCAGTAGACACAGTTACTTGCTCTGCTTACGTGAAGATATGAGTCGATACTTTTATAGTGCACATTACTTATTATATCATATTCCTGTACAATACGAAGGCGACATTGAACTTATATTAAAGCAAACTAAATTAAATACTACCTCCTTTTCATAATAGCTTTGGGATACAACGAAACATTTAATATGTTTCCCCTTGCCTAATGTAAGCTTTAGAAATAGTTCAGTCAAGTAAATTGATAAGCCCGTTAAAATGTATTTAAGTTTCGTTCAAACTAAATACTGTAGAGGATTTCCTTTCGCTTCTTCATTTCCTTTGGTTGCTTTTTCTTCGCTGCTGTTTTCCTTGCGGCCATTTTTAGTTCGAAAGTATGTACAAGTATATACATACTTGTATTATAATTTTTTATGCAATGCAGCAAATGCGCAGTAATTGTACTTATTGTATTGAAATGCGGAAACTTGCGAAATAAAAAAGGGCAGAAGAAACAAAAAACCGTAGACAAGAAGACGCGCTGCTGCAGCATCACGTCCATACCCCTACCCCTATCCGTCTCCATACCCTTACTTATCAACTGTAACCACTTGCCCTAGACTCAACTAATGGCAAAAAAAAAAAAAAAATTTAATCCGCTTAGCATTGCTGTGTCATCGTCAGACTGATGCTGCAAGGCGTTGGCAAATTGGCCCAAAAGGAGAACTTAATTTTGTTTGTTACGTAATTAAAAGACAAATTAACAAATTGCTGCGCCTTAAAGAATGCCTGTGGGCTAAATTTGTGCTGCGTTTGCACAGCTAAACAAATGAAAATGTTCAAGTATTAGAGAGCAGTGGCAAAGTTTCGGTCATATTTAGTTGCGGGCTTGCCTTTCTTTCCACAAACTGGTTGCAAATTAAGTTGCCAATTTACTGCAATTGGAATGGCCATCGGTCGTGTTTTATCTTTTTCGCTTTCGAAGGACTTACTATTAATCCGACAGTTAATCCCTGCCGCATAGTACGTTCGACCAAATGCAGAGTGGCTGGCCGACTTTCTGGCAAAATATTGCGCCCAAATTCGATATAGCAAGCATATTGACATATGTTTGCCGCCAGCGTACAAATGGCAGACAAGAGCAATGAAACTCAGACACACGCATGCTTCTGGCCAAAGATAATAGGTTTATGGCCACAGATCATTGTACGATTAATTTTCGCAGTCTGTGCTCGAATAAACGGTAGAGATGTGTCAGATTTCGATTGAATTCTATTCTAGTTCAAATATTTGCTTTCACAAATGAACTGTGAAAATACTTTCCTAGATTTTGATTTCGCTTTCAAGTTTCGTTTTGAAAATTGTATAATAACGCTTATATACTTATTACGGCCCTTTCGGTGATCCCCACAACCTGACCAATTGTAACTTTCGGAAAATAGATACAATTATAATGTGTGGCATATATTGTGGCAGTTGTAGAAAGGTATTAGGGGAAAGAAGGAGCAAAGCGATATAAGAAAATATTCATGGGTTATGCATATTGTTGTTCAAGATTTTCAAATCTTTAGAGCTTTGAATGTTCTCCTTCTTTGGTATGGAAAGAGACTTCGAAAATAACATAAGCATTGTTGTTTAATATTCCAAAGCAACGGAAAGAGTGTTGGTCAAAACTACGAAGGATAAAATGCACCTAAATTATCTAGTTCAAAGAGAACTAAACCAGTTCTAACTAAAATGTGCAACCCCTGAGTATAGTAACAATGCGGCATTGTATTCAAGCTAATGATCTAAAATGTGCTTTGTTGACCTGCAGCCACAACCGTTCGACGAGCCCTAATCCATCCATTTGGTGTCTTCCATCCACACATACACCGATACATACATGTACATATATGTATATAGTACACGGACACACAGGTAGTCGTAGGCAATAGCAGGCCAACTCAC